CCTCTCTGATCCCTTCCCCCTCCTTGCCAGGCCAGTCCTTGTCATTTGTTGTCCTGTTGGCACATGGCAGAGGCCTGACATCTCCAGCAACAGGAGGGAACCGAGGCTCCGGCCTGTCTCCCACCCCCACTTCTGCTGTCTTGGCCCAGACCACTATCACTCCACCTGTGCCCTGCGGACACCCCTCACCTGACTTCTGCCTGTGCCTGGCTCACCCTCCAAGGCCTGCTGTACACTGCACCCAGGGTGGCTTTTCCCAGGCTGGACTTGTAACCGTGGTCCACTTTATGCCTTGAATACAGCCCTTGCTGCTCTGCCACTGCCACTTACTTTTTAAATGGACATGTTTCTGTCTCTTCCTCTCCCCCTTCTCCCCCTAATCTCTCCCCATCTCTCCTAATCTCAGGGGAAACAGGATGACCTTTCTTCCTCCCATCCTAGGCAGAGTTATCTGTCCTTGAGCACACACCCACCAGAGGAATGAAGTCATGCAGACTTTGGGGTGGCAGAAGGTCTCAGAAGTGACCATCTCCCAAATCAACAATGAATTACAACTCCAACAGAGAATGTCATCTCTTGAAAAGCTCCCTGTTCCTGCTGAGTGCAGAATCACAGCCTCTGGGACAGCCTGTGCTTCTCCTTTGCTAGGGAAGCAATAAACCTTCCTTTTCCCTTTTCTCAAAAATTGTGTTCTGTTCTTATTATTGGATTGGAATTGGGGACAAGGACCAAGCTTTTGGCAACAGGCTCTGACTCCTATGACCACTTGTTTGAGCTGCCAAGGGCAAGCTGAATGGATGGCATAGAACTGAGTCCCCAGCAAGCTGCACACCTGCTTGCAGCCTGTGCACGTGACCACAGAGAGGCCTCTTTCCTGTCTTCTGCCTCTGTCCCCCGCCACCCCAGGGCTCTGCACGGAGGGGCCTGACTGTGTAGAGACTTGAAGATGTCACCCTGCAGTCATCTCTAGGTTGGACCAGAAGTCACTTCATGAATGCCCACACCTGGGCAATGGCCCCAGAAACAGAGAATGACCTCCAGGCTGGACCTCAGGTTCCAGTCCCCACCAGGAGGAACACAGAGTCCAGTCGTGGGATTCTTGGAAGAGCCACAGCGGGAGTTTAATGAGTGACCCGTGGTTGTTTTCCAAATCCCTGATGGTGCCTCTGCTATCAGGCGGCACCAGGGGGCAGGGTGCCTGGACAGGGCCTTGGCCAATGACAGTTCACACTGGAAAAACAGATGTGGAAAACACCCGTCTGGCTCTGGCTGCTGCTCCCCAGGCGGGCGGCGCTCCCACCAGGTGACCATCCCCGTGGGTGGGTGGGGGGCCGGGAGGTGGAGGCGGCCTGGGTCTGGGCCTGGGTTCCACCTGGTCTGCCACAGGCTTGCTGCATGGTACTGGGCGAGTCCCCCCTTTCACCAGCCTGTTGCACAGCCTCAGACGGAAGGGGGGACACGGGGTGAAGGAGGGCCTGGCTGACGGCACTGGCCTTTCCACTCCGCAGGAGCTTCCTCTCCTCCTGCCCAGGTTCTCCCGCTCCTCCTTCCCCTCCTTCCCTGGAGACTTGAGGCAGGGAAGTCAAAAGGTCAGAGCCTGCACTCAGATGGCCTGGCTGAGGCTGTGTGAGCTCAGACAGGTGGCCACCTCCTCTGAGTCCCCATTCCCTCATCTGTGAAATGGGGACCCTGTGTCTTGCTTTTGGGGTCTTGGAAGGGTAAGATGAACTCAAGCTTATAAGACACAGAGCAGGGACTTAACAAACATTAGTTTACAATCAGGAAGGGCCTGGGTGACCCTGGGGATCAGCCAGCATGAGAGCTGTGGGCCCTGGCTTCTCTTGGGCTCAAACTTCCTGGCTCCATGAAATAACAGCCCAGCAGGCAGCAGGGCTGGGGGAGGCCCAGCAGCCCCCAGGGCTGCACAAAGAGGGGCCCAAGGGAGGTCCTCACAGCCGGCTCCAGACAAAGAGGGTTGGGGGCCTGGGAACCCCTCCCCCTCCCCCTCCCCGCCTCTGCTCCACCCAGCCCGGAATCCCAGCAGGGTCAGAGACAGCGGTACAGCTTGGGGCAAACTAAGAACAACTTTCGGTGCTGGGGTTGTGACTCAGTGGTAAGAGCACTTGCCTAGTATGTGTGAGGCACTGGGTTCAATCCTCAGCACCACATACAAATCAATAAAGGTCCATCAACAACTAAAAAATATTAAAAAAAAAAAAAAGAACAACTTTCATGTTGTAAGTGCAAAAAATCAAAATCAGATTAAAATAATAGTAGTAATAATAATAATGAATACGAATAAAAAATAAAAGAAAAAAGAAAACTTCACGACACGTGAAAATACTTGAATCGTGAGCATTCATTCCAAGAAAGTTCTACGGATGGGCGGACGTCACCCACTGTGTGTGTGGCTGCTTTTGTGCCCCAAAGTACAGGCCAGCCGTGGCCAGAGATGGATATCCCAAAAGGCCCAACCGGTTGACCACCTGGCCTCGAGGAAGATGCAGGCACCTGGCTTAAGGGAAACCAGCTTTGAAAGTAGAAGCGCCCTGGGGAGGACCCTGCAGGGGCTCCAAGGCAGGAGTCTGGGGTCCCAGTCTGACCATTAACCAGTCACCTTTCCTCAAGTGACCTGGGGTTCGTCCCCTCCCGGAGCCTCCCCTCCTCCAGCTGTAAAGTAGAAATAGCCGGCTTTCCTGTCGCCAGAGAGGTGATCAGAGGTGGCTGTGTCATGCTGAGGTAGGGGGAGACACACCTCTCCCAAACCTCGGCAAGAGACAGCGGGAAGTCACCTAGGCAGGGGCTGCGCCCAGCCCAGGAGGAAGAGCAAGGACAGGGGGCGGGGGGAGCAGCAGCCCTGGGTCTTCCCTGACTCAGACCCTGCCCCAGCGCGTGGGAGACCCGGGGGATCCTTTGCTCCCGCCTTGCCAGCCGCCTTTCTGACCCATCTCTCCCTGCCCCTGCCCCCCTTGCTCCGCAGCTGCCCCTCTCACGCAGGGCCCTGCACCCGCTGTTCCCTCTGTCCAGAACGTCCTGTGCGCAGGGTTCCCTCCTTCACCGTCATCAGGTCTCTCCGCAAATGCCACCTGTCGTGGTGTAAACTAATCAATAAAAGCAGTCAGAGTGTAAGTTGTAGGTTATAGATCAGTAAAAAAAATAGAGATGTAAAGTTTTGATAAGTGAAATAAGACGATGATAAAGCACGAACTGTCACAGGCAGGCCGGGGACTCCATTTTGCTGCCTTCTGTAAAAACTGTCACAGGAGCTGTTTCTGAGAAACAGAAACGAAAGCTGTCTTCTTATAAAAATTGTTTTCCTGCACTCTGTACCCCCAGAGTGCGCCATGCCCTGGGTTTGAGTACATTTATGGGTCTACATGCCTTTGAAATAGATGATCGCCCGCTCAGCTGAAACTCGGGATACGGGTGTCTAACACTTGCTGGGACCTGGTTTACTAAGTTGTAAGCTAACTGCTTTATTAGCCTCTGTCACTCGCTTGCTTGCCTGACACTGAGAAAGCCCCTGAGTTATGGCTTTCATCCTAAATTCCCAAGACACAGGCCAGGAAACTGCTGTTCTCCCACAGAGAGTCTCTACGGGTGGGGGACAGTCCCTGGCCAGGTAAATAAAGCTTGCTTTTGTTTGAATTTGGGCTTGGAGTGTTTTCTGAGGAGGCTCCCCATGACACCACCAGCCCATCGAAAACTGCCCCCTAACATCTACCCACCCTCCCAACTTTGCTTTCCTCCCTGGGACCCCCCTCCCCAGGTCAGAGGTACACTCACTCTTCATGTCTTCCTTTGCCACCAGAACATGAAGTCAGGGTGCTAGGATCTGATGCCACTGCCAGGAGCCAATGAATCTTGTGAATGACTGAATGAATTTAATCCGTTCATTACAATAATTTTAATAATTAAATAATGATCTCATTTATCTGTGGAATTTGTTTGTTTGTTTTTTTGGTTCAACCACTGAGCCCCATCCCCAGACCTATTTTTTGTATTTTATTTAGAGACAGGGTCTCACTAAGTTGCTTAGGGCCTTGCTTTTGCTGAGGCTGGCTTTGAACTTTCAATCCTCCTGCCTCAGCCTCCGGAGCCAGGATTACAGGCATGTGCCACTGCACCTGGCAAGCTTTTTTTTTTTTTTTTTGACAAATTAAATAGAAATGGAGAACAAATGGCTCAGGGGCGGGGGTGGGGAGGAATCAGGGAGATGTAAGTCAAAGGCTTACACAGGCTGCCAGTGTTGTGGATGAGGCCAGAAAGCTACCAGGTGAAGGCTGGAGTTAGGAACAGTATTAAGAGTTTCTGTTAATAGAGTAGATGTGAGGTGCTCTAGCCACCCAAGGAAAAAGAGCATGTAAGATAAATATGTTAATTTGCTTGACTATTTCAATCTGTCTCAGGTCCACCATCCTTGTTCTCCTGAACTGCCTGGGGCCGCTAAAATCTTACACGGCTGCGAGACAATCCAGCTGGGATTGTGTCTGTACTGAAGATGTACAGGTTATCTTCTTCTTTCCCCCCTGCCATTATTCCCTAAACAATACAGTGTAGCAGCTATTTGCAAATCATTGGCTTGTCTTAGGTGATCCGGAGAGGATCCAAAGCATATAGGAAGATGTGCATAATTATATGTGAATATTTTGCGGTGGATTTCGGAATCCACCAGGGTCTTGGAACAAACCCCCTGAAGATATTGGGAGACAAATTATATTTTTAAAAATCACGTTGTAAATGCAATTTTGCTATTTAAATAATTTTTAAAATAATTTTCTTTTGCTACTATGTGTTGTCATTAATTCTTCTCCCAGCCCTAGGGAAAGGGGAGTCTTACTGCAATATTCATATCTCCTAAGAAATGAGGCCAGAGAGGAGGCAGAGGCCACGCTTCTGCAAGGCGCTGGGTCCCCGGGACTCCTACTCCAGTGCTCCACCAAAACGGAAAGGACCAGAGCCCCTCCACCAAAGTAAAATAACTGGACAAAGAAACCAGGTGGGTTAGAAACACTTGCTTTCATATTACACACACTGGGTTCAGGATGACAGTGTGGGGCGTGGATGGGGACAGGCCCCTCCCGGTGTTCCGGGAGGCTTCACGCCCCCTCCCCCGCCCCAGCCTGTGGCTGTGCTACCTAAGGGCAGCTCGCTGTCCAGGGGTCAAGGCTGTTCGCAGGGCCGTGTTTACCGAAAGTTCCGCTGACGCACGGGGCGGGAGAAGAGGACGTTCCACTTGCCACAGCAGGTGTCACGGACCGGGGCCACCCTGTCCCTCCCGCAGCTTGGCCCGGGTGGTGGGGTGGCCCGGCTCCTCCCCACTGGGGGTCACACCAGCCACCGAGCTGGAGCCGATGACCTTCTCCCCTTCAGTAGGGATAGGGCGACACAGCGATGAGCAGGACGAACACGCTCTGGTGGCGCGGCGCCGCGGCGCGCACGGTGAGCCGGTAGAGGCCCGCGCGGGTGAGCGCGCGGCGGGTGTAGACGGCGCCGTGTCCCGAGCGCAACGCGCGCAGCGCAAACGGGCTGCGCGGGTCGGGCTCCAGCACGCTGAGCTCCGTGCGGTTGGCGGGGACGCCGGCCTCGGAGAAGGCGGCCAGGCGCGCCACGTCGTGGTGGGCGCGCACGCCCAGGGGCAGCGGCAGCAGCCGGTACTGCAACGTGGAGGGGCCGCCGGCGCTGCAGTCCAGCGAGCAGCGGCGGAAGCAAGTCCTGCGGGCCGCAGACAGACAGACTGACTCCAGGCTGCCCTCCGAGCGGCCGAACTTCACCCCCAGCCCCCGTTGCTCTGCCCAAGCTGCCCGTCTCCCCGCGCCTCAAATACCTTCCCTAGAAGTGTCCCTATTAGCCCATTTTAGAGACCATCAAACGGAGGCCCAAAGGGGCCAGAGCCATGCCCTTCGGGGACCAAGGAGGAGGAGTCCTTCGGGGACCAAGCCCCAGGCAGCGCTGCCCGAAGGAGGCAGCGACAAAACTGCTGTGCTCTGTGGGAGCGGAAGTGCCCTGAGCTGAGTCACACCTGGGTTTGCAGCTCAGATACACCGGGTCCCACCTTGCCGGACATCCACTTCCCGACCAGCCTCCACTTCCACATTTGTAAGGCCCAGGGCAAGTCACCCACCCCAGGAAACCTTTCTGGTTGCAGCAGCTCCTGACCCCAAGGTCCTCATGTCTCTGTGCCACTTCATGAGTGTCTGTGGCCCCGGAGTGGTGAGGGAAGTGTGGTGTGTTCAGTGTCTGCCACCCGGGGTCTGGGGTGTGTCTCTGGCTCATTGTGCATTTGGGGGCCTGGAGCTTGTGTTTGGCGAGTTCCTCTTCCCACCTCCGGCCTCTCTGCCCTGAGCTCCCTGCAAGTGGGCCTGCCACGTGAGGAGGGCAGGGAATGCAGCATCAAGGCGAGCTGTGCCCTGGCTGGCTGTGCCCGTGGGCGCACCGTCTGCCCAGGGTTCTGACAGGGTAGCTTCCACTGGCCCTGGGCGACTTTCCTGGGTGGCGTGGTCCAGCCACACAGGAGCCCATGTGGAAGCTGCTCAGATCCTGGCAGATGACGTGCCCTGTCCCTTCCACCCCAGACAACCCAGCCCTTACCCGGGGCTGGGGCCCTGCCGGTAGGTGGCGGGACAGGGCGTGTCCACACACTGGTAGCTGCCTCGGGTGTTGAAGCACATCTGGCCAGGCCCACACTCGATGCCGCCTTCCTCACACTCGTTGATGTCTGGGTGGGGAGGTGAAGTGGGGGATGGAAAGATGGAGTGAGAGAAGGGTGGAAGGCCAGAACAGAGAAGGCGGGAAGCGGGACCAGCCGGGAGGGCACCCCTTGCCTGTCCATAGACAGCCCAGCCCAGAGCCCAGCACCTCCCATGTCCCCAGGGACCGGACTTCCCAGTGCATGATGGGGCCATGGAGAGTCTGGGGGAGAGGGGCTGTGCTGGCGTCACCCTCCACCCAGGGCACCGGAGACCACCCCAACCCTTGTCTCCCTCAGTGGATGCCCCACCCTTCCAGAGGACATTCACTGTCCTTGTGTGGAGGGGGACAGGGCAGGTAGGTTTCCCACCCTCTGGGGTAGGGGAAACAGCAGGACCCACTCCTGCTTGGGTGCATCAGGGTGACTTGGGAGTAGAGGACGGCCGCCCATTGGCGCTGTGTCTCAGCTCTTCAGGTTTCACCCCAGCTATCTAAGGGGTGTTGTGTGAGCCCCAGTTCACCAGGGGGTAGAGGCTCAGAGAGGTAAAGAGAGTTGCCCAGGGACACACAGCAGAGCTGAGATTGGCCCTATAGGCTTCAGATCCTGCCCGCGTGGTCTCTTGAGGCTCTTGGGTGAAGTGGCGGTTGCACCTGGCTGTGGGGGCCTGGCGTGTTCCCCTGGAGCTCGCCTCCCCGCCCCATCTCACAGGGCTGGAGAGGATGGGGGTTACAGCCACCCTGCTCACCCTGACAGTTCTTGCCGCTGGGGAGGAGGCGGTAGCCCACGGGGCAGAGGCAGCGGTAACTGCCCTGGGTGTTGCGGCAGGCGTGCTGACACAGGGTCCTCACCCGACACTCGTCCAGGTCTGGTCAGGCAGGTGGTGGGATGGGGCGGGCGGGGAGGGGGACAGGGGGAGCTGAGTCAGAGGCCAGGTCACCACACCTGCCTGCCGGCTCTGGGCAAGTCAGGAGAGTTCCTGCCCGAGGCGCCCACTCCCCACTCTGCCCCAGCCGGCTTTAGGGACTGGAGAAATCTCTGATTGTTGGTAGTGGGGACCTCGCCCTGTCCCCACCAAGGCAGGGGTGTCACCCCCACTACCAACCCTGTGTCCAGGCTGGGTGCCCCAGGAGGCTGCCTCTGCCTTGCCCCTCTCTGCTGTCCAGTGCCAGCCCCAAGGTCCAGGGGTGACCCTTGCCCACCTCTGTGCCCACGGTCCAGAACTCCCAGACCCCTTGGGGCCTTCATGTCTGCCTGGAGCATTCCCCCTTCACTCCTGGGACCTCGTCCCTGGCTGCTCTGCCCTGGTACCAGCAGGCTTCTCTAGCTGGCCTCCCGAGGACACAGCCTAGGAGGCCCCTCGCCCAGCAGCCCTGCCTGAGACACCTGTGCCTGGCCCCAGAAGCAGCCCTCTGTCCGCTGCCTGCCTGCCCGCCTGCTCACAGTGAGTCCTGGGTTTCCACACAGGGTGGTGCCCCACGACCAGCCCAGGAGCCCAGGGCAACAGGGGCGTGTCCTTGTGGGGCACTTGGGGCCCAGCCTCACCCGTGCAGACGCCGTTCTGCCTGATGAAGCCAGGCGGGCACCAGGCCCGGTCCACGCTGCTCAGGGCTCCCGGCCCCGGGTGGAGGGAGGCCCAGGTATGGAAGGGGCGGCCAGGGACGGACACCTGGGGCCGCAGCCAGGGCGCAGAGGGGCCCGGGTGGCTGATGGTGGTCACATTGTGTGCACTCTGCTCCAGTAGGGTGCAGCCCTTGCCATTGCGGAGGAGGGTGTGGCCCGGAGGGCACAGGCAGCGAAAGCTGCCCTGGAGGTTGTGGCACTGGTAGGGGCAGGGCCTGGGCAGCCGCAGACACTCGTTGACATCTGCAGATGGAGGTCAGGCAGAGGCTGCATGCTCCGAGTTCAAGGCCAAGAGGGCAGCTCAGGGCTCCCGCCTCCAAGCTGCTCATGCATCACCCTGACTCCAGGGTCCGCAGCCCGGAGCCTCCCCCTCCCCAGCTCTGAGCACCACCCCAGGTCCAGCTTGCCCAGCCCACAGCTCTTGGTGTCTCTCGGGTCCATTCTACCCGCTAAGCCTCTCAGGTCCCCCCTCTGCCAGGGACGCTGGCCTGCAGGGTTGGGTGGGGCCAAGCACGGTCCAGAACTCCGAGCACCACACCACCAACACCCACCGTGCCCAGCAAGGCCCAGAGTGGGTGGGCTTCCTCATACCTAGGCAGGGAAGGCCGGGGCCCTGCGTCCGGTACCCCCGGGGGCAGCTGCAGCGGTGCCCGCCTGGGCTGTTCTCACAGAGCTGGCTGTGGTGACATCCGTCCAGCTGCTCCAGGCATTCGTCCACATCTGGGGCGGGGTGTGGTCGGGAGGGGCTTAGCCCAGAGCCCCTCCCCTAGGATCACATCCCCCCACACCTGGGTCTCCCCAGTTCGCTTCTCCAAAGCCGTGTCAACAGGCTGAATGCCAGCACCTGCCCCACCCCCCACGGGTCCCACGTTGGAGGTCAGCAGGGCTCCGGGTCTGGAGGAAGGAAGGGCCTTAAAAGGTGGGCTTTGGAGGCGGAGCCCTGGCGCTGTGAGCTCTGCCCTGTCCAGTCCCGATGAGCCTCAGTTTCCTCATCTGTAAAGATGGCTGGACAAGCACATGAGGAGCTTAGGAGCCTGCTGTGTGGAAGAACTAAAGGACTGGAGAGGAGGGCGGGAGGCAGCAGCAGGCAGAAGAGCCCCAAACAGCCCAGCTCTCTAGGCCACAGGGCAGAGCCGCCATGTTTGCCTCCACTGGCTGGCTGGTCTCCAACGAGCCAGGGGGACCCCAGTCATGAAACCATAGAATGCTAGAGCAGGAAGGATCCTAGAGGTCACCCCTCAGGGGTAGCACCTAGGTTTGAACCCTAAGGTCAGTTGCCACTTATCCATAGTGGCTGCTGGGGAAGCCGTGTTGGGGATGCAGGGGCTGTCCCTAGCAGGACATGGTCCACGGGGGGATAGGGAGGGGCAGCAGAGGTAGTGTGTTTGCCCTCCCTGCTGGACCCCCTCATTCAACAGGTGAGGGACCCAAGGCCCAGAACGGATGAGACACTTGACAAAGGACACTGAGCTGCCAGGAGCAGGGCTGGGCCAGGACTCAGTCCCGGGACCTCTCACGCTTTCTCCCGGCCTCATGCACTCCTTCCTGGCGCCCTGAAGCCCAGCATCCCAGAGACATGCAGCCCCTCATCAGTGCACCCTGGCAGTCTCTGGGTTCTTGGGGACATTACCAGGCTCCACCCAGTGCCCCCTCACCTTCACAGCTGGCTCCATCAGCAGCCACCCGGAAGCCCGGCCCACAGTCGGGGAGGCAGTGGTAGGACCCGAGCAGGTTCACGCAGCGCTGACCCTCTGGGCAGAGGTAGGCATCCCACGCACACTCGTCCACGTCTGCGGGCAGGCCAGGCAGACAGCTGCAGGAGCACATGCCCACCCTCCCCGCCCTCCCTGCCGCCAGGGCCCTGGCCCAGCCCACCCACATGGGCTTCCTCCCAGGCCCAAGAGCCCCTGGCATGACGGCCCCCAGCCCTCCTGCCACCTCTTTCCGTCATCCCCACAGATACAGAGTTCTAGTGGCCCTGGCCGGCAGCAGCTGACACAGGGCTGCGCACAGGGCCCTCTGGGGCACCTGGTTGGAGCCTGGCTGAGACCTGGCAGCACCGGGCCCCACTGGTGGAAGTGGAGGGTACAGACTGTGGTCAGCATCGGGACATTCAGGGTCAGACTGTCGCTCTGCAGCTTTGTCAGGTGATGGGTAAACGGGCCACTGGTGTCAGCCCCCTTGGCCACGCCAATGGATCAGAACTGATGTGGGGACAGCGGCCGAGCCTGTGTCTGGGCCATGAGCACGTGGTGGCTGCCTGTGTGCCTCTGGGGGTCCCCATCACCCTGACACCCAAGACCACATGCTGTCCTCAGAGGGACCTGGTGGGGCAGGACGCTGGAGACCTCAGGCTGGCATCAGGCACTCAGGAGCAGGCCATCCCTGGGGTAGGTGCCCCTGGTTAGGGCCCTCCTGCACACCGGGGCCAGGTCTGAGAAGCACCCTCCCCAGGGCCCACTCACCTCTGCAGGTCCTGTCATCCCAGGCCAGGGTGAAGCCTGACGGGCAGGCGCAGGAGAAGCGGCCAGGTGCGTTGAGGCAGGAGTGGGAGCAGGGGCCGCCCAGGCACTCGTCCCTGTCTGGTGGGGAGAGAGCTGCTGGTCTGTGCTCACGGGCCCTCCGGCCAGCTGGCCCAGAGAGATGGTGCATCCCAGGAGAAAAGGCCTGCTCTGGCCATGCCGGGGGGCGGGGGATGTTGCTCACCCACACAAAACTCTCCCTGGGTGTCCAGCTCAAAGCCCTCGGGGCAGCCAACTTCATCCTCCTCTGTAAGACAAAGGGATGAACCCTAAGGATATGAGGGTGCCCATTCCCAGCTGCCTGGGCCATGGCCCTGGCTCCCAGGTCCCTCCTGGGGCTGGGAGCCAGGGCCCCCTAGCTGGCGACCAGCCCTGTCCTAAGCCAGACAGCTCCTTCCTTGCCTCGCGTCCAGGCCTGTCCCAGGCTGTGGCTGTGGGACGTGCCCTATCCTGTACGTGTGCCCAGGGGCTGCCTGTGGGGCCGGGCAGTGAGTCAGGAGACCCAGGAGAAACCATCAAAGAAAAGTAGGAAGCAGGAGCTCAGGGCGAAGCCGTTCAGCAGCTCTGTGCAGGGGCGTGCGGGGGTCTGCGGGGCTCCCCAGGGAGGCAGGACGAAGGCAGGGTGGGGTGCTGGGCCTGGAGATGGGTGGAGATCTGGCTGCCTGTGAGAAGGGGCTGGGGAGGGGGTGCAGCCAGCCCCTCGAGCTGCAGCTGGGAGGCGGGCCAAGCCAGGCCCACTGCCCACGGCGCAGATGGGAACAAGGCTGGGGAGACCCAGAGCCAGGCAGGGGTGCAGAGCGGATCTGGGCCGGGTCTGCCTAGCCTCAGCAATGCCCTCTTCCCACAGTCCCTTTTGGGGCCTCTAGTGATAGCACAGGAATCTCTGGCATCCCTTGGTTGAGACTATAGGGGGTCTCCTGCGGGTCTCGGGGTTCCAACAGTGGCTCCTAGCCCCGCTCACTAGCGGGCCTGTGGGACGGGCACCCTTGGGAGAAGAGGGAGGAGAATGTGGCTTGACGCTTGAATGTCAGCCTGGGGGGCTGGGCCTCCACTCTGGGGGTTTGGCCTGAAGAGCCCTGTCCCTGTTGGTGGGGGAGGGACGGGTCAGGTGGAGCCTTATCTCTGGCAGTGGTCAGAGTACAGTGACCAGGTGCCTCTGGCGGGTCTTAGCTGGGGGGTGGGGGTGGGGGGCCTCACCCGTTTGCAGGGCTGTGGTCAGCTGGAAGTGCAGGGCCTCCGCCTCGGGGTCAAAGGCTGAGCTGATAGCGGAGGCCTGCAGGTGCTGCACCAGCTGGGGCTGGGGCCCCCGCGCTGCGTCGTAGTGGATGGTGTGGTTGCAGCGCAGGAGCGCGGGGAGGCTGTCCTGGAGGAAGCGCTGTGTGGAGCCCACGAAGAGCTGGCCGGGCCCTGTCTGCACATAGTGCTCCTGGAAGTCCTGGAGGGGGAGAGGAGGCCTGGGTCCCCACGCCCAGCAGCCTGGAGCTGAAACTCAGGGGCTGGGGTGGGGCAAGAGCCTGGCCAGCCTCTGGTCTCCCTCCACAGCCAGGCAGCCGGGGCCCTTGGGTGGCCTTGTTTATGGAATGGGGAGAATACTCTGTCCCCGAGAAACACAGCAGACGCTCACTATGACCTGCTGTCCTACCCAAGCCCAAGGCAGGCCCCCATCCAGCCCTGGCTGCTGAGGTGTCGGGGGAAGGGGCCTGTGCCTGGCCATGATGGGGAGCGCCACACGCCATTCTCTCACCCCATCCCAGGACCCGGCCCCACCTGCATCTGAAGATCTGCGTCAGCCAAGCTGTCGGGCACAATGCCATCGACCACCACATCGAGGAGCAGGAGTCCGTTCGGATCCAGGCCCCGAGCCACCTGGGTCATTGTGAGCAGCTCCCCTGCAGTGCACCCCACCCCACCCAGAGTCACCTCAGGAGTCCTGGGTTGGCTTCAGCCCCCGCCTGCCCCCTGAGGAGGCCCTGCTCACCTGTAGCAAACTCCACGTGAGATTCTTGCCGGAAGCTGCCACCGGTCAGGGAGTGGCCGTTCAGGGCCTCGCCGCTCTCTCCAGCCAAGGCCCAGTAGATGGGGGCAATGGTGACCACCAGCACCCGCATCAGAGGCCCTGGACAGGGCAGGGTGCAGAGCCAGGTTAGGGCTGGGCCCTCAGGGTGGCCATCTCCTGCTCTACACCCCGTCCCCTGGCCCCCCACTGTCCCCAGGAGAGCTCAGTCCTTTCTCTCCCTGTCCCTCTCCAGGTATTTAACCAGAACCTGGGAAACAGCAAGAGAAAACATGTTTCATGAAGTAGTTTTAAAAACTAATGAAATAGTTTATAGAAAGAAACGTATGTAGATCAACGTTCAACTCAGTCCAGCATTCACAGATGAGGGTCACCTGAACCCGAGCTCGACAGGCTGCCATGACATGTTTGCTGGGCTGAGTTAAACATCAACCAAGTTTCCAAACTTGCAGACGCTTTCCAGAGGAGCCCAGGAGAGGAAGGATCGTTCCAGACCACTGACTTTGAAAAAAGAGGCAAAAATCGCCCTGGACCTGGAGTCTCGGACCTTCACATGATGCCTGGCCCTCTTGGGGCAGGGTGAAGCTGCACGCTGGGCCAGGGACACCACCTGCACCCAGTTTGCTCGGGGTCAGGGACAGTGGCGCTCTGGGAGGTCAACAGGAGGAAGTTGGGTTCCTGTGCATGAGCTGAACCTTTCAACCTCTCTGTGCCTGTCTCCTCGGCAGAGCCTGGCCCACTTGGCCTGGGACCAAGGTTTCCTCGGGGCTCCTGCAGCTGGAATAAGCAGCCACAGCTGGACACATCTTGCTTTGTTCACTCCAACAGCCAGCTCTGAGTGACCCTGGCCAAAGCCCCCTGCCCACGCTGCTCCCACGGCTAGCACAGGTGCCATCAGCACCGCCCTTTCCTTGCCTTGACCCCAGAGGAGGCTCGGAGGCAGGGCGGGGTGGGGGGACAAGATGGCAGGGTGGGGGGACAAGATGGCGAGGTCCCTTGGGACCAGGTCTGTTCCTCTGCTTGGGACACACTGTTTTAGGGATCTGGGTGCCGGGGGACACCCCTTGGTCCTCTGGGTTTTCTAGCTGATGTGACTCTCACATTCCCTGCCTTCGTCCCGTCCCTGCCAGCCTGCTCCCTCAGTCATTTCTGTCACCCTTCACTTTCTGTCAGCCTCGGACTTGACAGTGGAGGCCCCGCAGAGCAGGCAGCTCGGGCCTCTCCCTGAGCTCTGCAGCCACATCCCTGGCCTCAGGTCTCTGGGGTCAGGGCGGGTGTTCTGGGCAGTGGGGGCTGAGGGCCAGAGAGGACGCTCCTACCCTGGGGCTTGGCTCTGCTAGTGGGCAGCCAGCTCTCCTCTGGGAATCGGGGCCTGATCGAGCCTGGGGCCTGCCTTCCTCCTTGTCCTGCATGAGCCACAGGGTCCCTGGCAGGCTGGAACGGTGGGCCTAGAGGCAGCGCCACTCCGGCTTCTACTTACCCACATTTGCCGGGACGTGGCTGATGCTGCTCTGGATGGTGGTGACCCCGGAACGCGCCTCCTGCTGTACACTGGTGTTGAGAGCAGCCACACCGAATTCCTGGCCATTGATCACCCCAACCATGCTGCCCCGGCTCCCCTGGGGGTCCTCTGTGAAGAAAAAGAGCAGGAGTGAGACCCTCCCCTCCCATGCCCCTGTACACACAGGGACTGCTTCAGACCCAGTTCATGAGGGAGTAAATTGAGGCTCGGAGAGGTGAAGTAACTTGCCCAAGGACACAGAGCTAAGGGGGTAATGGACTCAACACAGGGGATCGTGGCTCTAAAGGAGAAGTGAAGTGTGAGGAGGGTCTCTAGCTGGGCTGAAACCGGGCCAGTGAGGCCCCCAAGCCACACCAAGTTATCTGAACATGAGGATGTTGGCCTAGAGACATGCAAGAGACCCTGGTCTCTAAACCACCAGGACCCGTGATAGCGGGAGCTGGGGGCAGGGCAGCAGGCCAGGGCTCAGTGCCGTCACCTGAAGACCCCCCCCTTCCCATCTGTGACCCTGGTCCTGCAGCTGGCCTGCCTGCGGTGGCTGGTTTCCTAATGAGCAGAGCCCTCAGCACTAATCAGATGAGAGCTGCCAGTGCCGGGAGTGTCCTCCGACTAGGGGCCAGCTGTCTCCTTGGGCATGTGGCCTTCCGGCGGGTGAGAGGCAGGAGTCAGCCTGCCTCCGCACTCACCAGCTCCCAGGGGGACTCGAACAACACATTGCCCATGATCTGTCAAAAAATAACATAAAGCACTCTCCGGCCAGGACCCTAAGTGGGTGACTCAGGGCTGGCTGAGCTGGATTCCAGGAAAGGGGGCCGCTTCCTGCAGCCTCTGTGGGGCTGGGGGAGGCTCAGTGCCCGCCGTCTGGGGGGGTTTCTCACCAACATAATACCTGCTGTCTGCGGTGGAGGCAGAACAGCAGGAGGCCACAAACCTACCCTGGCCTTTTAATGAGGGGACTTTGAAGGAGCCAGGAGCTGCTGTGAGAAGGCTGGAGTGTGACCCGGGGGCCTTGAAAGGGACAGGAGCTCAGAGCCCAGGAGTGGCAAGCCACCATTGACTTTCTCAGACCTGGGGTCTCAGTGGCCTCTCGTCCCCCACGAGGCCAGGGCTGGGACCCTCTGGCTGACAGGGAAGGGCAATGAAGCAAGCAGGGACAGCGACAGGCTGACAGTCAGGGGCCCTGAAAACTTGAGACTCCCCAGAAGGCAGAGCCCCCAAAGGAACGTGTCCTGCAGAAACTGAGCGCACCAAGGCACGGTTCCAGGAGGGGACACTGGAGAAAGGAACTGTGCATATCTACAAAACCACCTGAAGTTAACATGAAAACACCCCCAGGCAGTGCTGGGGGCCTGGCCAGATGTGGCCTTGTCACCTAAGACAGAGTAAGAAAAGGGCAGGTTGTAGAGACCACCCGTGAACCCAACCTCCTCCATCAAAAGAAAGAGTGTCTTCACATTCAGAGAAAAAAAAAAAACGTGGATGAATACACCCCAGGGCATCCCCTAGGCTATTTTTGGAAATTGAATCATGAGATAATTACTTTTACCCCTTCTTAGGTTTCTGTATTACCTGGCCTTTCTGCAATTAGCATACATAAAGGAAAAGTAGTGATTTCTATTGAAAACATAAGGAGCCCGTCATGGGTTGGATCGCCACCCCCATCCTCACGTAGAAGCCCTGACCCTCAGGACCTCAGAATGTGACCTTCTCTAGAGCCTGGGTCTTTACAGAGGTCATGGGGTGTGCCCTAATCCCATAGATGGTGTCCTTATAAAAAGGGGAGATTAGAGCCAGACGCACAGGGACTTGCCAGGTGACAATGAAAACAGACACAGGTGAGGCTTTTACTAGGCAGAGTGGCTAGCAGACCCCTAAACCCTGGGGCACGGCCCAGGGCAGATTCTCGCTCCCAGCCCTTGGAAGGAATAGGCCCTGCCTACACCTGACCTTGGACTTCCAGCCCCCAGATCTGCCAGGCAGGAAGTGCTTGTGGCTGTAACTCCCAGTTTGTACTTGGAGCCAGCAGGGGGCCAGGTGCCCAGGTGGGTGGGGGGGAGAGCTGGGACCAAGCTCTGAGGTAGAGGGAGGCTCCTGCAGACCCAAAGCCACCCCCAAGACAGCATCCCTGACTGGGCATCAGAGAGCCTTGACCATTCAGAGCTGCATCTTTTGGCCCCCTGCCCCTGCTCAGAGGTGGTGAGGGCATCAGAGGCCAGAGGGGTCCTAACTAGGTTGGCAGTGGCTTCCAAGTGGCAAAATATCAATTAGTGGAAAGGTGCTGCCTGGAGAAGGGGTCTGTGGGGAGATTCGGATACTGCGTGGGCGATAGATCGGTAGCGTCTGCCGCGGGAGGAGGAGGAGACACAAAGTCAGAAACACTCCTCTGTAGTGTCCAGGCACAGACCATTCAGAACAACCGTGACCTGGTACAGGTCTGACCATTGTTGTGCAGTCTCTCAGGACAGCTCTTTTCTCAGTTTTAAGGCTCGGTGTGGCCCTAGGAAGAGGGGAGCTGGGGACTCCAAGGTGGCAGGACTTAGTGACACGGCTAAGCTCCGTCCTTTCTGACCTCCTAGTACGACAGGCAGTGTCAGGAGCTGGGGACCAGCACTAATAGTCACCCACAGCCACCCCCAAGGGCAACATGGACACTGTTGATTCACTCTGCCTACTTCAGGGGGTTGTGGACTGCCCAGATGACCCATGTCCACACCAAATGACGAGGAACAGCCCAGGTGCCCTGTCCAAGATGAGTGGTGTCATGGTTGGAGGTCAGGTGTCCCCCAAGACTCCCGTGAGACGATGCCAGAAGGTTCAGAGGAGAAATGATCAGGTTGTGACAGTCTTAACCCAATCAGTGAACGGGCCCCCGATGGGATTAACGGGTGGTGACTGAGGTGGGCACGTGTGGCTGGACGGGCTGGTCCTTGGGGGCGTGCTTTGGGGTATATATATTTGGGGAGCTGAGCTTGGTCTCTGATTCCTGGTCATGTGAGCTGCTCCCCTCCGCCACTCTCTTCTGCCGTGACGTTCTGCCCTACTCCAGCCCTTAGGAACGGAGCTGGCTATCTATGGACTGAGACCTCTGACTCCATGAACCCCAAATAAACTTTCCCCCTCTACCATTGTTCTGGTTGGTCTTTGAGTCACAGCAGTGGACAAGCTGACTAAAACCAGTGGCAAACACTCGGCTCCTCTGAGTGACTCGGTTTCCCTGGATGGAAATGGGCAGGGGAACCCACAAGGCAGGAGACCCCCAGGTGCTCCCCACTGGTTCAGTCGGAGGCTGTGACTAGGCAGGGAGGAGTGGGCACCCTGGCACAAACCCCGCTGTGCAGGGACCACGTCTCTGTCCACAGAGGTCTGGGCAGGGACACCCCGTACCTCTCACTGCCAGGAACGCCCGGGCTGTGGCAGAGCCCAGGAGGTTGTGGGCGACACACTCATAGGCTCCGGCGTCCGCAGCCTCCGCGCGCTCCAGCCACAGGCTCCCATCCGGCAGGGTCCGCAGCCGCCGGCCGGTCCGCAAAGGTCGACCTGCCTGCAGCCACTTGATGGTGGGCATGGGCTCCCCGGTGGCCTGGCACCGCAGCACCACGTCCTCCCCGGATCTCACTGTCACGTCCTGGGGCTCCACCTGGAACACTGGGGCACCTGTGGGAGGCCCAGGTGGCTTTTAGGAACTTTAATTGTTTCTTAAACACATTCACTTAGACACATTAGGACACAGGAAAGGCAGGAAGGAAAAGAATAACCGTCACCCGCCATCTGTGACTCAGGTACCACGCCTGCGTGTTTCCTTCTAGACATGGCTCCCTTATGGAAAATACGGTCACATGCTGCCTAGTGACACTAGTGACATTTTGCTCAAGGATGGGCTGCGTGTGTCATTTGGTCCCATAAGATGACACTGCCTGGGGTGTCGGAGCTGCCTCTGTCTGGGGAAGTATGCCAGCAACGTTCCCATGACAGCAAGACTCCTGACCACCCACTTCTCAGGACGTGTCCACGTGACGCACAACTACATGATTACAACGTGCCTGCTTCTACGTTTTACTCCACGATGGACCCCATACCTCCCTGTGCCACTGAATGTTCATTTCACTCTACGTGGTCCACTGTCTTGACGTACTGTGACTTGCTAAACTGACCCTCACACAGGACACTTAGATTGTTCCAGTGTTAAATGACACTCTCCATGGGAGGCAGAACCTGGGCTCTGTCTCTCTCCCCAGGTCACTGCCCGACCCTCAGTTCTCTCATCTGAAAGGGAACGTCTAACTGTGGCCTGCCCCACAGCGGGAAGCACACGGCGATGAGAACAGTCAAGCCACTCCACGGGAACCACAGGAAGAGCGCCAGGTGCTCCGCTCAGGAGAAGGCTGTCACTCAGCGCTTGAGATGCGGCTCCTGCTCATTCCCACCCCCCTTCTGGTCCGCTCCGGGGTGCTGGCATCTGCCTGGACCTGGTATATCCTAGGAAGCTCCTCCCACTGAGCTACTCCCCAGCCTCCAATTTCATTCAAGTAAAATGTCAAGCACAAGCAAGAGCCGGGCCTCCAGCCAGGGCTGAATGATCATTGGCAAGCCTGCTCCCCCCCAAGCCACGTAAACCTTGACGAAACTGCCCCAGGGACCACAGGGCTCTAGAACTCAGCAGTCACCCCAATCGGGACTCATTTTCCTATCCAGAGCTTCCAGGACTTTGCTAAGAGCAGCCGAAGCTCCGCGGCCTTCCTGCCTGGGACTGTGTCCCACCAGTGGTCGTCACTGCACAAGCAGGAGCTTTTGCCTCTCCAGGGGTGAGGAGCGCGGCCAGGGTGGAAGCAGCTACTGTGGCAGGAGAGGAGCAGGCAGGCGGCCCTGGTGCGGGGCCAGAGAAGCTGCCTGAGACGGCAGGAGGAGCTGGAGCCATGTGAGCTGGGAGACCCAGGACCCCGGGACCCCTTCTCCAGGTGTTTCCAGCGTTTCCACAGTTGCTCTGGGTTCTTACGACCCCGACTTTGAAGTCCTGCCCGGGCCGCTCCTCGGAGTCCGGCTGTCTTTCTCATTCAGCTGAGATTTTCCTGGTGCTGGTTTAACCAGGGATTTCCATGGGGCCAGCTTGGAGCTGGTGGGGTCTGGCCTGCTGTCTCCATCCTGCCAGGGCCCCTCCGCCCTCACTGCCTACCCTCCAGGGAACGGGGAGGGTGCCCGGCTTGCTGGGCAGCTGGGGCACAGCACCAGGCCTCCTGGGGAGGGGACGGCACCTCTCAGCACTCCCCCTGCCTCCCCTGACCGGGGGCTTCCCCGTGGTGAGTGAAGAGGGCTCTGTCTCCCGCAGGCTGACACCCGGGGCCCAGTGTGGGCAGCGGGGCCTCCCTCCAGCCGAGCACGGACATGGAGGGCCTGCTTGGCGTGCGTGGGGGGACGCACTTCTGTACGGTGTTGTCTGGAAGCTTCTTTCCCTAGTCCTCTGGCAGGAGAGGACGGGCTTCTGAGGGGCCTTATTTACTGGTTTACTTCCAGTCGGAGCCTGTGGTGTTCTCAGCTCAGCCCAGGGGACACGAGGAACCTGCCACCACCTAGCTCCTCAGGCCCCAGATCAGGGGTCCTGCTTCCTTTCCTTGACTCACTCCTGGCGCTGTCTTCTGTGTGAAGGCTCCGGGCCATCCTGAGCAGGGGGACACGGGCTGTCCATCCCGTCTGGAACCAGGAACCCTGCACTGGGACACTCCCCATGCTGGACGGAAAAGGGGCTCGCCCAGCTGCACACACTCCACCCCGAACGAGAGCGGGAGGACGTCCATTCTGCCCCTCGCTCACACTGTACCAAGGGGCCGAGCAACGAGATGAGACACCGCAGAGAATCAAAGGCCGTGTCGCTAGCCATGAAGGACACGCAGGAGACACAGGCAGGAAGTCCCAGGAGCAGACCAAAACTTGACTAGAACCAAGGACCAAGCCAGGTGGCAGGTGCCAAAGCAAGACAGAAAATCAACCGTGTTCCCAGATATCAGCAGTGGAAAATCAAAAAATCAAACTAAGAAATAACTCCATCCATCCTACATCTCCTGAGGCAGGAGAATTACAAATCCAAGGCCGACCTCAGCAACTTAGTGAGACCCTGTCTCAAAGTTTAAAAAAAAAAAAAAAAAAGGGCTGGGGATGTAATTCAGTGGTAGAGCAGCCCCCTGGGTTCTCAGTACCTGCCCCCCAAAATCTAAAATAATAAAATACTTAGTAATCTATTTAACAAAAGAAATACACCAAAAACTATAAAGTATCACTCAGAGGAATTAAAGACCTGCATCAGTTGGATTCCATATGTAGGAAAAAAAGAAAGGAGTTTAGACCCTGAGCTGACATAAAAACACATGAAATGGATCACAGAGCTAAGGTGTGAGAAGAGACTATGAAAATTATAGAAGAAAATAGAACCTTAGGTTAGGCAAAATATATGATCCCCAAAATATGAAATCCATTAATCTGAACTTCATCAAATTTTAACACTTATGTTTTTCAAAAGTACCATTAAGACAAAGACAAGCCAGGGAGGTGGCCACGCCTGTAATCCCAGCCACTCTGGAGGTTGGGACAGGAGGATGGTGAGTTTAAGGCCAGCCTTAGCAACTTGGCAAGACCCTATCTCAAAATAAAAAATAAAAAGGGCTGGGGATGTGGCTCAGTGGTAGAGCACCCATGGGTTCAATCCCTGGTACCAAACCCAAACAAACACAAAATTTAAAAAATCAACAAAAAAACATAAAAGTTACCATCTTAACCTTCGAAAGTAGGTTGAATGCGTTACATTGTTGCAAAACTGTCCTGAGAATTTTTCATCTTTAGAGGGAAATCCTGTACCCATCAAACACCAGCACCCTTCTACCTTCTGTCTGAACCCGGCTGCTCTAGGGACTCATGGGAGTAGAATCCTGTAGTGTTTTCTTTTTGTGACCGGCTTATGTCACAACATAGTGTCTCCGAGGTTCACCCTCATAGGTAGGTGGGTCCAATTTCCCTTTTTAAGGCTTTTTATTCCCCGGGGAGGAATGGGTGGACTTTCTGTATGTCAATTGTACCTTGGTAAAGCCGGAGGTTCTTAAAATAAAACAGGTGAAGCTCAGGACGGTGGTGAGCAGGTGGAGGCGGTGACTCGAGGGTAGTGCCCGGAAGCTGACACGGCAGGGGGCTCACCAACGAGACTCACTGAAGGGACACTGGGGTCCCAGGGTGCACTCGGCTCCACAAATATGTCTGTCTTCAGTAAGACATTTCCCACAAACCCCCAGAGGCACCCCTTCACGGGTCCTTTTCAGGCTCACGTGCACCTTGTAGCTCTAGGCACTTGGCAAACGTGGGAACTGTGCTTCCAGCTCAGTGTGGACACGGGCTGCCCCAGGCCTGGCGTTGGGTCCCTGGGGACTCACTAGTGGACAGGGCGTCTCCCCCTGCGCTGGGGAGACACTCCCAGGACTTCACCTGTGTTCCCCAGCCCCAGCTACCCCTGAGCACCCACGTCCCATGTCCCCATCTGCTGGGAGAAGGGCCAGGGGCAGGGACAGGGACCTGGAGACTCACCCTGAAGCACAAGGGTCACCACTTTCTTCACGGTGCCCATCTCGTTTTCAGCCAGGCACTGGTACTGTCCCGCGTCGTCTGGCTGCAGGTGGCAAGGAGGGACAGCCATGCTCAGGAGGGACGAGGAGCAGCTGGGCACAGAGGGACAACTGGGCCGTGACCCCTCTGACCAGAAAGGTGCTTAGAGAAATCGGACAGGGCCACCAGGGCATGAAAAAGGCCCTGAGGCACTTGTTGAGGGTTGTTCAGAGGGTCCACCATGGCGGGCGGTGACCAAGGGCAGGGGCCCCATCTGCAGGAGAAAGCACACCTAGACCTGCCTCTCCAAGCCGTCTACACCGCAGCACTATGCTCCACTGTGCGGTGTCGGAACCTTTGAAGAAGAGGGTTCCCGGGGGAAGGTGACTGGGAAACACCGAGCTGGATGTTTGTGACCCAGGATTCCCCCTGCATTCCTGGCCAGTGTGTACTGTGTGTCTTCCAGAGGGCGGAGGGCTGGCAGCTGCCCCCCACCTAGGTGGCCGGGGAGATCTGACTCTCAGGATACCCTGACCACACACCTGTGATGCAGGAAGAGTGGCCTTGCCACCAGAGGAGGGCAGCCTGTGGCCCTGTCCACACCAGAGGACGACACCCAGGACGCCCAGGGACAGGGTGGCACAAAGCAAAGAGTGTAGGTTTGAAGGCCAGTCGGATCTGTGACCAAACCCCAGCCTTGCGGCTCACCTGTGGCACCCGATCCCCGGGACATTCCCTGTCCCTGGCGCCTCAGTTTCCCCATCTCTAAACTGGGGGAGAGACCACTTGGGCTGTTACAGGCCCTGAGGTGAAAGGAAGGGTCCTGGTGGGTTCCCCGGGCACAGGGGCCACTGCTACTGCTGCTGGGGTCCCTGGCCCATCACAATGGGGACACAGAGACAGCTCCCAGTGGGCAGGTCCAAAACCCGAACAAGAACTTGAGATTTGTGGGTTTTAGCAAATCCCTGGACTTGGAGCACAGGGTAGAAGGCGAGCGGGGGCTGCCCCTGTGTTCAAGCCTTTGGAGACAGTGGGCAAGGACTCAGGGGACCTGGGGCAGAGTCCCGCCTCAATCACTTCCTGGCTGTGGGCCTCTCTGAGCTTCGTGTCTTTATCTGTAAATGGGGACACTATTACCTGCCTGCTCTGCCCATCGTGTTGTTAATACGAGTATCTGGGGCCTCAGCCACAGCCCGTCCCACATACCTGGCAGGTGTCAGCCTGAGTTCTCACCACTAACCCGGGGGGTCAGGCTCGGGAGAGGGTGGGGGACTGGAGCACAGAACTTCCACTGGGGAGAAGCCCCCTGGGCAGAGGGAGGACCCCTGGGGAACAAGCCTGCAGAGGGCCACCAGCCTGCAGCACCCTCTCGGTACAAGCACAGGGGTGTCCCTGCTGGCCTTGCCAAGTGCCGGCCCCGCCTTGCCTCGGTCCTTCGGATGGTCAGCGAGCCGTTCTGCAGCCAGTGGCGGGCACGGCTGCGGGGCAGCGGAAGGCCATCTTTGGTCCAGCGGATGTCTGGTGCTGGGTCTCCATGGACCACACAATCCAGCCGGATGCTGCCCCCTACAGGCTCCACCAGGTAGGAGAAGGCCTCTCCTTGTAGGACCGGAGCCTCTGCAGGGGGTGACATCTCGTGAGTGGTCAGGAGGGAGGCTCCCTGAGGGTCAACCTCCCATAAACCCACCCCACAGGCCTGCCAGCCCTGCCTCCAGGGGCTCCAGGGCTCCTGATGGCCCCGGCTCTGTATAGTCAACGGGTTGGGAGGGCAAACAGCTTCCCTGTCCTGGGTCACATCACATAGCCATGCCAGGGCCACCAGGAACTGTGCTGAGAAGAATTTGAAGCTCAGTGGGGATTGTGGTGGACTAGTGATGCCTGAGACAGGCACAGGCAGGGACACAGCACAGGCCGAGTGTGCCAGCCGTGGAGGACCCGCCAGGCACTTTGGCGAACCAGAGCTACAGGAAAACAGGAAGGCGCACAGCAAAGCCAAGAGAGCGGGTGTGGGCAGTGGGCGGAGGGCGTGCCTCCCAGCACCAGGCCCCAGGTTCCATCCCCAGCACCACGAGGGGCGGAGGGGAGGGAGCACAGCAAGTGCTGGGCACTCTGCGGCCTTCCATCCTGGTCCCTGACACGGAACCTACTCTAAAACCTGCAGGGGTGCCCTGGTGCCTCCTGAAGTTGAGCAAAGAGGTGACAAGGTCCCTGGGCTGCCCCTAGTGGAGCAAGGCTAAAGAGGACAGGTGGCAGGCTACGCGCCTCGGGCACTTCTCCACCAGGCTGCCCTGGCCCCTGTGCCCTCCTCCGTCCCTGGTGCTGTCCACATGCAGGTAGGCCCATCGCTGAGTGTGAAAACACAGCCACTGGGAGGACAGGGCCTGGCCTCTTGGGAAAGCCACAGGCTGGGGTGCACAGAGGCCTCGAGACAGCCGCGGGCTGGCCCTACCCTTCACGTGGACGAAGCTGACCGCCTGCACGCGGCCCACTCTGTTCTCAGCCCAGCAGACGTAGGTCCCGCTGTCCTCTTTGGTGACGGCCGCCCGCTGCAGGGTGCTGCCCCCGTCCTGCTCAGACACCCCATCTGTGGTAGAGAAAGAGGTGGCCCAGTGTGGGAGCCTTTCTCCCTGAGATTCCACCCAGGCCTGGGTACCCAGCAGGCGCTTAATAAGGACACAGCAATGGAAAGGAGTGTCCCTCCACCCTGGACGTGGGAGTCGCAGGGCCCGGAGGCTGTGGTGAAAGAGCCTGCGCACCCCAGAGAGAGCTGCACCCGAGCAGCTAGGGCCAGGCCTCGGGGGGCCATCACCATGTGGCCACAGAGCACCGCCATTTCCCTACAGAGGGGTCCCAGCGGGTGCTGTCTTCCTGTCTGTGGCCCCACACTGGCTGCACACCAGGGACAGGACAGGCGTCACCACCCCTGAGGCATTCGCTCTGGACAAGGCCCGGCGCCAAGCGCGGCTCCTGCATCCTGTCAGCCTGGCCCCGGGCTCCTGGTCCTCCCCTTTCCCAGATGAAGCAGCTGGGAGGGCGGCCCACCAAGTTCTGCCCCCAGAAAGGGCAGGGCCTGGCAAACCACCACTGTGCCAAGGTGTGTCACAGACCTGACCTGGGGGGGGCATCGCGCTGGAGGGGGCTCAGCAACTCAGCAATTCACCTCACTGAAGGTCACCTGGATCCCAGGTGGGAGGACAGATCCCCCAACACCCTGAGGGTCCCGCCATGGGAGCAGCAGCCCTGGCTGGAAGCAGGCCCTTGCTGGCCCGAGCCCTCTGGTTTGAGTCTCCCCGGGGCTTCCTGCCAGCTCGGATACATGGCCTGTCCCATGCAGACACGCAGGTCTGCCCTGTGTCCCTGGAAACCAGATCCGGAAGCCACGGGCTCTCAGACAACTTCCTGTCCAGTAGGCAGGTCTCCAGCCCATCCCCACACCCTGCCACTGTCCTACCACCCCCACACAGACCTGTGACGGGCCGGTCATTGATGGTCCAGCCAAGGCGGGGGGTTGGGCTGCCACGGGCCGCACAGCGAAGCCACAGCCTGTCCCCGAGGCGCAGGCTGCGGTCCCCAGGCAGGGTGGTGAAGACAGGCAGCGCCAGGATGGTGAGGTGCACTCGGCGGCGGGCCCGGCCCACGGCGTTCTCTGCTGTACAAGTGTAAGTGCCGGCGTCCTGGCCCTGTGGGCAAGAGAGGTGCCAGCCTGAAATCTGTCCCCTGGCACCGTGCCCCTGTGGACCCATCCCCTGCATGTTCCCAAGGAACATCCAGCCCAGAGAAGTGGAGTGACCTGCCAACGATCACACAGCTAGCTACCGGAGGTCCCCACCACTGCGCCCTGAACCCACTACAGCTTTCATAGGGCTGTGCTGCTTTGCCATCCAATCCTGCCACAAGACACAAACGACAGGAACCAACCGCTCCCGTTTACTGAGCACCTACTAACTGCTGGCCTCTATGTTCAGAGCCAGACCTGCTGCACCTCATCCATACTTGAAAGACCCCGGGGCAGGCCCTACTTTTGGTGCCTTTGCGGAGAGGGCCCAGAGGCTCTGAGGGGAGGCGTTCTGGGGAGCGCTGAACAGGGTGGGGCACCTCCACTGCATGCCTAGCTCCCTTGGCCTGGTAGCCGGCACCCCATGCAGCCCCCCAGCCCATTTGCAATTACAGAATGTGCTGAGTGCTGATGAGGAGGCCGTGGGGGTCCCACCCACAGCCTGGCTCAGCCCCCCACTGACCACGCGAATGGTCTACACCAAGGCCCTGCCAATCCCCCTGCCCCCGGAGCTGGTGACGAAGGTAGGGTCAGTACTGATTGTGCCTCTTAGCCACGATGTATCTTGGGACGATTAAGTTTTGTCATCAGTGGGTGGTAGCACAGGTCTCCTCCATTTCCTGGGGTAAGAGCTGCGCGGGGCTCTGTGAGAGCGTGGCACACGGGGGCTCAGCAGGAGCCTGCGGCTCCTGGATGGTGACATCATTCCCCTCCTGCTCCTTGGCCGGGGCCCTCACCTCCGAGTTCTTCACCAGCAGCTCCCCAGAAGGCTGGACGCTGACCCTGCCCCCGGCTGCAGACACGGGCTGGCCATCCTTCTCCCAGGTGATGTCGGGCTCAGGGCTGCCCCTGGCCACGCAGGGCAGGAGGGCATGGGAGCCCTCAGGGGCAGACAGGTCCGGGAGGCTGTTCTCGATCACGGGGGGGACTGTGGGGAGAGGGAGGTCCACTTGGGAATGGGTCGGAGCCTTGGCCTTTGGCAGGGCCCTCAGCACTCCCTATCAGCTGCCCCACCAACTTCCCATTTTGAGGTCATTTAGAGGTCATGGCCCGTGGCCTGGACGAGTGGGGCCCTGAGTGTGGGAAGCCATGCCGGGGGCCTGCTGCACACATGCGGTGACCCGGAGCTCCGGCCCAGAGGCGAAGCAGCTTCCCTTGGGCACAGACCCTGAGGAGGGCAGCTCCAGGATCAAAAGCAGAACAGTCATCGTGAGGCCCACGTGAGGCCTGGGCAGGGGGAGCCAGGCTGGGGCTGGGGCACGTGGCCTTAGGCTCATGTGGTGACCAACAGCCACGCGGCAGGTCACCAGGGAGAGAAGCAGGCCAGACAAAGGGGCTGGGAGGAGGCCTGGAGCCAGAGCATCTTCTGCGCTCACCGAAAAGTTGGGTCCCAACGCGCTAGGCTGCCCAAGGGACGGCCACCAGGACGCCCCGAGAGCAGGCCTGGGACTAGAGCGTGACGCCCACACTTAGCCTCCTTGGCCCAGCGCCAGTCTCTGCCAGGGCAGGAGTTTACGTCTGAAGCCATGCGGTACAACAGAGATGTGTCCCTGAGCCCCCCTAGAGCCACAGGCCGTGCTGGGGTGGGTGTGCCCTGTCTGGGCCCAGAGCCGGGCAGGGGCAGGAGCTCGCAGCAGCCCCCAGGCCTTTGGCTGCCGGGGACACCCCAGGCCCACCTTGCACCACCAGCCGCGTCTTCCCCATGGCGCTGCCCACCCCGTTCTGGGCGAGGCAGAAGTAGTTCCCAGCATCCTCGGGACGGGCGTGGATAATCTGCAGCTGTCCCCCGGGTAGGACCTGGGTCCTCACACCTGGATGTGACGGGAGGAAATGAGGGCCAGTGGCTGGAATAGGGGGGCCCTGAGGAGGCAGCTTGAGTGTCGCTGACAGGTATCAATGGGGGGCCCAAGGTGGCAGATGGGCAAGGAGGCCTGGCACGGAGCCAGCTGAGCCGGCCTTTCCTGACCCCCGGCTCAGCACTGAGCTCCCAGGTGGCTCTCAGGCTGCGGTGCCAGGAGAAAGGAGGGCAGGAGCGACACCAGAGCAGGGGGTCGGGACGTGCCTCTGGGCCGGGGGGGCTTTGTGGGACCTCTTGGCAGGGCTGGTCAGGGCAGGGGTGTCCTGGGGCCTGGAGAGGACGTCTTCCTCCCCTTGCTGCTGTGGGACTCACCTGTGGGGAGGCTGAGCCCCTCCTTCTGCCAGGTGACACTCGGCCGGGGGACCCCTGAGGCCTCACAGGGCAGCAACGCCTCCTCCCCTGCCACGACCCGAACCTCGCTGGGCAGCGGCTTCACCACAGGGGACGCTGAAGAGGCACAGGGGACAGAGGTTCCTGGGGACACTGCTAACACCAGCCCCACCAGCAGGGAGCCTCTCAGGACCAGGGAGAGAGGCTGATAAAGGGAGTGGGTTTCACAAAATCTTTGCAGCAAGAGCGCATAGGCGCCGGGCGCCGGCTCCACTTTCCTGAAGACTCCGGCGAGGGACTCAGATCAGGGGCAGGACCAGGCGTCCGGGACCGAGGGCCCCCCTTCACCCCCGCCCACTGCCGCCAGCTGTCCACCCACCCCCTGTCCCGGGACCCTTACCGTGCACAGCAAGGACCACGTGTTTGCGCGCCATGCCGGCAGAGTTGCGGGCAGTACAGGTGTAGCGGCCGGCATGGATGGGGAGGGCCTGCCCGATCTCCAGGGCACCTGCGGGTGGAAACGGTGCCCGGAGGATGAAGGGATTGGGGACAGAGGTGCCCGGCCCAACTGCAACCCCTGCCCCCTTGTTAACAGCACGGGGATGAGAGGCATGGGACCTGGGTTCTAGGCCTGCCTCTGTCCCTGCCTGGGGCGCCACTGCGAGCAAGTCCCTCCACCCTCTGGGCCTGTTTCCCCACGTGCACAGTGAAAAATCAACCAGATGGTCTCTGGAAACTCACGGCCCTCCCGGAGTCTCTGGCCCAGGGTTCCACTGCTATTCTCACCTTGCTCTGCTAAGACCCCACCTCCTCCAGGAGGCCTCCCAGGATTGCTGCCTCCCCTGTCCTCCCCACATCCCCCCTTAGCCCGGGGTCCCCAGCAAGCACTGTTTTAACCTTCTCAGAATGCAGGCTGCACCCCAGCTGGTGAGCAAAGAGGCCTCTAAAGTGTCCACTGGGGGCCCCTGAGGGCCTGCTGGGCAGGCAAGGGGAGCAAGGCCCGCTGGCCTCTGGACTACCCCGTGGGCTCGCCCCAGCTGCTTGATTTTCACTGCTGGCTTGGAGCACCCACTAGTGGGAGGGGAGGGTTCTGTTGTTTCCAACAGCTTGAAGAGCACCCTTCTAGCCAGAGGCCCCAGACCGTAGGATTTCACTAACCTACCAATAAATCAAGTTATGGGGGAGTCCCCATAAAGTGGCTCACTTGTTATGTTGACAAAGACATCTAAGACGTCACCACCTACTGTCCTACCACCAGCTTGATTTCATCAAAAGGAACTTTTAATACCTCAAGATCAAGAGCACAACTTCCTAAGAAAGGCAACGCCCCTCATGGGCTACAACTGGCCGTAAGGAGCTCTGGGCCACTGTCATGGACAGCACCGACCTGCCCAGGAGCCTCGGGGCACCACAGAGGGGCTCTCCCTAGCGCAGGGCAGGGACTGAGGCTGGCGGGGTGAGGCTGGGGACGGGGAGCTGGACGCGCTCTCCACCCTGTTGCACCACCTGGGCTCCTTCTCCTGCTGGCCCTCACTCACCTGAAGGCAGGACGCGGTAGCCGCTCCCCCTCGCCCCCAGCTGGGACCCTGCCTTGCTCCAGGACACGACTGGGGCCGGCATGCCTGCGCTGTGGCACGTGAGGATCACAGGTGCCATCCTGGCTGCCGTGAAGTCCGTCCGGTCATCTGCGATGGTGGGTGGCACTGGAACCCAAGGAGAGGTTTGAGGCCCTGCCGAGCACGTGGGGACACACAGCCGCCAGGGCAGGGGATGATAACTGTAGACGTGACATTGCTGATGAAGGCCAGGCACTGGATGTGGGCAGAGGCACATCTGCTCCCTGGGGAAATACCCCGGGGCATGGGAGGGTCTTGAAGAGCCTTCTGCAGAGAGCTGGCCGGGAACTCGGGGGCTGTAGGAGAGGGGGCTTGGCAGGGTTCACTGGGCCAGACTGCAAGAGGCCAGAGATGGCCTCCAGGACACGGCGTTAAACCTGAGATCTGAAGGAAGAGCAGGTGCTGGCTGGGTAGAGGGTATCGCGTGTGCAAAGGTCCCAAGAAAAGGGACAAAGAACCGAGCAGCGCAAGTGGACTGCAGAGGGGGGCGGGTGGTGGGTGAGCTGAACCTGGAGGCTCGGCTGGGCCGGACCACAGGACACGTGGGCCCAGGTGAGGGCAGTGGGCAGCCGTGGAAAGAGGGACTCCAACCAGGGTGATGACAAGGACACACTGGGGTGCCACATCGGGTAGGGCAGGGGCCGCCCTGCAAGCTCCTCTGGCCAGGAGCTGTGCGAAGCCGGGGTTGGGCCAGGGTGGAGAGCAGGGCCCAGGAGAGCTTCCTGGAGAGGGCCCTCTGCACCCAGAAGGGCTGGGAGTCTCCGTGTGCAGGGACAGCGCCCGAGGCGTCCCCGCCCACCTGCACCCGACTCACCCTGCACAGTCACCCGGTAGGGCCTTCGGGCCTCGCCCAGCTCGTTGCTCACCACACACTCAAACTGGGCTGAGTCTTGGGGGCCGGGGGCGGCGAGGAGCAGGGCGTTGGAGGGCAGGAGCCTGCCGGGGACACACGGGGAAGGGCCCGGGGCTGTAGTGGGGCCAGCCTGGCTGACCTGCCTGGCAGTCTGCAAGTGGGAGCCTCACGACCGTTCCCCCTCCTGCACCTGCCCCCAGTGTGACTCAGAAGCGCCTTCTAGAAGAGGAGGTTTTAGCTGCAGGCTTGGGGGAGATCTTCACCCCACCCTGTGTTTCTCTGCAGCCCTGCATGTGCTACGGGAACATCTAAATGACTTCTGTGATGACACACCCAAGTCCCCATCGGGAGGCTGAAGGTGTGTTGAGCTCATTTCAGGCATGAACTCCACAGTGTCCCCGTGTCTAACAGGACACAGAGTTGGTGAATCAATTGGCAAAGTGACTCCTGTGACACTCCGATGGTCACTGAGTGACCAGCTCCCACTCCAGCCGCAGGTCTTATTCTTGGTGTGCTTGCTTGGGCCGTGCTGGGATTGACCCGGGGCCTCAGGCATGCTGGGCCATACTCCCAGCTGCCTCATGTTTGGTTTTGATACACACTTGGCTGTAGGGCCCAAACCCCTTGCCCCATGTCAGGCAACTCTGTCTGCCTGAGTATAAGGACCCTCCTGGGCCCCTGGGGTCTGGTCCTGGCTCAGGAAGACCCGAGCACACATTGCCTGGCTGCTGAATGGCCCTGCTGTGTGAGATGGGCACACCCTCCCCACTGCCTGTGGCTCGGGAAGGCCCAGGTCCACCTGCATCCTTACCGGTAGGCGCCCTGCTGCAGGCGGAAGTCCAGCTTCTGTCCATCCTTCCACCAGACCACCAGAGGCTTGGGGGAGCCGCTGGCCTCACAGGGTAGTGAGGCCGGGCTGTGGGCAGTCAGGGTCACATTGGAGGGGCCAGGGGCAATGACTGGAGGCTCTGGGGAGAGGCAGGCGTGGGATGCAGGTCTGGGGCTGCCTGAGGCTGTTCCAGAGGCCAAGCCCGGGTTTGGGGTGCTCATTACCACCTTCATCCCGCCTCCCAGGGGCAGCAGGAGAGATGGCAGGGGGACCCCCTCCAGACTCCACCAGCTGGGGATGGGCTTCTCCTCATGCCTGGCCCCTCTCCTTGAGCGACTCCCCATCAGCCCCAGCCCCAGGCCAGGGCCATCTAGAGTAGTCGCCAAGGTGATGTGTTGGGTTAGGAAGAGAACTTTAATTGCAACACCTAGTTCAGTGATTCGACCTCTGGGGCATGCTTCATGGCTCACCAGAGCAGTGTGTGACATGTGTGTCAATATAAACACGCAGCCCTCACAGGTGCACGCTCACAACTTTTTACTAAAGGTTGAGAACATGGGAGACTATGTTGGGAGACTTGGGGGCCGGGAGGCGGCGAGAAGCAAGGCGTTGGAGGGCAGGAGCCTGCCGATGGACACAGGGGGAAGGGCCTGGGGCTGCAGGACAGCCGGGGGAACGCAGGATCAGAAACCCCACAAGGACCGGATGTGGAAGGCAGGGAGCAGGCCCTCCCTAGTGCACCTACCCAAGACCTGGAGGTCACGGCCTTGCCGGTCAGAGCCCGCGGAGTTGGAGGCTAGGCAGAGGTAGTGGCCAGCATCCTGGGTGAGGACTGGCTGGATCCTCAGAGAACCCTCGGGCAGAACTTCCAACCTGGAGCCCAGGGAGGGTTTGCGATGGAGACCCTCAAACAAGTGTGGCATTGAGAGGGGCTACATCCCTGATTATCTCCAACAAGACCCTGCCTGCCCCAGCTTTCCCAGCAGACCCATCGGACTCAGGACTCAGAGGCTGCTACTCTTTCTGGGCAGGGCACCAGGACTGTGGGGTGACCCTCCCTAAGGGCCAAGGCTGTTCTGCATAATCCCTCCCCCCGCCACAGGTGATTGGACCAGGGATAGACACCTCCCTCAGGCTGGGCCAATGGCTTTCTCTGCCCTGAAAGCTGGACAACTGGGGCCATGACTGGCCTTCCATGTCCCACCTGGAGTTCCCAGGATCCAGTGGCGCCCCATCCTTCCGCCAGCTCACGGCGGGCGGGGGCGTGCCATGGGCCTGGCAGGGCAGCAGGGCGGTCTGGTTCACAGAGGTGTTCACCACAGATGGTCCGGGCTGGATGGTGGGCACAGCTGGGGAGGGCACAGAGGGAGTGGCTGGGAACCCGCGGTGGCTCTACGGGGTGGGCGGGGGGCGGGGCACACTCACTGTGGATCTCCACAAGGAAGGCCACACTGGTGCTGCCTGCGTCGTTGTGAGCAGTGCAGCTGTAGTCCCCGCCGTCTGCTGTGCTCAGGGCCTGGAGCTGGAGGAACCTGCCCTCCTCGGGGAACTGCGTGTGGGCGTCTGCCTGCAGAGCCCCACCAAGGTGGGGAGGCCTCGTCAGCACGGGCGGGGCCAGGCCAGCTCTTGGCACCAGCCAGGGAGGACCCACGAGGCTGGACAGTGGCCCCTGCCCCATCCTGGCTGCAGGCCCTGACTCACTGCCCAGCTGAGGTCCTCTGAGGCACTGGGCACCTTTGGGGAGTACACTGTCCCCGGAGCTCCCACTAGATGACATGCCACCTTAGTCCACAACTGCAAACAGGCCCCATGTGAGGGTGAGCACAGAGAGCCTCAGTTACTGGCCTTAGGTCACACAGCCACTAAGTACACCTGGAGGGACCATGGAAGAGCAAGGTGTGTGCCTCAGAAGCCCCGTCCACGAAAGGGGGATGACAACAAGAACCACAGTGGAGATGTGCGCGGAGCGGGCCTCCGTGGTGGGAACGGAATTCATTGGTTTGGGGGCTGGGTTTCCGGCTTGGCACTCACCTGCAGCAGGACGCCATCTCGGTGCCACTCGATCTTGGGCATGGGCTCTGCCTCCACAGAGCACTCCAGGACCAGCTGGCCAGGGGCCAGGCCAATCACAGAGCGGGGCCCGCGGGGCCCAATGACATTTGGAGGGGCTGGGGGTGCAAGAGGAAGTGAGAGGTGGGCCCTCCGCGGCAGACCCCATCCTGCCTCCACCCCTAAGCCCCCTACCTTGAACCCTGACCCGGAAACTCTTCTCCACTTTTCCTGCAGGGTTCTCAGCCAGGCAGGTGTACAGCCCAGCATCACTGACCTGTGGACACAGCAGGATGAGCAGCTGCCGCTGGCCCCCACTGCCCGCTGCCAAGCTGGCCTGTTTCTACTCAGCAAAGGGCCAGATCTGGGCTCCAGTCTGCAGAGGCTGCTGTCCCGCCTCCCAGCCTCCCGCTCCCCTCCGGATTTCTTCTCCACCTCACTCCCACTCTGAGGATGGAACAGGCTGCTTCTCCCAGGAAGCCCCCCGACTGCACCAGCCCCCCTCTGGCCTGGATGAGGAGTTATCTGGTATCTCCTTCAGTCTGAGTTCTGCAGGGCTGGGAGCACCGAGGGCCCAGTGGGTCGTCTCCACCCCCTCAAACCCCACGCAAAGGACAATGCAGCCTTCCCTTGGCATCTGACCACTGAACTGGGGAAGCTGCAGACCCCCTCCTCCCAGCTCCCAGCCTCATCCCACAGCGGGCAGGGACCGGCACCTGCACGGCCTCCACCCGGAGCGCCTGCCCGGCTGAGCTGTGGTTCTCCAGGGCCCGTTCGTCCTTGTGCCAGGTGACGTTGGGTGGGGGCATGCCTTGGGCGTCACACAGGAGTTCCAGGGGGGCTCCCGGGGCTAGCGACAGCTCTGCAGGCTGGCCGGAGTCTTCAATGTAGGGGGGATCTACAACACCCCAGGCTGGGTCAGCCGTGCTGCAGGCTGGGGGTCCTCTGCCCCTGCACCATCCAGTGCTGAGAGCAGAGGGGGCCAGAGGCACGTGAGTGGGGGGCTGGGGGGCCTGGAAACATCAGGAGCCATGGGGCCACCTTCCTGGGCAGCTAGTTGTACTTTAGAACCAACGAGGACACAGTGCAGGGGACACAATTGCCACACATTTTTCCAATATAGCCCAACATCAAAATTTAGGGAGGGCTCAGCCCCCAGATTTTGGTGGCTTCTGTTCTCGCTTCTGTTGCCAAAGTTTGGTGGACAAGACAGTGGGACACAGCCCGGAGAACCAGATATCCCGGCCACCGAGCCCCTGCCAGTGGGGCCAGCAAGATGCCCACGCAGAACCAAGCCCTCTGAGCCTGCTCCCACCGCCTGTGCCGGCATCCCCAGAGTCCCTTCTCCCTCCGGCCAGAGAGCCCTGGAGGACCGATGACCCACCCATCACGGTCAGCTGGAAATGTCTCCGCGCCTCGCCGGCCTCGCTCACGGCCACGCAGGAGTAGGTCCCTGAGTCGCCATCCCCCACCGTCCACAGCTGCAGGCCAGGCCCCTGCTCCAGGCTCTGCGGCAGGAAAGGCTGCCCATCCTTCACCCACGACACGAGGGGCGGGGGGCTGCCCCGGGCCTCACACGGGAGGACCACGGAGGAGCCGCGGGCCACCACGACATCATTCTGGAACTCCACCGGCTCCAGGAAGGGGGGCTCTGTGGAGGGGGAAAGGGCAGGAACCATTTTATTCCACAATAGGCAGCCCTCGCCCCGGACCTTTACACAAACCCTCCCTAATGACCCCATGCCCGCCTCCTGGGCATTGCTCTCACCTCCAATACCCGGCTTCACCCACCAGGGAGCACCCCTGAGTCCCAGAGGCAGGGCAAGCTGCCCTCCCCTGCGGTCCCCCAGCAGCCTCCCCATCCCCTGGTGGAGCTGGGCTGGCCCCTTTGCACCCCGCCGGACACTAGTGCCTGGCAGGGCCCTGGAACAGCTGGATGTCTGACCACTGCTTGTGAGACAGACGAGTGAGCAGAATCCAAGGCTGTGGACAAGTCTTGCTCAGCCTCGAAGCCCTGAGGCCAACCCTGGGCAGGGCTCGAGGGCCTTGATCCTCACTCACCAAGGTCAAGGGACCCGTGTGCCCACCCTGGTGCGTACCGAGCACCTGCAGGGTGAAGTTCCTGTCGGCCACTCCTGCCGGGCTCACGGCCACGCAAGTGAAGGTGCCGGAATCTTCCAGGTGCACCTGAGAAATCCTGACCCCAGGCTCCCCAGGTGGGGCGGCGGGCAGGTGGGAGAGAGGCGGGGAGGGCGCTCAATCCAGACGCCCCTCCCCGTGCCAGCCTGTCTCTCAGTGCCCAGCTTCTGTGAAGACCCCTTTCCTGGTCCCCGGATAAACCTGCGCCCTGCCCTTGCTCTGCCCCGTCCCCTCTGGCCCACCCTGCCTGTGGCCAGGGAGCCGTGTGCCCAACCCTGGCAGTGCTGGGGACCTGCCTGGGCTGTCCCCGCCCACTGCTCCACCTTCTGCCCCTCCTCTCCCACGAGCCCCTTTTGCCCGACCTCCCCTCCCAAGCCGCTCTTGTCACAGCGCAGAGATGGCCCTGGTGACCAAGCCGACCACCAGCTCGGGCCTGGCTCCTGTCGTGCAGTGGGTGTCCCTCCTGAACCCGTCTTCCTGCCTGCGCCCCTGGATCTTCTCCCCGGCTGCACCCCTTCCCTGGGTCCTTGGGGGCGTCCTAACCCAAGCAGTGGGTGCAGCCCACTCGCTCTGGGCCGGTTGAGCCAGCCCCAGCGTCCAGTGTCACCCTGCTCTGACAGTCCCCAAACGTCTATCTCCCTGAACTCCAGATGGGAGAGCAGCACTGCCGGCATCACCCTGGACCTCTGAGGAGCCCTCAGCTGCCTGGTCATCAGGATCAAAGTGGAGTCACTTTGGTCAAGGCCACCCACAGAAACAAGCCAAGGAAGGTGGGTCATGAAGGAGGGCTCTCACTCGCCACCGCCCGACAGTGACTGTCACAAGATGCTTCACCAGGAGCACCACTGCGCCCAGAACACACTTGGGCAAGACCAGCTGTCCAACAGGCCGGCGGGCACTGGGGCAGCCGAGTGCCCTTGTGGCCGCGGATCCTGTTTGGAAGCCTCGCAGGCAGCCCTCATTCTCCTTGAAAGTCCCCCGCTTTAGCCTCTTCCAGGACGCTGCCACGCAACAGGTGTTCACAGACAGGCCTCGTCACCTCCTGAGCATCTCCTCTGCTGTCACTTAGGCTGACATCCCCAGGCACTGCAGCCTGCTCCCCACAGCGCCCGCTCAGAAAACAGGACTCAGCCTCCCAGGGGACTGAACACCCCAGGTCAGACCCAGCCCGGCGAGGAGTACAGCCACGCGTTCTCTTCCGGAACGCGGAACTCCACCAGCCACTCTCCAAACACGCCTGCGACCTGCCCGTGGCCGCTGCCCTCCCCACACCACGGCTCTGACCCTGGGGGGCTGCAGTGACCGTCTGCCTTCCCAGATCTGCCCTGGGGCCCCGGCCTGCTGTCCATGCTGCAGCGAGAAGGACCCGAAAGACCCAAGCGACAAAGGGTTGATGTGAACAGGTATTTGCGCCCCGTGCTCCTGAGCACCCAGGTGCTCTTGGACCTGCTGTCCCTCTGCCTGCACCTCGTCACCCATCCTGAGCACCTGTCCCTGACCACCCTAAAATAGCACCCTCCTCGGCCCCTGCCCCTGCCCCCACCCCCAGAGCTTGCCCTGTCTATGCCTCCCCAGAGCACACACCGCTGGTGACACGTCCTTCTGTATGCTGATGTTCTGTACCTGCCTGGCCCGTGACATGCAGGGACATGGGCTGTGTCGTGCTCACTGCTCTGTCAGGGCCTGGAACTCTGCATGGAACAGTAAGCACTTCACAGGGTCACTGGATGCATGAATTGGCCCAGGCACCTTCTTCCAGAAAGCCCTCCCTGATTTTCTCCACCTGGCCAGGCTGAGTCAGGCAAGACGCGGTGCTTCTGCCCACTCTGTGCCACCCCCAGCAAGCTGTCCGAGCGCTGAGGGCAGAGGACCCTTCCTTTCCAGAGCTCCATCTGGGGGCGGGTCCCCTCTCTCTCCTCACTATCAAATCTGTCTGTTGCTACTATTTTTATTCTAGGACCCGAGCAGAAGCATTTTAAACCAAGCTACTTGCGCGTCTGGGGCCTGCAGCTGGCTGGCCAGTGGCTGAAGCCTGTCCCCTACCTGAGGGTGCGGCCAGAGCTGTGGAGGAGGGTGCGCTGGGAGAGCGGGAGGGGCAGGCCGTCCTTGAGCCAGCTCACGTGGATGGGCGGAGAGCCCCGGACAGGGCACGCCATGGTCACTGTCTCCCCCGGCCTGCTCACCAGGGTCCCTGCGCTGCCTGCTCCCTGATCAATGGTGGGAGGAACTGGGGGAGGCAGAGGAAAGACGGTGATGGGGGCCTGGGGAAAGGGGCTCCCAGGGCACCCAGGGGCCTGCCCAGACCTTCTGCCATCAGCAACCACTGTGTTGGGGGTTCCCAGAGCCTTCTGCACCCCCACGAAGGGTGAGCCACTGTGGGGCATGGCCTGGCCCCAGCCCTCTCTCGTCTCCCTTTATCCCCAGACTTGGCTGCACCCTGGGCTGGAGGGTGAGGCCAGGAGGCCCAGGAAGGTCAGAGTGGATGTCACCCAGTCTTGAACCCAGGTCTCCCTACCGGGCCCTCCTGTCGCCCTCCAGCTGCCCCCATGGGGGCCCCATGTTGGCCGGGCTGCTGTGGCCTGGGACCCCGGGGCCTGCTCCTGCCTTGCTCCTACCCAGCACGTTCACGGTGTGCAGCCTGGCGTCCTCCCCAGCCGGGTTGTGGGCCACGCAGGTGTAGGCGCCCGAGTCCGAGGCCCTGAGGCCCTTCAGCACCAAGGAGCCGCCGTCCAGGTAGAACCTGCCGCAGGGAGGCGGGGAGGGATTGCCGAGGACAGGCGCCCGTGGGCCGGAGGCCCTGCCTCCTGGGGAGGGCACATGGGCCTTACCGGAGGTGGGAGCCTGCGCCCTGGCCCAGCGGGCTGCCGTCCTTCAGCCAGGCCACGTCGGGAGGCGGCTGCCCCTCGGCCTCGCAGTCCAGCCGCACCTCCTGCTCCTCCAACACGCTGTGCTCCTGCGCGGTGCCCGAGCTCCTTATCCGGGGGGCCACTGTGACAGGGGCAGCGTGAGGCCCGGGGCCGCGGCAGGGCTACCGTGGGGGTGTTGGAGAGGGGTGGTGGGCGCAGCCTACCCAGCACGGCCACCACGAAGTCCTTGCGAGCCTCGGCCAGGGCGTTCTCCGCCACACAGGTGTAGGTGCCAGCCTGGGCCGGCTGCAGGCCGCTCAGCTGGAGGCGGCCTCCCCGAGAGACCACACCGCGCTCCATGTTGCTTTCTGCAGGGCAGAGAGGGCCGTGAGTGCCCCGCGAGCTCGTGAGCCCGTGGGGGGGAAGGCCCCGGGGCAGGGCTGCTCTTCACACGTCTCAACCTGCCTCAGCTCCTGACCGCGGTTCCTGTCAACCCCCACGTCCTTGCACAGGGACATCTCTCTCCACGGGACCCAGTGTCCAGGAACTGCTGCAGGCCCAGCTCTCACCCCACTCCCACACCTGTCCAGGCTTCTGAGCAGGTGAAGCAGCCACTCACTGACCCCACGTGGGTACCTCGCCCCCCGGGGCTCTGCTCACTAGCTGGGAGCGCATTCTCCTTCCTCCTCCCCAGACGCCCTTCCACACCCCTGCCCTGAAGCCTCTCTGGCTGCCCGCCCTGTGGTCCACCGGACCTTGTTCTCGACTGTCCAGCTGGTTTTAGCACAGAATGCCCCGCCAACGTCCTGTGCCTGACCTGGAGCCTGGGAGCCCCTGGCAGCCTCCCCCGGGCCTCAGCCTGCACTAGGCAGAGCACGTCCCTGTCTGGCGGGGGCTGACTGAGGCCCCCATGCCGGCGACCCTCCAAGCCCCCAACAGGTGAGTTCTGGGCGTTTGGGGCCGGGACCATTGATAGGAAAGACACCAGGGGAGGGGCCTCCGCACACTGCCAGCCTTGACTTGGACAAGTAAGAACATCCGTGACCACCAACTTCCCGGTGGCTTCGTCGTCCCTGCTTTGCAGCGGAATTCAGGAGGGGCAGTCCACTCACCCACGGGCATTCTGTCTTTCAGCCACGTAACAGTGGGCGCGGGGACCCCTGACACATCACAGGCTAGGACCAGCGGGCTCCCCGCCGTCTGGCTCACTGTCTCTGTCTCGGGGTTCTCAAACGTTGGGGGCACTGCAGGAACGAAGCCAGAATACCAGAGCCCTGAGGCTCTTCCTCGTGTCCGTCCTCCGGACAGATCGGAGGCCTGGAGCCCCCTCCCCTACGGTTAGGAGCTCAGAAACCTCCAGAGCAGGGACCCCCCAAACAGGCTCACTCTGCACGGCGTGGGGAGGGGTGGTTTTAGTCACACATGGATCAAGAAGCAGCTGCTGGTTATTTCAAACCATGGAAAAAGCAGCGCGCAGGCAGCGTGCACTCAGCCCCAGGGTGGTGAATGCACGGCTCCCGCACCACAGCTCTGAACCTGTGCCAGGACAGGCATCACTAATCAATCCCAGCAAGCTCCTGCTCAGCCAGGATGAAGCTGTGCACCCAAGAAGGCGTTACCAGTGGAACACAGTCACCTTGCCCTCCCACACGGAGCCCGTGCCGTCCCTGCCCACTGAGGCAGGTCAGGAGGGGCTGTGGGCCTGGAGCAGCACCCGGGTGTAAGCCATTGTCACATTCGGTGTGGCTCAGGATGGGATGCACTGGCTGCTGGCCTGGCTGAGGCTGCTGTTTGCCATCTGAGGCAGATAGCTGTGTCCCCATCCCACAGCCTGCGCCTCCTGGGCTGCAGCAGAGCTCTAGCTGAGCGCTGGTGAGTGAGGACAGCTGCCCTCCCAGCCTCCTGTGCCTGTGGGGGACAGATGCCCAGCACACACCCCGGCCCTCTTCCCTGCCTCCTGCAGGCAGGACGGGATGCAGTGTCCCCACATCAGCCACGTGAACAGGGACAGTACCCTAAGAGAGGCTGGACTAACAAGGGGGAAGGAACCTGGAGGCCCAAAGGACAGAGGAGCCGAGTGGTCCCCGCACAGACACTGTCCCCCAGGTGGCCCCCGCACAGACACCCCCCAGGGTTTGTACGGGAGGCAGACTTCGTTCTCCTTTAGTCCCCGTAATGTGGGGTTCTTCCGTCCCACAGCTAGGTCTGTCTACACCCTGACACAGCTGACCCCGAGGAACCTGGCCCCGCTCCCCGGACAGCTTGGACAGGTCCCTTCACCTCAGCTTGAGAACACATCCTGTCAAATGCCCTCTATGTTCTGCCCCAGGGCTGGGGGGACATGAGGTGCCATGCCCAGGCCTCCCACCCCGGTGCCAGGTGGCCAGCTCCTCATAGCAGGTCAGGTGCGTCCACCTCCCAGCAGCAGGCGCTGGCCCTTAGACCCTTCACCAAAGGTAAACCTGAGGGACACGGTCCCTCCATTAAGCCCCACAGAGCAGGTCCCTGGGGTCCTCTTTGGATCCTGCGAGGCCTAGTCTGTGGCACCTGGCCATGCCACCTCCTTCCAGCCATCGTCAACCTCATCCTTGGCGGCCTGGGGCTCCGGGGGCTCCTGGCCCTGCTGGCCAGGCTGGCAGCTTACCCTGGACGGTGAGGATGAAGGTGCGCGTGGCCTCCCCCGCCGCATTCCTGACTTGGCAGCTGTACACGCCCTTGTCCGACACCTGAGGCGGGAAAGGCACCTGATGCCCTGCAGCGGGGGAGGTGCCTGGGCGCCCCCACAACATCCAGGATTCAGAGACCTCCAGAGCAGGGACCCCCCAAACAGCCAGTCCTGCTTGGGCAGCCAGAGGACATGGGGGCCTCTGGCCTTTCCCAAGAGCTTCAGGAGGCCCAGGGAGGCGCAGGGCCCAGGCCCACCTCCCTGTGCAGCTGGAGCTGGCAGGAGGAGCCCAGGGTGCGTTTCCAGAGGAAGGGCCGACAGTCCACGGCAGACCCTCGAGGGTGTCTGACCACACCAGAAGGGAAGGGCCCTGGGACAGACTCCTGCAGCCTCAGACGGCCAGCCAGGAGGACTTGGAAAAACTCTTGGTCCTGGGAAACCAAGCCAGGTGGCAGGGAACGGACCTGCTCAAGGGCATCCCGGAGCCGGGCAGAGCCAGGGCTGGGGTCTGACCTCGGAGCCCGGGGCCCCTCCCAGGTCTCCCCTGGAGACTGTCACTCAGTCTGGGCTGCGCAGGTCTAGGAGGCGGGAGCCCCACACCCTGCCACGACCGCCCTCCCCCAGGCCTCCCGAGCTGGAGGTGTATGCTCATGGCTCTCACCTGCGAGGCCAGGATCTCCAGCCTCTGTCCACTCTGCAGAACCTGGGTCCGCTGTGCCAGGGCCAGGGGCTGCCGGTCCTTGTACCAGGTCACAGCCGGTTCTGGAAGCGAGTCTGTCTCACAGCTTAGGACAGCCTTGTCCCCAACCTGCACCAGGACTGTCTCCTGGGGGCTGTTGGGAGCCCGCCTAAAGGTTGGGGGAACTGAAGATAGAAGACAGCCCAGTGAGGCTCTGTGGTCTTCCCCAAGTCCTCCCTGGCCCAACCATGGGTGAGTGGCCTCTGGAGGCCCATGAGGGACATACAGTGACTCCACCCTGGTGGCTGGTGCAGACCCAGGGGAGCTAGGAAGAGAACCCAGAGCAGCACCCTCGGACCTGCTGGATGGCCAGAGAGAGCCTCTTGCCCTCTCTGGGCCTCAGCCTCCGGGATGGGGTGGGAGGAGACAGGAACAGCCCTCCTGGGCTCTTTCCTGTAAGAGCAGCCCCCAGTTGGGGCAGAGACCTCCAAGGGGTCCCAGCCAGCCCCCCCCCCCCCGTCTCTCTGGCTGAGGAATGCAGAAGCCCCCTGCCTGCACATAGCAGGTGGGCACAGGCAAATGAAGGAGCTACAGAGCTACAGAGAACCTTCCAGTGAGTCCTGGCTTGTGACACCTTGGGCCAACTTTCCCCAGGAGGATTCTAAAGATAAGGAGCCTAACAAGCCCCAGGCCAAGAATCTCTTGAGACCAGAGAAGGGCCTCCCACCTTGACCATCACGGAAGCCCACCACGAGCCCCGTGCTGGGTTAAGTGCTGTGTGCATCATAAAACGGTCACTTTACAGATGAGAACTCTGGGGCTCAGAGAGAGGGAGCAATTTGCCCAAGGTCACAGAGCAACTGAACACGCAGCTGAGATTCAAACCCCAGTGCATCCAACTCCCAAGGCTTTGGTCTTAACCTCCATGCTAGACCGTGCCACCTGGGTCCTCGCCCTTCAGGACGGGGGGCCCAGCTGCAGATAGTGCCAGCTGCCCTCTGCTGCACTGCTGCCGGGGTTGATGGAGCACAGGAGAGGCTGCGCGGGGCAGTGCCTACCCAGCACGCTCAGCTGCACTGCTCTCTGGTCGCGACCAGCGGCGTTGAGGGCTTCACACAGGTACGTCCCAGAGTCCGACTGCTGGACCCGCGCCAGCCGCAGCGTGTGGGTGCCTGCAGAGGAGTCAGTCCTGGCGCCAGCCCCCAGGGACTGTCCCCCAACCCCGACCCCTCCCGGCTGCACAGCCCTGCCCTGGGTTGGAACAGCAGCCGCCACAGCCCAGAGCTGGGCCCAAGCCTCAGTTTACCCACCAGGCAGGAGGAAAGCATCCTCCCCCAGGGAGAGGGCCTGGCCGTCCTTGTACCACGTGACCTCGGGGCTCGGGTGTGCGTGGACTTCACAGGGGAGAGAGACGCTGCTGTTGAGGATGGTGGTGACCTGCTCCGAGTTCTGGCTTGTGATTCGTGGTGGGACTGTCCCCATGGCCACCGGGATAAAAGACAGACATCAGAATGCACAGGGACGGGGGCAGAGGGCCAGCAGGTGACACACCGAGCTCTATCAAGCTCCTGGGGTTTCCTGCAGCTCTGTGCAGAACCTCTGTGGGTCCTAGCTACTGTCCACATGAGCACACTGAGGCTTGGAGATCAGAGAGGGACAGACACTCTTCCAAGCCCACACAGCTGTCAGTGGCAGAGACAAAATTCCTGTTCAGCCTTGGGTCCGTGACCTTGAGTGCTCAGCACTGCCCGCTTCGCTCCTGAGGCCACAGCTGTCCCTGCATCTGAGCTGGGAGAATGTAGACTGAAGAATGCAGACTCATCAGGAAGCCCCACGCCCTCACCGCCTGCCTCTCCAGGTGTTTCCACGGGTGAAAGCCAGGCTCAGCCCCACTCAGCTGAAGGCCTGGACCCAGGAGAACACTCAGCTCTAGGCCAGGTATACAGTAGGTGCTCAAAAATAGTGCTGTAAGGGGGCTGGGGTTGTGGCTCAGAGGTAGAACCTCGCCTACCCTGTGTGAGGCACTGGGTTGGATCCTACAATAAAGATCTTGTGTCCACCTGTAACTAAAGATAAACCTAAAGAACTGGTGCTGTCAGCCCGGGGAAGAGCCGTCCCCCAGCTGCCTGACAGCTGCTCAGGACCATCTAGGGATGGCCCCAAACGCTCCCTGCTCAGGACATAGCTGGTGTCAGGCTGGGATCCCTGAACTCTGAGAGCAGGTCCCAGAGGCCCCGCGGGAGGGACAAAGCACTGGCAGGGCCACCGGTGCAGCCGCTCACCTTGGACCCTGAGGGTGAAGAGCTTCTCTGCAGAGCCTGCCTGGTTCTGGGCCACACACATGTAGCTGGCAGCGTCGGCCACCTCTGCCGTAGACACCTGCAGGTGCCACAGGCAGGTGGCTCTGGTGGGAGCTGGAGGCAGGCCCCTTGACCTCCCCGCCCCGCCCTCAAGCTGCTGTGAGGCCCTGTCCTTGCTGCCCCATAGCAGCAGCAGGTGGCCCATGGAGACCAGGAGGACCCCTGTGACGCCCCTCCATCTGGGGCTTTGTGTGACACTCTTTCTGTGGCACAAGGTTGGTGTTGGGCCCTTCTCTGTAGCAAACTGGATGTGGGCGGCTATGGGGGGGCTGCACCTGTCTGGACACTGGAGGCTGAGAGTGCCCCCTGGAGCCTAGGATCCTAGGTGACACCTTTAACCCGGGGGGGGGGGGTCCTGTATCCACCTGCAACACGTGTCCATCCTCTAGGACCTGCAGCCGTGGACTTGGGGAAAAAGGCAGCCCGTTCTGGAGCCACGAGAGGGTGGGCGGGGGGTTGCCCAGGGCCGGGCACTGGAGGCTGACGCTGCTGCTGGCGTTGACGGTCACCTCCTCCACCAGCTCCTCCGTGTCACCCAAGATCACAGGTGGGGCTGGGTGGGGGAGAGAGGGTGAGGAGCGGCTAGGCTCCTGGGCTGGGGTGGGCCTGGGGCTGAGGGCAGTGCCTGGGGCTCCTGTGCCTGCTCACCAAGCCCTCCCAGGAGGCCACAGCTCCGAGGGTGAGCGGTTCTGCTGGCTCAGGCCCCACTGGGAACTCGGGCGACCTGGCCCTGCAGAGGGAGCCCCAGCCTGCAGCCCCCCACCCCTGCACTCACTCAGCACCAGCAGCTCGTAGTGCAGCCAGTCCTCGCCCACCTCGTTGGAGGCCTTGCACGAGTACCTCCCGGCATCCTCAGCCCGCACCAGGGGGATCTGCAGGATCCGGCCTCCTGCAGGGACACAGGGCAGAGGCCTGGGCTGGCCGCGAGCCCCACCCGAGAGCGAGGAAGCTGCTCTCTCCTCTGGAGGGGGCCGAGGACAGTTCCCACTCCCGCCTCATCTGTGCAATGGAGAGAATCAGGTCCGAGGGCAGCTCACGGCTTGCTGGGAGCCGGGACCCAGGGCGCTGGCGCTGTGGGGCTGCGCCGTCCACCTTAGACAGGAAGACAGGCTCCCAGCGGCGGCCAGCAAGAAAGCAGCCGCTCCAGGCTCAGGTCTGTGGCTGTGTGGAGCTGACCCCTCCCGAGGACGGCAGGGGACGGGCAGCAGGTTAATGGCCCAGGAGATGCCCGGGAGGCAAGGCGGGCAGACGCTGGGTCTGCAGCAAGTTGGAGTGACCAAGAGCCAGCACTCTCCATTGAGTGCCAGGGGACAGAGCCCGGAATGACAGGCAGCTCCCGGGTTGAAGTCAGTTGAGTTTGAGGTCAGGATCAGAATTCAGGTCATTGTCTTATGACCACCACCATGACATGCTGAGGATTAGGGTCAGTGGCCAGGGTCAGAGGTCAGTGCTGGGGTTGGAGGTCAATGGCCAGAGGCAGGGTCAGTGGCTGGGCCTGGGTTCAGTTGTCAGTTGGGATTGACCTGTGGCCAGGATCTGCATTAGGGACGAGAATGTGACTGAGCCCACTGAGCACTAGGATTTGGAGCTGGTGTCCAGGTCAGAGGCCAGTAGCAGGTTAGGGGATTGTTACAGGGATTTCAAATAGGAACCAGGGACTTTGACTAAGCATGGCCTCTCCCAGAGCCTAGGGAGTCCTCCTTCCTTTTGAAGGGCCAAAGTACAAACCTCGTGTGGCTTGCTCATGGTCAGCCATGCGACTGACCATGCGCCCAGCAGCCCACTGCTGCCCAGACCCAGCAGGACACAGCACACATGCTAAGCTGGGAAATCGTCCAGTCTCCCCTGCCATGGACCACAGGGCCCTGCCCCTCGGGTACCAGCTGGCTCCTGGCCCACCCAGGGGAGCCGGATGACTGTCCAAGGGAGCCATAGGTCTCAGTTCCATCCCCTGGGACTTTTAATTCAAAGTCATCCAGAAAAGTGATCACAAAATAAAAAAGTTCATTTGAAAATTAAATAACCTTAAATAAACGTATATTTGAGGTGGTAAAAAGAAAAAGTAATCCTCATGAGTCGTGACCCAGCAAGAGCCTCCTCGAGGTTGTGGGCTGAGCCCAGCTGAGACCTTAGGTAAAGGACCACAGAAGAGGGAGGTGCCACTTCTGCTGATCACTCCAGGTCATTCGGGATCCTGAGGCCAGAGGCGGGCACGGCCCAGAGTGGCAAGCTCTGCGCTAAAACCTGCGGCAGACAGTGACCAGGGCTGACCCTGCCAGCCTGCTACAAGCTGCAGCCAGCGTCCCGAGTGGCCACACACCTCATTCCAGGTCACACAGCAGGTGGCTCACAGGAGAGCCCCAAGCTTCTCTCAGAGGCCTGCCTACCTTGTAGCACAGCGACGCCATCCGTGGCCGAGAGGGGCTGGTCCTCCCTGTACCAGGTGAGCTCGGGGGGCGGGATGGCATTGGTGTCGCAGTACAGGTAGGCTGGGTTGCTCTCCACAACCTCCCGGTATTCCGTCACCCCACCCAGGGCCTCCTCCTCGCGGGACAGGATCTCGAAGGGTGCATCAGCCTCTCCTACCTTCTGGAACATGGGGGGCACTGGGTGGGGAGACAAAGCCGTTGGGAAACACGGCAGGGGGACTGCACCTCTGCCCGGAGAGTCCCGCCAGCCGCAGAGACACAGAATCGCCTTGGGTCAAGGTCTTTGTTAAATGCACTCCCTCCTTGGCTGGTGCTATTGAGCAGCTACTCTGTGCTGGGCGCTGGGTAGTGCTGGGGCCTAAGGAGCTCGTGTCTGAGGGGCTTGAAGACCCCTGGGGACGCAGAAGTACCGTCTAGGGCAGGAAGCCGATGCTAAACTTCAGCCAGCATTTAACCGCCACAGAGGCCCAGACCATCAGATTTCAGGACCAGAATGGGCCCAATGTCAGCTGTTTTGTCACCTTCATTTGGCAAAGGATGAGACTAAGGCTTGGAGGGCACAGCCAGCCCAGGTCATGCAGCCTGTTGACAACGGAGCCAGGGTGTGGGGCCCGGGGGCCAGCAATGAAACAGGGTTGTTCCTCCTGCCAGGCCACTGCCCGAGCATCCAGCAAAACCTGGCCCATCAGCAGCCCCACGGGCCCACCAGCCTCCCTAGTTTCCTGCCTGAGTCTCCCTGCCTCCCGGCCTCCCTGCCTCCCAGCCTCCCCACCTCCCTGTCTCCCTGCCCGCTTCTCTCCTTCCCTACATCCCTTCCTCTTTACTTTTTTCCCAAAGGAAAACATCATTCACAAAAGCGGAAAGAACACGAGGGCCGTGAGTGCCCGTGAGCAGCTCCCGCGTTGCCGACTCGCGGCCCTAGGCTCACTCTCAACCTGGACGTTGGAACCAGATCCCCGGGCTTCCTAATAAAGTGAGGGGCATCTGCAGGGGTTGGGCCAGGCTTGGGTTCACCAGATCCAATCCAGCTCTCCTTAGTTCTGTGCCGGGCCGGAGCCCTGGGCTCAGGGCCTCGTGCCCAGCGGTGGCGGGCCGGGGTGGCGCGCTGCTGCCTGGGGTTGTTGGGATGGGGGCGGTGCCTGGTGGGCTCCCTTGCCAAGGGCTGGTGCTCCATGCTGACAGCTGCCCCAGGGGTCGCACTGGGGAACAACAGGTCCCTCACCCTGCTGGCCACCACCTACCCCTGCCCCGCGGGCCACGCTCACCCTGGATGAGCACGTTGAAGTCCTGGTCATCCTCCCCAGCCACGTTGGTGGCCACGCACAGGTATCGGCCGGAGTCGGAGACCTGAGTGGGCTGGATCTGGAGCAGCCGCCCCTCCCCTAGGACACGGAGGCGCTGCCCGGGGGCCACGGGCTGCGGGGACAAAGGGGTTACAGAGATGGGAGATGGGGGCAGACAGCACCCAGACAAGGGTGCTTACATCTTAATAAAACACCTCACAGACGGATGGGGACACCCTGCAACTTGGTGAAACCAGATCCACATTAATAAAAATTGGAAAAGAAAGAAATGGGCAAGAGGAGTAGGGTCGCTGCTCCTGAGACATCCCCACCCACCGGGAACTGCGTCTATACCAAAATAGACAGGGTCCATGTGCCCGGGCCAGCTCGGGGGCCCTCTGTTTTCTGGGCTCTTTTCTGGAAGATTCCAAGCAGAGCCAGTGGGACCCCCGGTGAGGGCCCGCCCGGCCCGGCCACTCACCTGCCCGTCCTTGTACCAGCTGATGGAGGGTGGGGGCGCGGCCCAGCACTGGCACTCCAGGGTGAGCGTGCTGTTCACCTTGGCCTTCACCTCCTTCACGCTGACCGCCCCCAGGGGGTCGTCTTTGGAGATGGAAGGGGGAACTGAAAAGCCAGGGTGCAGGGAGTGAGTGGCCCTGGGGGGGACACCCCGCTCAGCCTGGTCCCGGGGCAGCCCCTGAAGCAGGCCTTGGGTGCTGCTCTTTGGGGGGCAGGGAGAGGGACCCTGAGGTCGACCCACTCATGGGCCACCTGCCATGGCTACGGGACAGGGAGGTCTAAGGCAGGGGACTCCTGGGGCAGCTTCGGATGTCCTTCTGGAAGGTCTGAACTGCAGGGCCTCTGGTTACACTCACAGCAGAAGTGGCCGGGGGAGGCCAGGAGTGCCCATGGCCCAGGTCCTACCCACTCCTCCTGGGTCCTCAGTGCCACAGTGGGGAAGCACGGGTCCCCACAGCAGCCTGGTGCCCATCAGAGGAAGGTGCCCTGGGTGTCAGGCAGGGCCCTGGGTTCGTGGGCAGCCTTCTGGCTGCCTAGCCAGTGTCCCCGCGTCCCAGACTCACTGAGGACCTCCACGTGGTAGTTCTTCATGGCCTCCCCGAGTTCGTTGGTAACCACACAGGTGTACTGACCGGCGTCCTCCTTCTGGGCATCCAAGATCTGCAGCCCTTGGGTACCTGCTCAGGGGACAGCGGCCAGGGTCACCCGGCAGCCACACCTCACAACGGCTCCTTCCTCTGACCCAGCCTCGTGAGCCGTCACCTGTCCCCTCACTCCCTGCTCCCAGGGGGTGGTACCTGGAAGCAGCTGGATGTTCTTGGAGGCCTCAAAAGGGACCCCGTCCTTCATCCAGGTGATGTTAGGGGAAGGGAAGGCCAGCGCCTCGCAGATCAGGGAAATGGGGTTGTTGATAATCACGGTCACCTCTTCATCTGCACTGTCCTCCGTCACTCCCAGGATGCTGGGAGCCACTGGGGGTGGGAAGGGACCCATGAGCACAGATCCCCAGCCATGGCCCCGAGGACCGGGACGGCCTCGAATCCTGGTTCTCGGCTTTGGTGACACTGTCATTTGCGCTATACCAACAGGACAATGAGACTCAGAGGAGCCACACTGGAGTGCCTGGTGTCCAGTTCAGGCCTGGCGTCCAGCACCAGACTCTCCAGCAGTGAGCAGCCACCAGGGAAGGGGATCATTTCTGCCTGGGTCCCCCGGAGCGCCCCTCATGTAAGCACACAGTGCACAAGTGATAGCCGAGCCAATCTGCCAACACCTGAGGTGGCTCATTTGGGGGGTAAAATGGCTGCTGCTCATCCCCCCGAGGTTCTGGGCTTGCTACGCAGCCTTGGCAGAGCCAGGCCACGGGAGGAGTGACTTTGGCGGGCCCTTGGCGGGCAGGGGCGGGCAGGGCAGGAGTCTTGGTGGCGGGATCATTCAGGGCGGGAAGCAGGACAGGTCGGTAACCACATCCCTCACCGTGCACTGACCGCGCCCCTAGAGTGCCTACTAAGTGAACCCCACCTTCTCAGTCTGTGCCCCTCCCAGAGCCAGGGAGAGGGCGAGGGAGCGCCCCTGCAGGGCTGAGAAATTCCCTCCTTGAGCCCCAGGGGCTCTTCCTTCCACCCGGAAGCAGATTTTTCAAGGGAGCCAAGGCCTGACTCTTGGTTGATTCTCCCCTCCAGCCTAACAAGACAACAGGTGCTCACTGCCCTCGGGGGACAGATGCCTGGCTGTGAGCTCACCGGCCGGACCCTGGCCTGAGCCCAGAGCTTCATCTGGGACGTGGGACGACACCTCTCCCCTCCAGCGTGGTTGTAAGGACTGAGCCGAGCGCATGGCTCATGGCCAGTGTCTATTCACCCCACTGTCACTGTGTAGCTCCCTCCACCACCCCCTGGCCAGGGGCCTCCGAGCTCACCCAGGACACTAAGCTGGACGTGCTTGGTCTTCTCCCCAATGCTGTTGGCTGCCACGCAAGAGTAGTGACCGGCACTGGACAAGCTGGCCTGCGGGATCTGCAGGAGGGCTGCATCGTCTCCACCAGCCAGCGGCCGCCCGTCTTTGAACCACGTGACCTTGGGTGGGGGGTGGCCTGCGTGCAGGGCAGAGATCGGGACCATTCAGCAAGATCTGACCAGGGTGGCCTCAGGGGTCAGAGGATGCTTCCGGATAGGGCAAGGGACACAATTCTCGTCCAGGTCTACAGGCCAAGAAGCAGCAGGAAACCAGCGGACACCAGGCCTGGCGGGAGCCCTTCCTCCGGGACTGGCTCCCTTTTCCTACCCAGGAGTGGGAGGGATGGCCTGGTACAGTTGGGCCAGTTGGAAGGGCAAGTTATTCCTGCATTCCTCCCTTCATCCACCCCTCCATCCACTGACCTGCTCCCTGCCCACCCACCCACCCACCTACCTGCCTACCCACCCACCCATCCGTCCCTGAGTCCATAGGCACTAATGGGAGCCTACTCTTCCAGGCACTGGGGAAACCACGGTGACAAGGAGTGGGGTCCCTAAGGAGCTCAAATGTCACAAGGCCACTATGGTCTCCTGTGGTGGCTGCTGAGGCAGAGAGGCCCTGGCTCTGTGGGGGCCTAAGGAGGCATTCTTCTGGGTGCACAGGGCCAGCCGTAGACTCCCATGGAGGGTCCTGGAGGCTGAGACCAGTAGTCAGGTACGGGGTGGGGGCACATAGGGCAGAGTCAGTGAGTGCAGAGGGGCAGGGGCGAGGCACAGGGGCCAAGGTGCAGAGAGGCCAAGTGAGGGCAGCAGGGCGGGGTGGCGGTTCCATCCAGGACCCTCCCTTCCAAGGCCCACCCCGCATCCTGGCCTAGCACATGGCACAGCCTTACCCGTGGCATTGCACGTCAGCTGGGCTGTCTGTCCCTCGGTGACCCTGACCACCTCCTCCAGGTCCTCATTCTCAATGCTGGGAGGAACTGGCAGGAGCAGGGAGACAGCGAGCTACAGACAGGGCTGGCCCACTCCGGCTGCAGAAGCTCAGAAGTGGAGGCCGAGACCCCAGGGCCATGGCTGGGAATTTGCAGTCCCACCCGGGCTGCATGGAATGATGGACAGGTCACTGAGTCTGGGCCCAGTGGGTCCTGACTGGCCTCTTGGGCCTCAGAATCTCCATTTGTTCACCAGTGAGAACCATCACAGATCAGTCTGTGAGGAGGCCGAGTATTCAGAGAAAGCGCTGGCGCCAGCATTGCCAAACCGGTTACTGCCAAGAGAAGGCTCCTTGCTGCAGGACTTATCAGAATCTTTACTATGCAGAGCCCAGGGCTCTCCTCTAGTTTCCCTATCCCCTCACATCTGGGAAGGGAGTCTGATACACATTGCTGCTGCCTGAAGCACGTCCCAGAGCCTCTGTCACAGGCCCTGACCAGAGAAGGCAGCGAGGGCAGGGTGGAGAACACACGCCCCCTTCCACTTGGGGTTCGTTGCTGGGATGTGCTGTGGCAGCCTCAGAAGGAGGCTTTGATCTGTTTTGCAGGTTGGGGGGGAGCCCAGGGCCTCCAGCCTGCAAGGCAGGTGCTCTGCTAAGCGCTGCACCCCAGCTCCGAACAGAGACCAGGAAAGCAAGGCGCGGCCTCTCCCTCCCCCTGCCTGCCCCGGGAGCCCCAGGAAGCAGGGTAGGGCTGCCGCGTACCCAGCACCTCCACGCTGAAGTTCCTCCGCGCCTCCCCAGCCTCATTGTTCGCCAGGCAGGAGTAGAGGCCTCGGTCCCGTTCCTGTGCCTGCGTCCTCTTCAGCATCCAGCCACCTGGGGAGGGAGGCTGAGGCTTGGCAGGGCTCTGCGCTGCCTCCTGCCCGCCCCAGGGGCCACGCAGGCACTGTGATGAGAGCCCACGCCTCGGCCTCGCTCGCTCGGGCTCGGAGTCCGTGCCCCAGCCAGGGAGGGAAGCCGGCATGGAGCCGCCTGGATATCAGACATGCTCCAGAGCAGGCTCAAGCACCCTGTCCTGCAAGAGGGCTCCCTCGCCTGGTCAACACTGGCTCTGGGCTGGGGCCGAAGGCACGGAAACTTCAGACCCCATTTTATTCTGTCAGCACAGAGACCTTCTCCTAGGGAACCACAGTGATGGCATGTGTCCTGGTGTCCTGGGCACCCGCCCTGCTCCTGCACCTGGGCAGACATCACTAACGGATGGCCACGCTCCTTCCCGCTGGGCCCAGGTGCAGTTCCTATCTGCACAGTGTATCTGGCATCCGCCACCAAATGCCAGCAGCCACGCCCAGGGGAGGCACTGCGATCCCACATGGACAGGTCCTGAAGTCCCTGAGAGACCTAGGTGGGACCCTGCCTCCTCGTGGGCCTCAGAACCTCCATTTGTACACCAGTTAGAGCCCTCACGAGCCTATCTGTGAGGAGGCCGAGTATCAGCGTTGCCACAGCGTTCTCACTGCCTGCAGGACGTTCTGTGTCATCGTGAGACATGACATGCTTCCTCGCTGCAGGACATATCAGAGCCTTTACTAGGCAAATGTGACCCTGGAGTCTCTGGGAGGGGAGGGGAGCAGAACAGGAGGCCTTTTGTTTTTTAGTATTTAGTTTTAGGCGGACACGACATCTTTATTGTATTTTATGTGGCTGAGGATCGAACCCAGGGCCTCACGTGTGCCAGGCGAGCGCTGTACCCTGAGCCACAGCCCAGCCCCCAGGAAGCCTTTTCCAAACCTATTGGCGCTTTTCCCTGGAGCACCACACCTGACCTCAGGGCTGGAGGTCATGGGCCTGCAGTGAGTGGAGGCCGAGACAAGGGTGACAAGGTCACAATTCTGGCTGGTGCCTCACCTGCCAAAAGGTAGGTGTCCTCCCCAGGGTCGATGGGCTCCTCCTCTTGGAACCAGCGGACGGCTGGGGGCGGGACCCCGGTGGCTTCACAGAGCAGCGTCAAGGGGCCATGCAAGGCAGTGGTGACGTTGGTCAGCAGGTCCGAGTCTCCCACAAGCTCTGGGGGCACTGGGCCAGAGGGGGGCCGGGTTCAGGACACAGGCGGGGCCGGGCGCGCCCCCCCACCCTCTCTGAGCCTCTGCAGCCCTCAGCCCCCCTTGAGGGTGCGAGGAGGGGCAGGGGACAGGGTCTGAGCCACTGCCACCCAAGCGAGCTGGTGGTGGCCTGGCTGGGCTCTGGGCAGCTTCCCCAGCCCTGCAGAGGGCGTCCAAGGGCCCAAGGAGCCGGCACAGAACCCCGTCCAGCGCCCGGAAGGCGCAGAGCTGCTGGTCTGGGGCCTCGCACAGCTGAGCCGGCTTCCCGAACCCACCCCTTGGGCTGAGGCGGCAGACTGCGGCCTGGAGGGGTCTGTTGGCAAAGGAAGCCCCCTCTCCTGGCCAGGGGAACCCGGGGAACCGGGGAACTGGGGATACCTGGCATCCCGGGGCTGCCAGGGGGCATGGCCAGAGGGAGTCCTCCCTAAGCCACCCCTGCCCACCCCTCCCGGCTCCACCCTGAGTGTATACAGCAGGAGCTCGGAAAATGACAGGGTGAATGAGCTGCTGCAGCAGCCCCCCGCCTGGCCACGGGGACCAGCTGGGGACGCCCCAGCCCAGGGCCACGGGCTGCGGGGAGGAGGACTGTCCCCGCTGTCCGCCCGCCCACCCTCCTCCGCGGCTGCCGGTCCTCACCCAGCACCGAGAGCGTGAGCCTCCTCTCGGCCCTCCCCGCCACGTTCTCAGCCACGCAGCTGTAGTGTCCCGCCTGGGCCGCCCGGGCCCGCTCCACGTGCAGGCGGTGGCCCTGGTTCTGCAGCTGTAGGCCAGGCTCAGCTCCCAGGGGCTGGCCGTCCCTCTCCCAGGTCACCGTGGGCGGGGGGTTCCCCGTGGCATTGCACTCCAGGCTGGCCTCCCCGCCTTGGACCACGGGGACCAGCGTGTGGGGCTCCCGGGGGCCGGTGATGTGCGGGGGCACTGGGGGGGAGGAGGCACATGGAGGAGAGCGGCCGGGTCGGGGTGCCCAGCTCCTGCCCTGACCTGGGACACGAGGGCCTGAGTTCTCTCCTGTACTCCCGGCTGTGTGGCCTTGGCCCGCTAAGCTCACCTCTCTGGGCCCTTTCCATCTCGACTACAAGGTGAGGAAATATCTGCTGCCAGCTCTCCCGCCCTGGGGACCCTGGCAGGTTTACCCCGGGAACAAGGGCACAGCACAGCCCTTTAGGGTCTGTGGGCTTCCTTCCTCAGATGCCCGGGGCTTCCTTCCTCAGATGCCCGGGGCTTCCTAGGGCTTGGACAGCCGTGGACTGGCCAGGCCTGGGACCACTCCAGGGCCGGGTTTCTCCCCAGCTGCGGAGCAGCCTTGGGTGACTTTCCAGGCCTGGGGCCCCTCACTGCACGCTGTGCGGTGAGCAGGTGCTGGCCGCTGGGCCGCCCGCCCGGTGTCCACCCCGGCCCCCCCCCCGCCCCTGCCCGCCGCCGGCGCAGCTCACCGAGCACCTCCAGCTGCTGGTCCTGGCTGCTGCTCCCCGCGGGGTTGCGGCACTCACAGGTGTAGGTCCCCGCCTGGGCCTGCAGGGCCGGCCCCAGGTACAGCAGCCTCCCCACTGCCAACGCCTGCCCCAGGCCAGGCCCCTCCCCGGGCAGGGGGCGACCTGCAGGCAGGGAGAGGAGCCTGGTCCAGGGCACTTGTGGGACCCCGTCCCCAGAGCGTGCCCTCCCACCACTGTCCCGGCTCCGGCTCACCCTCAAGCATCCACCTGGTGACACCCCTCCCCCTCCCCGGAGCCTGCGGCATCCCACGGGACTCCCACCTGGCCTGGCCCTCAGAACGGTGGCCCTGCCTCACGCCCCCCTGGGGTCACTGAGGGGCCCCGGGGCCTGCCCTCAGCGGGTCCAGGTAAACTGTGAATGAGGGACCTGCCCGAGGAGGGAGGGGCCAGGTCCCCCGGCAGCAAGCAGAGGCGCAGTCCCGGCTGGGAACCGTTCCCACCTGCTCCGTCCCTGCTGTGACCTCAGCGGCTCCCAGGCTGACCCCCACCAGAACCTGCCCTCGAGCGCCAGACACTGGACATCTCGCTGGCACCCGGCAGCTGCCTCAGGATCCACTCCCCCAGCCCCAGGGGCTCCCCACCAACTGCCTGGGAGCCTCCATGGCGAAGGCAGCTCCACTGTCCCCCGCGAGGCCCAAACCTGAGCGTCATCCCCGAGTCCTCCCCTCTGCACTGCCCGTCCAGCAGGGCAGGAAGTCCACAGCACCACCTCTACCCCAGACTGTCTCCTCTAGCTCCCTCCCAGGTCCCCGAGTGCAGGTGGCGGAACCTCAAGCCTGGAGCCTGGCACAGCCTCCCCACTGGCAGTGCCCGCCTGGCTCCAGGGCCTGTTTCCAGCGTGGCTGGTAGGGTGGCCCTGCCAGAGCTGCAGTCAGAACGGGGACTGCTCGGAGCTGTGCGGTGGCCCGTCTCAAAAGCAAAACCCAGGATCCTAAGAAACCCTCAAGCTCGGTCCCTGTCACTTTAGTGACCAGGTCCTGCTACTATCCCCCTTGCCGACTCTGCTCCAGCCCCACTGGCCCCTACGTTGCTCTGCAAGCATGCGGGCTCACTCCTGCCCCAGGACCTTTGCACTGACCATTACCTCTGTCTGGAATACCTCTCCCTGCCATATCCTCAGTTCCTCCCTCGCCTTCAAGTCTGCTTGGTCAGACGTCTCTGGCCATCTGACCTAAAGCTGCAAATCCCACCTGTACACCTTCCCCTCCCTGGCCGTACCTGTCTCTACTCCCCAGCTAGGCCAGGGGGTCACTTACTCACTTTAGGTGTGTCCTCTGACTGCCTCACTGTGAGGCGGCCGCACCCCCAGGCCTCCAACAGGGGCCCGCACATATAATAACTCCAAGATTTACTGCACCAGGCACCGAGGTGGGATTCAGCAACGGCCAAGACAGAGCCCCACAGAGCCCACAGGCTCACGGAGGACCAGAACAGGACTAAGGCAGGTGACAGGAGTGACCCCTCAGGGAGGCCCTGCCCCAGGAGGGTGGCAGGGAGGGTTCCCAGCAGAAGGCAGCTGTCACTCTGGGGGATGGAGCTGACGGCTGGGGAAACGGCACCTCCACGGCCAGGACCCCTCCCAGGGCTGTGACCCCCCCCCCCCGCCAGGCTGGGGGGGGGCAGGGCGGCCATCCTACCGTCCTTTCTCCAGGAGATCTTGGGGTGGGGGATGCCCTGGCACTCGCAGGACAGCCTGGCGGGGTGGCCCTCGTTGACGGTCAGGGTGCGGGGCTTGCTGGAGGGGAACTCTGGAGCCACTAGGCAGAGCACAGAGGGGTGAGCTGGGTGGCACCGGAGGCGGCCAGGAAGGTGCAGAGGAAAGAGCAGGTGACCCTCCTCCCTGGGCCCCGTGCCAGCCCTGGCGGGCGGGGGGCACCTGCAGACCCTCACCCCAGACGTTCAGGTTGAAGTGCTTCTCCGAGCGGCCGGCCCGGTTCAGAGCCTCACAGGTGTAGTGGCCCGCGTCCCACGGCTCGGCTCTGTCCACCTGGACCAGCATGGACACGGGGGTCAGAGGGGGAGCTCAGGGACGGGGTCGCCACCACACAGCCCATGTGACCTCAGACACACGGCACATGACCTCCCTGAGCCCCGACTCCCACCAGGCGCCTCCCCACCCACGACAGGAGGAAGCTTCTGGAAGGCAGAGCCTGTGGGGTGGGCTGACAGGGCCCATGGTGGGCTCAGGCTCTGGAGAATCCAACTCAGAGAGGGTGGAGGGTGAAGGGGGGCTGCCCTCAGGGGTCCCCGCAGGGCGAAGGGGTCGTGGCCTTGAAGAATAAAGGGAGGCAGAGCTCAGGGCTGGGAGTGACCCACGTCCCAAGGTGTCCAGGGGTGGGCGCAGTGCTGCTGAGCTGGGCCAGGGGCCCTGAGTGCCAGGAGGGCCCCGTGGGGGTCGTCTGGTCACAGTGAGCAGCAGGGATGCTCGTGGCCGGCTGGGCACCACAAGCCCTGCCCGGAGCAGCTGCGCACTAGGGAGAGGCCCGGCCGTCCACTGGGCAGCGGCACACCTGCAGCAAGGCCTTGTCTGCGGAGAGGCGGACCCCGGGCCGCAGGTGCAGGGGCCTCCCGTCCTTCCGCCAGCTCAGCACAGGAGGGGGCACGGCGTGGCTCTGGCACTCCAGGGCCACCGACTCGTGGGCCACAACGGACACGTTCAGCTCTTCCCCCAGGATGCTCGGGGGCACTGCGGGAGGAGGGGACAGGGGCTTTCTCAGGCCTGTGAGGGTCCAGCAGGGAGCCACAGCCGTCAGGATGGGGCTGTCCCAGCTCCACTGCCTCCCAGCCCTGCTTCAAGAGGAGGCCGCACGCCGGCCTGGAGCATTGGGAGGTCACCGCCATGGGGGATGGGGGATGGGAGCTCAGGCCTCGGCTTCCTTTCTTATGACTCTTCGTGAATCTAGACTGATCTCTACGTTCATCAAAACTCAATAGTTATATTTCAGGAAACTTATAAAGCAAATCCCAGAACCACCCTTTCCTCCCCAGATCAAAGTAAGCAGTGGAGCTCAGCCGGGAGACGCGGGGCTGGGGCCTGAAGCCCGAGCCAGATGGCTGCGTCTCCGACTTGCCCGCCGCGGGAGGCCCTGCACACAACTCAGTGGAAGACGGGGATAAAGAAGTCCCCATCTCACCAGGCCACAGGGAGGTTAGACACAGTGACACAGGTGAGGGGCATGGGCACGAGCCCAGGCACCCGTGATCTTGACTCCAGTACGGAGACTGTGCTAGGGTGGAAGGGCTCCCCCGCCCCAGGCCCTGCATGTCCCCGTCCCCCTAAGACCCCATCTGAGGAAACCGAGGAGCAGCAGCCACTGTCACTGTGGGCTCAGTGGGTCTCACAAGGAGCTCAGGGCGGGGCTCTTCTTCCCCTGATGAAGATGAAGAGATGGAGGCTCCCAGAAGCAGAGTGACCAGCCCGAGGTCACAGAGGTAGACTTGAACCCCAGGTGCTAACCAGCACCCTGCACTGCCCTTCCGGAAGGGGCAGCACCTCCACTGGACCACGGACAGTGGGAAGGCCAGGACCCTAGCTCGGTGCTGCCCCTCCTCTGTTTCAGGCTCCTCCCACAACTTTCCTGAACATGAACAGGTTATGCAGAGCCACTGGCCTGCCCACCGGCCTGTCCCACTTACACTTCAGGACAGGTCCTGGGTCCGACTGCCACCTGAAGGCGGCCACAGTGTTAGGCGGTGTCCCCCTTCCAGCCACCATGCCCCGCTTTGGACGCCCCCGCTCCACCGTGGCCTGGACCACGCGACCCTCCTCGCCTGAGACTCACTGTGGACTTGCAGGACGACGTCCCTGCGGTCTTCTCCCACGGCGCTCACAGCCACACAGGAGTAGCTGCCAGAGTCAGAGGTCCGGGCACTGGCCACGGTGAGGACCCGGCCCCCGGGAAAGACCTGTGTCCCCCGAGGGAAGGCCACATCAGCACCTGTGCTGCTCTTACCTACCCCGACAGCCCCATCCGACCCCCAAGGCCCCCACGACGGAGGGAAGCCGGGAGCTGCACCCCAACCTCGAGCCCGTGCTGGCTGGTGGACAGTTCTGTCAGTCCTGAAGAACCCTTTAGGGCCAGGCTGTCCACTACAGTGGCCTCACGTGGCTAGCAAAAGCCCTTGATATGGGGCCAGTCCCATGGTTCTCCCTCGCCCTAAGTTCCCAGGGACCAGGACAGTGATCTGGGGCCACCTGGCCCTACTGACCTGGAGGCCAGGGGTCCCCGCAGTGGACACAGGGTTTCCATCCTTCAGCCACATCAGCGTGGGGCTGGGGGCACCAGTGGCATTACAGGTCAGGCGGACGGGGGCACCGAGCAGCACTGGGCCCGGCAGACTGGGCGGCAGTGTGACTTGGGGAGGCACTGCAGGACAGGGGTGGCAGGGGACACAGGCTGAGCCTCACTGCAGGTGGCAGAGCCTGGGCTGCCCCTCCAGGAGTGCACAGCCACAAACAAAAGCACAGGTCACTCAAACTGGCAACACCAGATGCTTCCGCCATGACAAAGAGGCTCAGAGGGGGCGCCGCTTGCCCAAGGTGGACCAGCAAGGGAGCCGTGTGTGAACCTGGGCCTCAGGTCAGCAGGAAGTCACTGACCACGGGGATGGGTGGGGGACAAAAGGTGGCCAGGCGATTCCATTCTATCCTGAGGCATGAGTCATGATGTCCAGGGCCCCAGGGCCCTGCCCAGCTCCAGGATGAAGCCCAGCCTCTCCCACAGCCTGTGAAGCCCGGGAGCACCAGCCTCCAGATGGCCCCCGGCCCTCTCTGGTTCTGTAAGCTACAGGCGCCCACCCCCCTTTCAGTCTCTTGGATCCCCAGTCTGCAGCCTTGAGCTTTGGAGAGCTACCAGGGAAGGCCCCTAGCTGTCAATGACGCTTCCCGGTGCCCCAGGGAAGCCCTCAGTAGCACTTCACATCTATCAGCTCTTGTAGCAGTTCTCACAGAGTCACGCTCTGGGCAACAACCTAATCACTGCTTGCTATGGTAGGTGAACGCTGCTGGCTCCTTATTCAGGGCTACAGGGCCAGGGCCAGGTTTTTCTCAGAGCATTCTCAAGACTGTGGCTAGATACAAGATGAACAGACAGAAGAATGAATGATTGGATTGATGGGCAGGGGGTGGGTGGACGAGTGGATGGGTGAATAGATGGAGAGACGGATGGATGTGTGGGTAGATTGTGGAAAGGTGTACGGATGGTGGATGGGTAGATGGATGGTAGACACATGGATGGATGGATGGGAGGATGAATAGATGGGTGGATTGGTGGATGGACAGATGGGTAGACGGATGGTGGATGGATGGTGGATAGATGGATAGATGGTAGATAGATGGATGGATAGTGGATGGATGGATGCATGGTGGGTGGATGGAGGAATGGGAGGGTGGATGAAGGAATGGTGGATGGATGGATGATGGATGATTGGATAAGCAGATGAATGAATGAATGGATAGATGGATAAATTAGTAGATGGATGGATGAGTGGGTGGGTATGGTGGATTGATGGATGGGTGGATGGTAGATGAATGGATGAACGGGTGGTGGATGGATAGATGGTCGACGGTGGATGGATAGTGGATGGATGGGTTGATGGATGCATTGACAGGTAGATGAGCAGATGGATGGGTAGATGGGTCAGCGAGAAGAAAAACAAGTGGAGGAATGGGCAGCATTGTTACTCTGGAAGGAACAGGTTATTTGGGGGAAGGGCCCCTGTAGTCAGCCCCCAGGCGGCTCACCATTGACCCGCAGGCCAAGCTGTAGCTCCGTGCTGCCTGCCACATTGGATGCCACACAGCGGTAGCTCCCAGCATCAGAAAGTCGAGCCCGCTCGATGAGGAGGGCCCTCCCATCAGCTGACACTGTCACCCCCGTCCGAGAAGAGAGAGGCTGGCGGCCCTTGAACCAGGAGACATCTGGGACAGAGATGAGAGATGCGAGCCCTCACCAGGGAGAACTTTGGAGAAAATATGGGCAGCCCCAGTGACCTTAGCAGTCGGGGTAACCCACATGCTTCTTCAGCTTCCGTACCTCCTGCCAGGGTCCACCCAGAACTCACCCATGGGAGGGGGCAAATCCTCCCAGGGTCACCTGACCCAGGAAAAGCAAGGGCACCCAGGTCAGATGGAGACAGGAGGGTGGTCTCCCTCCTGGGCTCCTGACCACCTATCCCAGTCTGAGTGCCCAACACCCACAGCTCACCCCAGCACCCAGCCCCTTCCACAACCACTGGTCCAGAGACCCAGACAGAAAGGAACTGGAGTCCCTGGTCCTCGCCCCGCCCCGGGCCAGCCCCGTGAGGTCGCCAACTCTGAGCAGAAGCTCGCAGGTTGCTGCAGACCCAGCTCAGCCCTCCAGGCCCCGGGGACGCCCTGGCACGATGGGTGAGCAGCTGTTGGGGAGGGCAAGGGGAGCGGGCAGGGACCTGCTGTTCCCCCACAGCGTCCACAGCTCAGCAGTGCCGGGGCGTTTGCTGGCCTCATTAGGTGGGAACTGGGCCCTGCTGGAGGGGACTTCCGGCCAAGGGGAGAGGGGTCTTACCGGGAGGGGGCACTCCCGAAGCCAGGCACTCCAAGGTCACTGAGGCATTTTCCAGCACAGCCTTGTTGACTGGGCCTGGCTCGATGCTGGGGGGCACTGGGGGATGGGAGAGCCAGCCTGGTGGTGTGGGCAGTGGGCAGCTCTGGCCCAGGAACCCCATCCCACTCCCGTCTTCCCCAAGAGTCCTGGTCAAGGGCTCTACAGAGCTCGTGCCCTGCACAGGGGACCCCACTCCTGGAACCAAGCCCAAGAACAAAGCCGTGGCCTACGGTCTTTGCTGCCGTTACACAGAACGCCCCAGCACCTGCCAGGCAGGACTGGGGCCAGCACATCAGGAGAAGGCATCCATGTGGCCAGGGCAGGGGTTTGCCCACACTTGCAAGACCACAAGTGAACCCCAAAATGATTCAACAAGCAAAGTGGACTGTGCAGGGGCAGGGCCCGCCTCTGAAAACCCCCCAGAACCCCCGCAGGGCCGCGGAGCCGTGGCTGATGCTGTCACTCCTCCCTTCCCAGCCATACGCTGGCCCCAGGGGCCCTCAAGGGATCACCTGCCATCCCAGGCCACTTCCTCACCCAAAACCTTTAGGGCCACGTCCCCCTGGCTCTCCCCAGCCAGGTTGGTGGCCGTACAGCTGTACACGCCTTCATCCCTCAGGTCCACCTTCTCGATCTGCAGGAGGAGGGGCAAGAGAGAGCAGTGAGGTTGTGTGTGGGGGAAGGCGGAGTCCAGGATGGGGGACTGTCAGAGCAAGGGCCGGACATGGTGAGAGGCCAGGCTGCTGGTGACCCGCGGGGCAGGAAAGCGCTGGGAGGGAGTTACGGGCCAAGAGCTCAGATTGCAGGGGTTCCTTGGTCTCTGAGCACCGTGTCCTTCCCCGGCCCTCTGACAACTGAAGCTCCCGGGTAGGTCAGCACCCAGCCCCAGCACCCCAGTGTCCACGGAGTGTCCCCAGGCTGAGAGAGTTCAGTGCCCATCCCACCCTCAGGTGCCAAGACCCTGCTTAGGGTCTCTGAGGCCTCTGAGAGTGGCCTGTCCACCTGTGCCTAGCTGTCCACATACCTGCAGGCTCCCCCCTGAGGTGGCCAGGGCCACCCCATCCTTCCACCAGCGGAGGCTTGGGGGAGGCACTCCAGCCCCTACACACTGGAGGGCCACGGGCTTCAGGAAAAGAGCCGTGACGTTCTCACCCCCCAGGATGCTGACCGATGGCAGTTCTGGGTAGAAGCAGACAGGAGGGCCAGGGTCAGGCTCAGGAAGGGTGCAGTGGGCACCCAGAAATCCCCTTGATGCCTGGGGGTGAGGGAGCCTTGCCAGACTGGGCCAAGGACTGGTTTCTAGCTTCCCACCTACAGCACCTGGCTAGGAGAAGGAGTTCCTTTCCCTTTAAAAGTTCTCTTGTCCATCTACCCATCATCCATACCCCAACCAACTCATCCCCATCACCCAACCACCTTCCATCCATCCATCCATCCAACCACTCATCTCCCTACTCCATCCATCCAATCGACCATCCACCCACTGACCCTCCCATCCATCCATCCATCTTCCTACCCACCTACCTGCCTGGCCATCCATCCATCCATCCATCCATCCATCCATCCATCCATCCATCAACCATCCATTCTACCCACCCATTCATCTACCCATCCATCCATCCATCCCCTCAACCATCCATTCTACCCACCCATTCATCTACCCATCCATCCATCCATCATCCATCCAAGTGTCCATATGTCCATATGCACATTGAGCAGCCACTCTGTGCCCAGAACTGTCCTAGTCCTCCAGATGCAGCAGAGAAAGGTGGCCTCAGCCCCATACAAGCCACCCTATCCCATTGGGTGGTGGGCTGTGGCCCGAAGAGGCTGGGCAGTGCCAGATCCTTCCTAGAGGAGGGGGTTTCAGGACAGCTCTGACGGACAGGGAGGAGCCAGGCAGAGTGAGAGGGTGCCACGTTACGTAGAGGACTGAATGTGGGCAGGCTAGGGACCACGGATGGGTGGAGGGAGGGACAGAAACAGGAGCTGGGAGGGAAGCAGTGACTGCACTGGAGAGGTGACAAGAGTGATGAGTGATGGAGGCCAGCCTCTCATGCCCACTTCTTTGGGGAATGGGAAGTCCAGTCCAGAAATGCCCTCCAGAGGAAACCAGCCCCATGTCCTTCCCAGCTCCCACTGCCCCAGAGCCCGGGCACCAGCTCACCATGCACAGACACCTCCACCTCCGCACCCGCGGTGCCCGCCTCGTTGGTGGCCTGGCAGGCGAAGAGACCCGCGTGGCCCAGCTCCACATGACTGACATGCAGTGTGGACCCCTGCAGGGCCACCTGAACCCCAGCCAGCTCCTCAGCTGGGCGGCCGTTCTGCAGCCACCTAGGTGGGCAGGGAGGGGACATTCTCCTGGGAACAGGACGCAGCTCCTTCCCCCCCAAGCCTGGAACGTGCTCTCTGCCCTCCCAGCCCGGCCTTATGGCCATACGCACTGGATGGTAGGCATCGGGGAGCCTGAGGCCTGGCAGAGAAGGTCCAAGGGCTGTCCCACCAGGGCGGTCACCTGGCCCAGGCCTTCGGCCACCAGGAGCTGTGGGGGAACTGTGAGCAGGACAGGCCATCGGGTGGTCAGAGCTGAGTGGACCCTGGTGCAGTCCCTCCCAAGGCCCCAGCCACACCTCACCCTGATGTCCCCGTAAATGGCCCCAAGGCTGTGTCCCCTCCCCACTAGGAGTCCTGCGTGCCTCCTCCCTTCTCTCTGGCACCGCACAGGCGGGCACAGGGGCAGAGCAGGGAAGGTCCGCCTGGGAGGCGAGAGCTGCTGACCGGAACCAGAGCCCACGCCCAGCTTCCGTCTTAGGAAGATTTCTGTCTGTTTTTAATTTATGGTGCTATCGGCCCTGGGTCACCTGGCCCCGGGGTTCTGGGCAAGGGCAGAGACTGTGGATCTCAGGGCTCAACCCTGCTGTCCCTGCTGACCCCAGCCCGGTCTCAGTGTCCTCATCTGTCGTGCAAGGCACTGGAGACGTCTCTGACCCCCCACCCCGGGGGCTGCTGGGTCAAGCTCACGGTGGTGGGAGGGGTCCATGGCCGGGGCTCACCCTGCACCTCCACGGCGTACTGCAGCACCGCCTCCCCGGCCGGGCTGCTGGCCACGCAGCTGTACAGGCCTCCGGACGCCTCCCCCAGGCTCTCCAGCCTCAGAGCACTGCCACCTGCCTGCAGCCTCGTCCCGTTGCTCTCCACCACAGGCAGCCCCTCGTGGTACCAGGACAGTGTGGGCGGTGGCCGGCCTCTGGCCACACACTCCAGCGCCACCAGCCTCCCTGCCACGGTCTGCACCGCATAGGGCCCTCCGCCAGCGCCCTCGATGGAGGGTGGGACTAGGGAAGAAGGGCTGCTCAGGGCTGCGGAGACGGCTCCCGGCCTCCCCGGCCACGCTACCTGGAGCCTTGAGTAGACTCCCCTCCTCCTGGAACCTCTCAAGACCCTTGTGGGGAGGTCGCCCCCTCGGCCCTGCGGGCTCCTCCAGGGCACTGCTCCCGTCTTCCCTCCGTCCCCACTGCCAGCCACCCTGTGAGCTCGTCCTGAGTGGACACAGGCTGGCCTACAGGTCTCCAAGGGCCACACGTGGCAGGTCGGCGACAGTGACGGGTCCCAGGGCCACTGCTCCTGAAGTCCCTCCTCCCTGGCAGGAGCGGCAGAGTGGGTAAACCTGAGAGCAGCGGCTCTTGACTCGGCCAGCAGTGGCCTGGGGGCTGGGATTTGAGCCGTGCTGAGAACCTGAGTGGCCAAGACGGAGGCCCCCACTGGCCCTCGCCCTCTGGGGTGTGCTCCAAGTTACTGAGCTGACCGGGCCACGCCAGGGCCTGGGCCGTGGTGCACTGGGAGTCAAGGTCTCGGCCTGTGTGGTTCCCAAGGTGCTGTGGTGAGCACCCACACGACATGTTCACCCCGCTTCAGAGCAAGCCCTGGGCTGAGGGCTGGGCCCGTGCTCAGAGCTGCCATGGACCCACTCAGCCCTCCTCCCCTCAGGGCCCCTGGGGCTGGCACCCACCAGGCCAGAGTCCTGGGCTGCCTCCTGTGAGAGGCCAGGAGGACCCCAGTAACGGCACGTTGCCCTGCACACCTCACGGAGGCCCTTCCGCACCAGTCCTCCCAGCTCTGCGTGTCCCCAGAGCCCAGCCCTCAGGGTTGGCCCATGCTGAGGTCACCAGCGTGACAACTGCAGTCAGACCCTCCCGAGGAGGGACCCAGGGCAAGACCTCGCTGGGCTCGCCCCCACATGGTGATGCCAGTGCCCGAGGCCTTCGAGAGCCCTGCGTGCACCCACAGCACGCCGTGGGCACAGCACTCGCCTCGCAGTGGTTCATGGCCATGGGGGAATTTAGAGAAAAGCGCTAAGCCTCGAGGGAGGCCCGGATTCCAGACAGGCCCTGCCCTGCACAAGGGGGCACAGAGCTGAACCCGCTCCGGGTGACTTTCTGGTCCCATTACCCTGTTTGCCTCTGGCCACTCAAGCAGTGCCCTCACTGGCCTCTGGAGGCAGCAGGCCTGCTCAGTCAGAGTCCTCCCCCCTCGCCCCAGCGGGCCCCGCTCGTCCCTCACCATAGACCTCCAGCCTGGTGGCCTTCTCTGCAGCCCCCACGGGGTTCCTGGCCTTGCAGGTATAGACGCCAGCGTCCGAGTCCTGGGCCCTCGCCAGCTGCAGCTGCCGGCCGCCCCTACTGTAGACCACCTCAGTGCTGGGGGCCAGCAGGGCCCCATCCTTGAACCAGGTGATATCAGGCGTGGGCACTCCTCGGGCCTCACACAGGAACCGCACTGGGTGGCCCTCCATGACGGCCACCTCGCCTGTCTCGTTAGAGCCCCAGATGGTGGGGGGTGCTGGGAAGGACAGGCACGGGAAGAGGGATGGTCACAAGCTGTGTCCCCTGCCCCAGGGGCTGGTGTCCGCCACAGAGCAGCATGAGCACTGCCGTGGGCCACAAGCACCTGTCACGGGCTCCTACCGTGGGGGACAGGGAGTGGGGTGTGGGGACAGCTCAGGGTCATGCCCGTGTGGGACACAAGCCCAGTCAACCCAGGAGATGCAGGTAGAGAAGGGGGCCTCAGGTTTGGGCTTGGGACCCCACTTGGCCTCTAACTCACTGCATGACCCCGGGGTAGGTCCCGTCCCCTCTCTGGGCCTCAGTCTTCCCATCTGAGGGGAAACGAGGGCTGGACTAGATCAGGGCTTCTGCTGGGCAGGTCCCCCACCCTGGCACCCAGGATGGTTGGGGGAACAGAGGGTGTGGCCTGAGACAACCCAGATTCCAGACCAAGCTGCAAGAAAAGGCTCTGTCTGGCCCATGACCCCAACCTTCTAGCACTTTCTACTCTACTCCTGTTTTCAGCAGAGGGAGCAGAGCAGGCTGGGGGCTCTGCCCCTCGGCTGGACTCGTCTCTGCCTCCTTCCATTAACAGCTGGTAAGTACCCTTTGGGTAAGTGTGTCTCGGTGTCAAATGACCGATTTTAACAAAAGTCACGGGACCATTCCCAGGGTCCTGGAACCGTCCCAGGTGGCAGAAGTGAAGCGGAGGATTTGGGGAAGCGCTTCTCGCACCGGGAACTCGCCCTCCAGGCCCCACTCCGGCCCCATCCTCCCTCTCGGTCCCGGAAGGGGCTGGGGCTCACAGTGGACTCTGAGCTGGAAGTCCTTGGCCTGCTGGCCTGCTGGGCTGAAGGCCACGCACTGGTACCGGCCCTCGTCCCCCAGGTGACTGCTGGCGATCCTGAGGACCTGACCGTCCTCCTGGAGCTGGGTGTGAGGGTCTCCAGGAAGGACAGGGCTGGAAAGGTGTCGGGGAAAGCCGTCCGTCAGGGGCAGGCTGCCTGGAGGCCACCAGAGGGCAGAAGCCGGCAGAACGCCCGTCACGGGACACAGAGCACGGCTCCATGGGCACAGGGGATACAGGCCGCCCAAAGAAAGGGAATTCTGACACTCGCGGCAACGAGGGTGGACCTCAAAAACACGCTGGTGGGCTGGGGCGTGGCTCCGTGGCAGAGCGCTGCCTGGCATGTGCGAGGCCCCGGGTTCGAATCTCAGCACAGCATATAAGTAAATGAATAAAATGAAGCCCACCAACATCTGAAGACACAGACGTGCAGACAGGAAGAAGCTGAAAGAGGCCACGAGTCCCGTCCACTCGTGGGAACGGTGGAAACAGGCTGATCTGCAAAGACCAGGCAGACTGTGGCTGCCGAGCAGAGGGAAGGGACGGGGAGGTGGCCACCTGTGGGCACCGGGTTTCCCTCTGGGGTGGTGAAATGCCTTGGGGTAGGTGGTGGCCATGTTGCTCAATGCTGTGGACACACCAAATGCCACTGAACTGTACACTATGTGGATTTTACCTTAAAATGAATAAAGTGAGTTTAAAAAAAATGTAAGAGTGTTGATGGAGTGAGAATCCCTCACTGAGGCCAGTGCAGGGTCTGCTGGGCACCTCCCCCAGGCAGGTGGTCCCTGTGCTGCCCTCTGCCTGGGGGCACAGCTGTCCTGTCAGGCTCCCCCTGAGAGTCCAGCCTACCCCGATCCCCCCTCCACCAACCCCAGCCTGGACACCCCCATGTATCTGTCAAGGGCCACTCACTGCCCGTCCTTGGTCCACTCCATCTGGGGCCTGGGGACCCCTGAGGTCCGACACTCCAGCTCCACGTCTGCACCGGCCAGGCCCAGCACCTCCTGGGCAGCTCCGGCTCCCAGCACAGAAGGAGGGACTGGGGGCGAGAGGTGGGGGACAGCTCAAACCCCAGCAGCCCTGCAGACCCGGGGCCTCTCCCAGGAGGGAGCCCTGCCGTGGGCCTGGGCGCTGCTCTTTGTAACTCTTCACTCGGTTTCCCAAGTGACCGTCCAGTGGGTCCCTTGCTGCTGGCTCCAGGAGGACAGGGCTGGGTCCACGGTGGGCCCTTCGTGCTCCTGCGTGCCGCAGGCACAGGCTCCGGGGTCGCAGGCCCGGGCCTCACTCACCGAGCACAAGGAGATGGAAGTCCCTCTGGGCGGTCCCCGCCTGGTTCTCCGCCCTGCAGGTGTAGAGCCCAGAATCACCCTCCTGGACCCTGGAGAAGTGGAGGGACCGGGCCCTGTCCAGGAGGTGGTGGCTGTCTGTCTCAGAGACCTGGGGGAGAGACCAGAGGCAGCAGGTGGACAGCAGCATTGAGACTGAGGCCTGGGCAGCGCCGGGCACTCCCACTAGGTGCTCCTCTAGGCTTCTTCACAGGACCGCAGGGCCCCACTGCCCCAAACCCTGCTGCATCCCCAAAGACCCCTGTCACCTCTCCCCCACACCAATCCCTCTGCCACTCACCCATCCCAGGGGACACCCACCAGCTGCCCATCCTTGAGCCACGTGATCTCAGGGACTGGAAAGCCATTCGCGTCACACTTCAGCGTCAGAGCCTGCCCGGCCATGCCCGACACGTTAGCCTTGTGCCCATCCTCTCGGATGCTGGGGGGCACTTGGGAAGCAAGAAGGAGAGGGCTGTCCCCAGCTCCTTGAGCCACGGGATGTCCCAGCCCATCCTTGTGGCCTGGACAGGAAGCCCGGACTCCCTCCCCTCCCCAAGATCCCCGGGGCCTATCATTCAGGCCGTCACTGGGGTCCCAGAGGTCTGCCTGTCACCATCTGCCCCAGCAGAAGCCTGCTGCAGCCTTGCCTGGGGACTGCATAGTCCTGTTTGGGCCCCGGGACGCTCAGCCTGCTACAAGGTGTGGGAGCCCCATGCATCTGATCCACCCCGACCTGGTCCCCACTCCTCCCTCCCCGAGTCGGAATCTCAGAGGAGAGGCCTGGGGTGTCTTTGTAGCACATTTCCTAAGCAAGTCATCACATGGTGAGAGCAGGGCTGGTCATGGGGACGCACAGGTGGCCACAGGTGAGTGAGACTGACCTGAGGCTCATGTTCGGCTGGTTAGCCGGGGGAGCCCCAGCCCAGCCTCACGGTGCCCTGCTACCCAGCACCCTGGGCACAGGAGTGGGGGCTCTCCCTGCTGGTGACAGGGACAGGGGCCTGGGGGCAGTTCTAACAGCTGTGCTGCAGGATGGGCTGTGGGCCGTCACACTCACTTCAACATGGATGTGCCCGTGGGGCCACCCAGAGAAGCCTGGGTGCCCTCCTCCGCTGTCTCGGGTGTCTCTGGGAAAGCGGGTGCCCTGCCCTCTAGTCCTGCCCCTCAGTGCCAGGGACCTGTGGCCTCTGCCAGGTGGGTACAAGCCTGTTGCTGGGACCCTACTGCTATGTCACCTGGCCCCTGCCCTGGCGTCCCTCTTACCGTAGACCACCAGCCTGGATCTCCTGGACGCGGAGCCCGCCTCGTTTGTGGCTTGGCACTCGTACTCCCCACTGTCCGAGGGCGAGACCGAGGACAGGAACAGGGACCCTTCCTCCAGCACTGCCACACCTGGCCGGCCCGGCAGGGGCTCTGCGGATGGGCCCTTCCGCCACGTGACCTGCGGCTGGGGCGTCCCTGGCAGGGCGTGCCGAGGTCAGCATGGACGTACCCACCCCCGCCGCCCCCGGTGCTCACGTCGCTGGCCCTCTGGCAGGTGGTCCCAGGTGAGAGGGGCAGGTCAGAGCCGCAGGTGCCCACAGCCCTACCCGCCCAGGGCTACCCGCCGGCCTCCAGGCTCCCAGGGCCCACGGGTGTGGGACACGGGCCTGTTCTCTGCTTCCTTCCCAGGGAGGCCGTGCCCGGCCACCTCATGGAGGACGTCACCCACACCCTCTGACCACCCTGCCCAGCCCTTTAGCCCATCATGGGCTAACTTGCTACAGAGGCACATGCTGTTGAGGTCCTCGTCCTGTGACCTGCCCCACACAGGGCAGTGTCTCTGTGCTGCACCCCCAGCCGTTAGCACAGTGCCTGGCACACAGTAAGTGCCAAATCAATGCACAGCCTGCTGGCAGGCCTCATACCAACTAGTCAGGGCATGAGAAACAGGGCAGTGGGAGGGGACAGCTCTGTCCCTCCTGCTCTCCCCTCCGAGGCTGAGCCTGGGGCTGGCCACTTGCTGGCCACGTGCCCAGCACCACCATCACCATCTCAGACTTGCATGTGGGCTAATGACTGTCTTTGCCACAGTGAGTGTCACTGTCACTTAGCACGGGGCAGGGCCTGCCGCGGAGCAGGTCCTCAAGTGGGCGCTGATGAGCAGGGCACACCTCCAAGATGGCGCTGCCCAGCGGGCCCAGCAGCGCACACCCTGGGCCCCCTCAGTGCCCAGGTGGGTGGAGGGCCCTCCCCAGCAGGCCAGCACCCACAGCCCGACGGCCACGCGCTCTGCCACCACTGCTGGTCCTGGAGATGAGAACTGCCAATACCCATGGCCACTAAGGACACCCCATCCTGTGTCAGTCACTCCCCTGGCAGCTGGGCGCCCTGGGTAGATGCTCCCTCGTCCTTCCCCAGGGACAAAGGGGCCATGGAGGGAGGGGGGAGCATGGGGTCAGGGGACGTGGGCCACGGAAGGTATCCTAAGCGCCTTCTTTCAGGAGGTCCCCTGCCCCACTCCAGCCCACACTGACTGCCCACTGCCCACACATGCTGGGGATTTCCTGCTGGACGTGCAGGACAAGGGCCCAGGACCTGTGTCCAGGCGCATCCCTCCATGTGTCCCTGGACCAGCCACCTGATCTCTGTGCCAGTTTTCTCCTGGAGCCCTCCACCCAGGGTGCAGGCTGGGGTGTCCGTCCCATGGCCAGTGTGGGGACCCAGGCAGGTAACGCCACAGACCACAGACACCACGTACCGCTGGTGCACACACGTCCCTCTCAGTGCCTGCGGCTTCTCCCAGAGACTCCCTGTCCCGCCCCTGAGGACCTGACCCTCAGAGCTCGGCCTGCGGGGGCCCCAGGCCTGCAGCCCTGGACTTTTTAACGCACAGAGCTCACGGGCACCAGAGCAGGACGGCCCTGTGCCCAATGAAGAGTCCAGCGCTGGACACCAGCTCCCCACCGCAGAGGAGAACCCAGTTGCCAACAAGGGGGCCGGGGTCGCGGCCCTCCCGCCCCCCTGGGGGGAGGCAGTGCTGGCACGTGCTGGGCGCTGGGCACAGTGCTCTCCCCCTTGGCCCTCAAGGCCCAGGGTGGCTGAGCCAGAGCCGGGCACTGTCCACCACAGGTGCCCACTGGAGGCGGCAGTCGGAGGCAGCTGGAGAGGGGAAGACCAGGTGAAGCCTGGCCCAGCAGACGGACCCCACAACCCAGAGACAAACGTGGGGGAGGACAGCAGCCTACCACGTGGGGCGCCCAGGGGTGCCAACGCCCTCCCCTTTCCTGACCGGCTGCTCGCTGTTGCCAGGCCCAGCACAAGGTGGCGCCATGGTCAAGGCTGGCAGGGCCCCTCAGGAGGGCTGTGCCCAGGAGCCCCCAGGTGTCTGCCTCGCCAAGGTGTCTGCCACACCCAGGTAGCCAAGCCCTCCTGCCCGCCTCTGCCGCGTCCTGCTCCAGGCAGCAGCTGAGAACAGGCTGCTCCCCAGGCTCCTGCGGGCTGCTCTGAGCTGCCCCGGGCTGCCGACAGCCAGAGAGCAGGGGCCCCACAGTGGACAGCTGGCCCTGGGGAGGGCCAGGGACACTCTCTCAAAGACAAAGGAGCAACGTGGGCAGGCAGGGCCCAGGGAGCAGAGCGGCCACCTGGCGGGGACACCAAGCACCCCGCACATTCCCCTTCTAAATGCCAGGTCCAGTGCAGACACCTAGAGCTCAGGTGCCCCCTGAGACCTCCCAGGGCCCCATGAGAAGGACCGAAACACCCCACTGTGCAGATGAGGGACTGAGGCTCTGAAAGGAGACAGAGCTGCCCTGGGAGGCCCAGCAGGCGGAGCAGGCTTGGCATGGGCAGCTGGCCACAGGGGCTGCTGTCTGGGCCTCGATACGCTGCTGGCCCCAGGCCGTGGGAATTCATCCTCGTGAGAAAGCTGGGACGTGAGTTCCCAAGTCACCAAGACGAATCCACAGGACCTGTGGGCTCCCCTCAGCCCCAACTGTCATTCCCTGGGTACAGAGGGGACAGGGCTTAGGGAGCAGGCAGAGCCAGGGTCCAGCGGCCACACCGTGAGTCGTGTCCTGGCTGTGTGACCTCAGGACCACACTTGCTCACCCTCTCTGGACCAGGACAATGAACTAATGCCAAGGGGCAGATGCTAACATCATCCTACAGAGTTGACAGGTGCTACCTGTGGTGTGCCCCGGGCACAGGCACCCAGCCAGCCCACCCCAGCCTCCCCGCCCCACCCAGGACTGGCCTTACCTCTGGCTGGGCACGGCAGGCTGGCGTTCTCTCCAGCCACTCGCTCCAGCAGGCCACTGGTCTCATCGGCAACCCAGTGTGGAGGCTCTGGTGGGAGGTGACATGGCTGCACTCATACCTGGCGTCCAAAGCTTGGCACCACCCTCAGAGACCCAGGGCCAGAGGGGAAGGCACCCTTCCAGCCTGGCCCTCAACCTCCCAGCGAGACCAGCTGGGGCCTCGCACAGAGTGACCCTGTGGGCAGGCACCAGGTCACTACCCCACGGGCTCGCGAGGCTGGGCTTGCGCCCTCCAACACTAGGGGTCTGACAGGGTCTGCCCTTCCAGGTCCCTCCTGGAAATGGCCCTCCAGGCGTAGAGCAGATTCCTCCAGTGAAGCTGCCAGCACCACAGGTCTAGAACTTTCCACGTGCCGGGAGCTTTGTCACCTTCTCTCACTGGCCCTGTATACCACTGGGCCCACTCTGAGGTGAGAGGTCTGGCCTATGCTGTCCAGTTGGCAAGAGCCCTGACCGCTGCCCCACAGCACCTCCACACCCAGGTGTGCAGGATCGCAGGGCGCAGGGGGTGCAGGGAGCCTCAGGGTGACTCCGAGGACCTACTGGTCAGTGCCCAAGGCTCCCCAACATAGGTGGACTGCCCCCAGTTGTGGGACCCAGAGGTCCTAGGAAGGAGGGGACAGGCAGGTCCCAAACCCAGAGCAGAGGTGAGCACTGGGGTCTAGCTGCGCTGGGGAGATGGGAAGAGGGACGTTTTGGGGTTGGGGGGACGCTCACCCAGCACCCTAAGCTCCAGCTCCCAGACGTCCTCCCCAGCACTGCTGGAGGCCTCGCAGTGGTACATCCCGGCGTCCGAGGGCTCAATGGCCGAGAAGTGCACGGAGCCCGCAGGCCCCCCACCCTGCAGGGCCACCCCGTCCTTGGACCAGCTCAGCCGGGGCTCCGGGTCGCCCTCGGCCACGCAGTTCAGATCCAGGGCTTCTCCCGCCAGCACCTTCAGGACCCGAGGGCCCGGCTGCACCTGAGGGGGGACTGCAGGGCCACAGGGGGTGTCCAGGTGGAGGTACCCAGGTGAGGGGTCCCGTGTCCTGCCACCCACCCAGGCTGCAGCGGAGGTGGTGGGACAGCAGCGGTGGGGGTGGGGGTGGGGTGGGGTGGGGGAGCCAGCAGTGGCTGAGTGCTGTGGCGCCCCCGGCTTGTCTTGCCGGGCGGGCAGGGCCATGCCCATTTTGCAAATGTGGAAACCTGGTCAGGGTCAGCTGAAGAGACGGAGGTGGCGCCCCTCCCCCTGGGTCTGAGTGACCAGGAGTCCAGGTGGCTTCTCGGGCCCTCAGACACAGCAGGCCCAGGAGAACTCTCAGAGCCCAGGCCCCTGCGCCAGGTCCTGGATGAACGTCTTGGGCCCCCAGGGGAGCAAGGGAGCACCTATCCCTGTCCAGTTTCTGAGAAGGGGTCAGAGGTGGGCCACCCATGGGCCTCGCTGCCCAGGAGGGCCTAGTGCTGAAGAGCAGAGGCCCACGCCCACCCCCACCTCGCACTCCCGCCTGTGAAGCGGGGTTCGGTTAGAGGGGCAGGCTGGCGTCTACGGGGGGATCAGGCCACAGGGTCGGCCCCCACCACTCCAGTGGCCACTACTCGGGTGAAGGTCGGCCTGTTCCGACAGTGTGGGCTTCCAGGACGCTGAGGTGTGAAGGCCACACACTTGTCAAATGTCGTGGGATATCATCTCTTTCTTTGCTTGTTTGTCTTTTCCTAATCATTTGAAAATGTAGAGCCATCCTGCCCATGGCCCCAGGTGGTCCCGTCCTAGGTGGCTCCTCGGGCTCTTGGAGAGGACAAGCTCCCGCCTCTCTGCTCTGTGACAGCACCAACTGGCCTCTTTCAGATGACCACTGCTGGGACCCCCACAGCCACTCCTAGCCCCCCCCCAGCTGGGCTGGAAGCCAGAGGAGCCCCAGTCAGAGGGGGAGGAGGACGGGGTCCCCCTCAGGGGCACCTCGAGGTGGCTTGTCACAGACGTGGGAGGAATCCTGCAGAAGGAGGGGCCTCAGGGGCTTAGACACTCCCAGCAGGAAGGGCGTCTGGGCTGCACCGGGGCCAGAGATGCCCTCAGTCCACCTTCATGGCCCTGGCCCCCACTCCAGCCCCCCCGCTGGTCCTGCCCTGCCCTTGGGAGCCTGGGCAGAGCCCCTCCAGGCCGCAGGGAGGAGGAGAGAGGGGTGAGAAGACAGGAAGAGGTGACAGGGCCCCTCAGGGCTTGGGAGGGGCACCGAGGGGCTGGGTGGGGGCACGGTGGGAGGGCGGGGCCTGGGGTCAGAAGGCAGGTGGGAGGGAGAGACCCAGGCCCTACCTTGTACCCCAAGGACGTAGCGATGGGAGGCGGACCCCGCGGGGTTACTGGCCGAGCACTCGTAGAGGCCACTGTCACCCTCCTGGGCCTGGGCCAGGCGCAGGGAGCCGGATGGGAGGAGGCTGTGCCTGCATCAGAGAGGGGGCTGGTGAGCCCCGGAAGGCCCCACAGGGAAGGCTTCAAGACCCAGCTCAGACCACGGGCTGCCTCCCCCAGGAGGCCCTCCAGGACTGAGGGGCAGCCCTGCCCTCCACCTTCCCCTCTCTGCTGCCGAGCCCAGGCCAGGCCCTGCTGGCACTGGACTGAAGTCCAGTCTGCACCCTTCCTGGCTGGGTCCTCAGGAGGGCCACTCCACCTCTGTGGCCCCCACGCCTGCGTCTGTGGAACGGAGCCTAAGGGTGGGGCTGGGGCACAGCAGGGCCTGCGCTGTCCACCCCCACGCCTGCTGGCCACGGCAATGCCCCCTCTCTACTGAGCTAACCTGCCCTAGGTCACCTCCCGGCGAGCAGGGCCAGCCACCCCCTCGGCTCTCAGACCCCCTGTGTCCTGGCACCAGGGTCTGCTGGGCCTTGAATCCTGTGCCTTTGGCCGTCTCATGATCAGAGCTGTGCTGGGCCCCAGGGAGACGCTGTGCAGTCCACCCGTCATCTTGCTAAGTCACCTCCATCCCACAGGATCCAGGACCCCCAGCCAGGCTCCTGCAGCTGGGCTGGACCCCAGGGGGCCCCTACAGACATGATGTCACCAGCCCACATGTGCTGGCTCTGGGTAGACCCTGCCCCGTAAAACAGAGGGGGCAGCTGCAGTCAGGGGCCCCGGCCAGCCCCCAAAGCTAGTGGCCAACATGGGGGTGGGGACTCCCAGGGCCAGCCTTCATCTGTGAGCGCACGAGAGGTTTCCAGCTGGGCTCTGGAGGCGGAAGGCCTGGGCTCCAGCCCTTTCTGCTGAGCTTTAAGTTTCCTCTTCTGCAAAATGGGCCTTCCAGGTTCCCATAGACCCCTGGGGTCCCTGGAGTCCCATCTCCCGCCCAGGCAGCCCAGGATCATAAGGGACACTGTGAGCGCATCCCAGGGCTCGGGTTACCATGTCCACAGGCACCTGCTCAGCCCGGGCTGCCGCTCTGCTCCTGTCTCTCTGCTGTGAAGCAGGGCGTCCACCCTCCCTGCAGCCAGTGGGCACCGTGGACACTGCAGGTGACTCTGGGCAATGGTCTTCCTGGCCCAGGAGCTGGGCTGGCCATGCATGGCAGGGCAGGGCCTGTCACTTTCCCTTCCTGGGCTTTAGTTGCCCCACTTTGGATAACAGAGCCCACAGTCATGTAATCCTAGGACTGCGGAAAGAACCGAATGGCCTAATTCACAGCACAGCACCTGGAACAGCAAAGGCCAGCTGCTGTCCTGGTGATGACCGCTCACCCGCAAATAACGCACACTGCTGTTCTGCATGTTTACAACTTATATAAGTGGCACTGTCTACAGCGTGTAGATCAAACCCATCCCTTTCCACTGCTGTATAATATTCCCTTGCTTGTTCATACCAGAATGTATTAATTTGCTGTGGTTGGCGTAGACCTTTAGATAGCCAGCTCCTCCCTCCCTCCCTCATTTTCTTGGCCCTTCCCTTCACTAACAGGGCTGCCTGCATACTGTGTGTGTCATCTGTATGGGAGTAGGACTCCTGGCCACAGGCTCCTGCCCCTCAGCTCTCACAGGAGCCAGCTGGGGAGTTGGTCACTCATGCCTTGCAGGACGGGGGTCCTCACCAGACCCTCCTGGGCAGATTCGGAAGCCTGAGTCCAGTGGGGCTGGAGTTTCAGCAATGCCCTGGCTGCCCCTGGGAGCGCATCTGAGGACAGTGAAGAAGTGCCCCCGCCCTGCCCCGCCCCTCAGAGTGTGGCCAAGCAGAAGGGGCGGGGCTCAAGCAGCCAGTGGGCACCTTGGGAACCACCTGTGCTGGCCTCACAGGGGACCCTGGGCCAAGGACTCCACCCTTCACCTGGATCACAGGTGGTGGCAGGCGCAGAGTGACATGGTGCACACAGCCCATGGTGTCGGGGACAGTTACGTGCCCACAGACGGCCCTGCTGCCAGCCTGACCCGGGCGTCCCAGCTTGCTCTCAGCTGGGCAGCGCTGAGCAGGGAGGAGGAGGGGCCAGGCACAAGGCACTTGTCCCCAGCAAGGCCTGGGGGCACTTCCTTTTCGGATCCGCCCCCAGCTTGGCCTTCCTCATCTCCAGGCTCCTTAAGGTGGACAATGTGGACGTATCAGCACCCCCCAAGCAAGGGATGGTCAGCTCCAGGCTGAAACACACATACTCAATGACACTGGGGCAGGGTTCAGGTTCCCAGACTCCCTACAACACTGCGGCTGGCAACAGGGACAGCGTGGGACAGGGAAAGAGGTCTGGGCTGCAAGTGGACCCAAGGTCCCATGGTGTCCCATGGTGCTGTAGACAAAGTGCTGTGCAGCCTCAGGCAGGACAGGTCAGCGTCTCTGAACCCAGTCTGTTCACACTGGAGAAGACGACTCCAGGATCTCAGAGGCTGCCTCCAAGGGCGGCCAGCAATAGGGGCCACAGAACTCCCGGCTCCCTCCCTCCCTGAAGGACAGGAAGAAGGACATTCTGGGCAAAAGCATCAGAGAAACTTCTGAAAGAGAAGAGTCTCGGCAGTGAAAGTGTCACCTCCCCCGTTCATGAGCACCGCCCGGGGCAGCGTCTAGAAATGCTGCCTGCTCTATCACCACGAGAAACGGAGACGGGGTCCACTCCACTCACAGATGGTGGGCTGGCCTGAGAGGAGAAGGGCCCAGTGCCCACGTCACTGTCCTGCGTTAAACCCTTCTGCGGCTCCGGACAGCCCCGGGACAGCTGCATCCCACCTCCCCGGCACCCCGTCCCTCGCTGGGCCTCAGCTGTCCTCCCTGCAGCAGGCCCCCTGCTCTCCTGGCCCCTGTTCTTTCAGCCTGGGGCCCCCCTGGACCCTGCCCATCTTTCCACACCTAGACACCACCTCCTCCAGGAAGGCCGCTGTGATGCCCCAGGCGGCCAGGGCTGTCCCACGGCCCCCAGGCTGCCTGAGCTCCCAGACGTCACAGCCCTCAGCACCGATCTGCGACAACATGGGACCTGGCTGCTGGGGGCTCCAGGGGGACACCACCTGCTGCCTTTTCACCCCTGCCCGGACCCCTGCCCAAGCTCTGAGACTCAGAGAAAGCGAAGCGTTGCCTCTGTCCAGGGCTGGGTAGACGGGATGCTGGGGGCCTGGGGCACCCCAGCTCTCCCTGGTCCCCCCAGCTCGCCCTGGTCCCCCCAGCTCGCCCTGCAGGGAAGTTGGGTGGGGAGTTGGAAGGAGGAGGGGCCTCGGGGCAGGGGCTGCGGGGACGTGGGTGTCACCCCTGCGCGGCCAAGCGCCTCCTGAGCACTTCCTCACTTGGAACGCCCAACAGCCAGACCTGCGAGGCGGGGAGTCCACACCCTCGGCCCCTCTGAAGAGAAGGCTGAGGCCTGGGGATGAGGCCTGGGGACGCCACTCTGCATCCACAACACTTGGCTGGTCGGACACGGCCCCCCCCCCCGGCCCTGCCACTGTGTGCCTACCCACCATAGCAATCAAATGGTTGGCCCTGCCAGGCACAGTGGCCACACCTGCAGTCCAGCGGCTCAGGAGGCTGAGGCAGGAGGATGGCGAGTTCATAGCCAGCCTCAGCAAACTGAGGCCCTAAGCAACTCAGTGAGACCCTGTCCCCAAATAAAATACAGAATAGGGTTGGGGATGGGGCTCAGTGGTCAAGTGTCCCTGGGTTCAACCTCCAGTGCCCACCCCCCCCAAAACACAAAGGTTGGCCCTGGTGTTACGATAACTTAAATGTCCCCAGAAAGACAGCCGCGGGCCACAGTAGGTTAATAAGACTTCAGAGCCGCCAGCCAGCCGCCAGCATGGCAGACCCACACAGGCCCCTGGGCGGTCCACGCCTGGCTGTTGGCTTATGGGGAGCAAGCAGGTTTTCTCCTGGACCACCAGGACCCCAGCTGCATCCTCACTTCATGTCCGTGGTGAGCGGGCAGTGGCCATCCAGGAGAAGGACAGGTGGGCGTGCTTCCTGGATCCCCTCGGGAGTGAGCCACGACGGTGGGTACGGCCGTGGGAAGCCCGCAGCAACAAGGAGCCCGGGCAGCCCACCCCACGCCCTCCCCTTCCCGGACTCGGGCCTGGCCCAGTGTGGGACCCTGGCCCGCTGCCCCGAGAGCTCACAGCTGTCCCGGCTCCACATCAGAACCACAAACAAACACAGTCGCCTAGCGACACGCCCCACCCGGCACCCGGAGCTGGCCCAGGGTGTTCTCTGGCCACCACTGCCCACCCACGAGCTCTCGGGTCTCCGATGGGAAGACCGAGGCCCAGGGAGGGGCCAGGGCGGGCCCAGCCCTCGAGCAAGCTGCGGGATGCCCGGAGGGGCCCCGGCCCCGGGCTCTGTCGGTCTCAGCACAGTCCTGGGCACGCGGCGTTGCTCAGGGGACACCGTGGACCTAGACCCGCGGGACGAGAAGCGCCCAGGGGCCATCCCCCCTGGACTCAGCCGTGTGCTGTCAGGATGGTCCAAGGGACGGCCCGGGGACGAGGGGAGCCTCTGGGTGAAGGTGCTCCAGCAGCCGTTTGTGACCCTGAGCACTGGCCGTGACAACCGGCCCGACAGAGCGGCCTCGAACCAGCCAGCCGGGGCCGGGCCGGCCGCCACCACCCACCCACGCCAGCTGGCAGAGGGGACGGCCCCGGCCACGGGGAAGGAGGTGGCCTCGGGGGCCCAGCACGTTGGCTCTCGTCCCTGCCCGCATGGTCGGGCTCCTCACTGCACCAGGGCCGGGGCCTCGGGCCAGCAGAGCCCCAGGACGGGGCAGCTGTGGCCCTGAGGCAGCTCACCAGGCGGAAGGAGCCCAAGGCCCAGCGGAGGGGCAGGCGGGGTCCCCAGGGAGCCTGGAGAGGGCACCTCTCGAGGGAGGAGGGTGGGTCCTTCAGCAGATGGACCCTAGGGCTCCCGGAAATGAGTCCTCAGCCTTCAGAATAGAGGCCTGGAGGCCCAGCCTTGGGGCTCCCAGGAGGAGAAGGAGGTTGGGAGTGCATGCAGAGAAGAGAGGACGAGGGCCGCACAGACCGCAAGGCCCCTCCCCTGCACTGCATGGCGAGTCCACGAGGTCCCACAGTCCCCTCCACGGCTGGAGCTCCCTGGTGCTAAGGGGAGCCGGGTGGTGACGGGGTGGGGGGACCAAAGAACCCCGAGGACCCCAGCCTGCCCAGGAGGTGGCAGAGGCCGCTCATAATCAGCTCATAATCAACCCCCATGTCCATCACATGGTGAGTGAACAAAAGATGGTCAGTGGAATGCTATTCAGCCATGAAAAGTGGGCAGTGATCTGACCCATGCTATGCCCATGAACTTCGAGGGCATTGTGCTGGGCAAAGGAGAAGACCACATCTAATTCCAGAGTCAGACCAGGAAGAACCCAGAGGACGGGAAGATGGAAAAGAAACCAGTGATGAGAAATGTCCAGAATGTCAATCCAAAGACAGAAAGAAGATCAGCAAGATGGGCAGTGGCCAGGGGGCGGGGCTGGCTGTGGGCATGACCGCTCTGGAGGGTGGTGGAAATGCCCTCCGGGTGGTGGCGACCACACAGTGGGGAGAGGAACCCGTGGGTAGATGTACCGTGTGGTTGATTTCCTGATGACGCCGCCCTGTCCCACAGTGGGTGAGAATTAAAGGGGACAGTAAGGTGACGGTTCCCTGAAAGCTACCAACGAACGGCCTTGGTTCACGGCCAGCAGCAGCAGGGGCAGGAACAGGAGGCACAGTGCCCAGCTGCCACACGCTGGGCACCACCGTCGTCACCTCCCAGGGCAGGAGGAGGAAGTGCAGGACCCTCTGCAGTCCCTGCAGTCCCAGGCAGCCCGAGGGGCCACAGCCGTCCCCAAGGCCAGCGCCTGCGCCTCTCCCTCCTGCGCCCCGGGCGTGTCCTGCCCTTTAGACAAGCTCCCGGCTGGCCAGAGACCTCAGAGCAACCGTGCCACGAGCCACAGAGGAGGTGAGGGGCCGACGGGGCCGCACTGCAGGCCACTGGCCAGCGCCCAGCCAGGAGCAGGGGCCAGACACTCTTGGGGACGCGCAGGCTCCCGGGAGGCCCCCAGCCCAGGCCGGGGAGCCGCAGTGGCCCACCTCAGCCACAGCCCAGGTCCCTTCCCTGGCCCCGGCTGTGCCGAGGGGGACACGCTGCAGGTTTGGCAGCGCTCACCCAACACGTGTCCCGAGATGCAGACAAACGTGGGAGGGAAGACGTGAGGCCACCGCAGGGCCCTCGGTCTGGGACAGCTCAAAGACCTTGCCAGGGCCGACGTCACCTGCCTGCGCCACAGCCCCTCTCCCACTGCCAGCTCCAAGGCTCCAGGACTCTGGGGGCCACTTACTAGCGGGAGCCAACAGCCTCCACACTCCACACAGCTGGGCCGCGCTGGACCCCAAGCCCAGCCCTTCCCTCACTGCGCCTCCCAGGACCCCCAAGCAGCACCGGAGTCACAGCCAACCCCCCGGACACCTGGGAGATGGCATGAGCCGTGGTCAGGACACGCTGTGCGAGCCAGCTTTGCTCTTGCTCAGCTGGGCGACCCTGAGCAGCTCCCCCACCCTGGTGGCCCTCAGTGTCTAGAACAGTTCAGCTGCTGGGGCCGCGGGGGCTGCCGGGCAGGGTGGGAAGTGCCGTCCACATGGCCAGTGACCACGTCGAGGCATGTTCTTTCAGGGTGGCTCACCATGGTTGCCTGGCCCCTCAGAGGCTCGGGGACCATGGGCGCAGTCTAAGTGCTTCTGCAGAGCACACCTGCAGTGTCCAGGGCTCTCACACCTGCTGGGCCACCGGCCACCCTGGCGCCAGTTTCCCTCCAACCCCAGGTTCCACCCCTCCTGACCCAAGACCAGGAGGATTGGGTACCTGTCGGTGACGGACAGCAGAGGGCGGGAGTCCTTTGTCCAGGTGACCAGTGGGGGTGGGGAGCCCTGGGCCTCACAGTCCAGGGTCACCTCTTCGCCGGCCTTTGCTGTGACTCTCAGAGGCACATCTGCATCACGGGACCCATTCACCTTGATCTTGGGCTTGGCTGTTGGGGGACACCAGCAGAGCCTTGAGCAGGACAGCAGGATGGCCCCCAGGGAGGGGTGTCCCCAGGAGATAGATGTCCCCCAGGAGAGTGGTGTCCCCAGGAGAGGTATATCCCCGAGGAGAGGTGTCCCCAGGAGAGTGCTGTCCCTAGGAGAGGGATGGCTCCCCGGGAGGCAGAGGTACAGAAGTGGACGAGGCTTGTTAGAGTCAGGTCTGGGGTCTCGGGCCGAGGGCCTGGCTCAGCCCTCCCCTCCTCCGCCCTCTGGAAGCTCCTCCTCGTTGGCAACCTGGCCTGGTCCCTCCTGCCCAAGGTCCAGGCCTCCTCTGGCTCCTCTCCGTCCTGCCACCCCTTCCCCGGGACATTCCTGCAGGGTCCCTCCCCTCGTCTCTCCACCTCCCCACTGGTCATGCGATGATTCCGGGGATCAATGACCAGAGGACGCAGACTCTCCCTCTGGGTTCTGCAGCCCCGTCGGGGACCTCTGAGACCGCACACGTGGCCTCTCTGGGGTTCTGCTGACGGTCCCTTGGCATCAGACTACACAGTGCCCCTCCATCCCTGTGCCCATTCCTAGTCCAGCGCTCACACTGAAGTAGGCAGATGTGCTGCAAGAAGCAGACAGGTGGGCGTGTAGACCCCCTGGCCTCCTCCTGTCAGCCCCTGCATTGTTACAGAGCAAACTGCCCACTCCATTTAGGAGTTGTTTTTTTTTTTTTTCCCAGGATAAAATATTGTCTCCAAAAGGATGCAATAGCAAAGATGGGAAAGGGCATTCAGCCAGAAGGAGCTGCCTGTGCAAAGGCCCAGGGGCAGGGTGGACCGCGGCAGAATGGAGAGGGATGGGAGGGTCTGAGGCAGAGAGGAGAGGAGAGAGGCGGGCCAGGGGGCTGCCAGCACAAGGTCGGGGCAGAGACCTGTGTCTTTCCTGAGCCTCTGACGGTGACAGCTCCCCACTCGGTCACCACAGGCTGAGTGGACCACTGTCCCCCATGACGCCCACGCCCACTGAGCCCTCCCACCGGGGCCGCCATCCTCACTGTTGACAGAGAGGCGCATCTCCTGGCTGGAGAAGCCCACGGCATTGGTGGCAGTGCACACGTAGGCCCCTGCATCCTGGGGGGACGGCTGGGTGATGACCAGGGTGCCGTCCTTGCTCACGTTGTAGCGGGGACCCCCGGAGCTCAGGGCACGGGCTTCCTAGTGCGGAGCGACAGGGACGTCAGCAGAGCCCACACCCCGCTCTCCAGCAGGTGTGGCCGGCCCCCAGCGCCCTCACAGGGAGAGGCCCCTACCTTGGTCCAGGAGACGGTGGGGGTGGGGACTCCAGAGGCGAGGCAGGGGAGGGAAGCCGGGACCCCTTCGTTGGTGACGTGGTGGGTGGCAGAGGGACGGATCCTAGGTGGCACTTAAACAAACAAACCAATTTCACCAACCCACGCTCACAGCAGCATCTGCCCAAGAGCCAAGAGGTGGCAGCAGCCCGGACGTCATCAGTGATGAGCAGTTAAGCAAGACACGGCGCATCGCCGCGTAAGGGCACCTCCTCCAGCCTCAACCAGGGCCAGAGACCACCTCCGCCCTGGGGTTCTGGAACAGGCAGGGCTCGACAGACGACAGAAAGAGGGGTGGTGGCCAGGAGCGGGGGACAAAGGTGGCCGGGGATGGGACTTGACACTTCTCTGTGGGACCCCACAGGAGCAACATGTCCTTGTGCTCCCTGGCGGGGAGGGGGGTATGTGTGTGGCTTCTTCAGTAGTAACAAGGGCCACCCTGGGGACGTCAGGACGGGCGGCCGTGCGTGAGGGGCAGGGGAGTGGGGAGGCTCCATCCTGTGCTCCATCTTTCTATAAAACTGCTCTAAACCCGCGGGACTTCCCATCCACAGAACAGCGCTGGGACATTGTGCTGGCAGAGAGCCGGGTGCCAGGGTCCGCGCCTGCGATGCGGCTGGAGCCCAGGCTGCGCAGACTTGCGGAGAAGAAGGGCTGGGGGCGGCCAGGGTGCAGGGGGCGGTCAGTTCAGGAAGATGAGAAGGTCCTAAGGGGAGGGTGCGGCAGGCTGCAGAACATGTCACTGTGCTTAATGTCACCGAATTGAACACCTAAAATCAGCTAAAACGGAAGGTTTTGTGCAATGCGTATTTTACAATTTTTTAAAAGTTCAACAGGAGAATAAAAAGTCTGACGTCTGCAGCCACGGTGGCCTGGCCATCGTCAAATTCACCCCCAGGCAGCTGTGACACTCCCCTGCTCTGGGACTTTGGATAAACCACTGATCTTCAGGCCCATCGTCCCTGGTCAGCAAAACACGAAATTAACCCCAACGCCCGGTCCATTCCTTTGGGGATGGACAGATGGGAAGTGGCGGAAAGCGGTGTCCCCAGAACAAAGTGAATTTAAACCCAGGAGCAAGATCCATTCTGGACATCAGAAAGTCTACAAGCTCGAGAGACAACGGTCCTAATGGTCTCTAGGGAGGGCAGGGGAGGTGGCCGCGTGGAAGGTGTGGAGGGAAAGCTGGAGCCAGGTCTGAAGCTTGCTCGAAGCTCCTCTGAGGGGACGTGGCCTTCCAGATTCCCCAGGCGCCAGAGCCCGCCAGTCCATAAGGCCTTGTGGAATGGAAGCAGGTCTCATGGAGAGACGGAACCCCTTCCCGCCAGCCCACGGGCGTGCTGGGCCGTGCGGGTGGAAACACGCGTGGCTCGTGCCACGTGGCCAGCTCTGGGGGAGATGTGAACTGGACGGACACCCAGGACCAGCCCCTTCCGAACTGTGGCTCTCCCCTCTGCCCTGGGGACAGCACCTCCTCCCTCTCATCCCTCCAGGGCTCAGTGAAATAAATGAAATGAAGAGTTGACACACTTGGTAAATGACAAAGTGTAGCCAACGCAGCCCCCTCTTACGTCAAGAAGAAGGGAGGCAGGGGTTGGGCTGTGGCTCAGGGGCAGAGCGTTTGCCTAGCACGAGTGAGGCCCTGGGTTCCACCCTCAGCTCCACATACAAATAAACAAAACAAACATGTGTCCACGTGTAACTAAAAGGTGAAAATTAAAAAGAAAAAAAAAAGACACTAAGCAACTCAGCGAGACCCTGTCCCTAAATAAAATACAAAATAGGGCTGGGATGTGGCTCAGTGGCCGAGTGCCCCCGAGTTCAATCCCTGGTACCAAACAAACAAAAGCAGTGGCGCCTGATTGGGTGACAGGCAGTAGCAGGCGCCATGGAAACACTAAAGCTCTAAAAGGTGCCATCGCCGCAGCCCGAGGCCTGACCCACATCAGTGAGTCAATCCTCAGGGAAGAACTGGTCACGTCTCAGGTGTTCACACAGGTGAGACCTGGACACACGGGTGGGGGGGGTCCAACTGGGGACACATGGTCTTTGAATCGTCACCTCTGAATATTTATTGACACAAAAACATTGACACCACACCGCTAAGGAAACATGTGGGTGGCAGGATGCTGAAGGACTGTGATGGCGGTTTGGGTTTGAAATACTGTACTTGACAAGATGGGGGGAGGTACACATAAGACAGATATATCAGACTCACCCTGGACGAGCAGCTCCACGTCGCGGTGCTGTGAGCCGGCCAGGTTGGTGAGCACACAGCTGTACCTGCCCGCGTCCTTTCTCAGTGCCCGGTCAAGGTGGAGGCTGCCGTCCGCTCGGACAGAGTGCCGGCTGCCCGGGGGGAGCTGGGGGGTGAGGGGGCACCAGCTTGGCCAGGGCCCCCTCTGCGCAGACCCTCAGGCCTGAAGGGCGCAGGCTGGACCGAGAGGCCAGGGTCCAGAGAAGGTTGAAGGCCGGCAGGGGGCACCATGATGCCCAGCCCCCACCTCTCCAGGGAGTCTGCACCTCCCACACTCTGCGACCTAGGGGGCCTGAGCCCACCCCCCACTTGGCCAGCTGGGCACCTGGACCAAGCTGGGACCGGGGAGGTCACTGCGGGGAATGCGGGTGGGGCAGAGCCTCAGTGATAAGGCCAGGGTGCCACCTGCCATGCAGGGGTAGCCTTTCCACGGCCACAGAAAAGGGGATGGCCGACGGTGGGCAGAGGACAGAGCCACGCAGACATGCAGAGGGGGCAGCCCCGGTTCCCCCAGCTGACCCATCAGACCAGGGCAGGTGGAGGTGCTGGTCTAGTGTCAGCCTGGGCCACCTCTGAAAGGCATCCAGTCACAGCCCGGTAGACCTTTCCAGCAGACCTGCACCCACTCTGGCTGCCCCTGTCCCGAGCCCAGATGCCCACTTTACACTTGTGTTCCAAAGGACGCCCAAGGCCACCCAGGTGCCAGGCCCTTCCAGGCTGGGTGACTCAAGGCCTTCTGCCCCTTGCCTGGCAGCTGAGCAGGCGATTCCAGTCTGTGTCCCACGGAGCAAACGGAGGCTCTGCCCCTGGCTCCTTCCCCGACCTGGCCCTGGGGAGACCCAAGTCCTCTGCCTTCCTGGGTGCCTGCTGGTTCTACTCGTGGCCTCAGCCATGCATGGCTGGTCCCCACGCCACGCCCTGGCCACCCAAGACAACCACCACTGCACGGCACAGAAGCCACACCTGCTGGGGACTCAGAGGTGTCTATGGATGGATGGGTGGATGCCACCCGGTGCCCACGGGGCCATGGCCACTGGGGCAGAGAGACAAATTAGCCGTATTCTTGGCCTCAAGAAGCTCACAGTTAATAGAGGACCATCCCTGCACACGCTGCTCTCCCACTGTGCACCGGAAACACCCGGGGAGTTATTTTCCTAAACCAACTGTGGTTCACAACGGTTGGGTTCCCATCCCAGAGACCTGATGTGATCGCTGAGAGTGAGGTCTAATACCAGGACCTTTGCAAACTCCCCAAGGGGCTTCTAAGGACATCCCAGTCTGGGGACCTGGCGGGGAGGCTCTGGAGTGGGGCAGGAAAGAGGGAGAAGGGAAGAGGACTTTTCAAGACAGAGACAGAAGCACGGATGTGACAGTCCCCTCTGTCTCTGGGTGCCACTGCCCCGGGGCCCCCGAAGGGCCCAGCACTCACAGGCAGGCCCGCCTTGAGCCAGCGCCTCTCGGGGAGGGGCCTCCCGGCCAGGGTGATGCAGGGCAAGGACACAGGCTGCCCCTCCAGGACCCGGACGGTGGAGGCACTGCTGGCGATCTGTGGGGGGGCTGTGGGGAGAGGAGACGGTGTCGGCAGTCACCGGGGACAGAGGCCCTGACCCAGCCCCTTCCCCAGGGAACTGGTAAGAGCATCAGGATGGGGCTCCTGGAAGGTCAAAGGTCCCCCAGGACACTGCCCAGGAAGCAGGGACACAGCCGCTCCTCTTGGAAGCCTGGCTGTGAGCACAGCTGTCCTGGAGGGCATGGTGGCCGGGACTGGCTGGGACCCCAGGGAGTGCCTGCCCCCCACCTCCCACAGCCCTCAGATCCACCAGCGAACCATGCCCAGTGACGGAGAGCCGCGTCTCGGCCTGGACCTTCCCAAAGACATTCCAAGCTTCGCACACATATGGGGCCTGGTCTTCAGGGGCCGCGCCTGAGGTCAGGAAAGAGGCCTGACTGCCAGGGCCCCCGAGGGCTCCAGCCCTGGACCCAGAGAGCCCCTGACCAAGCTGGCCCTGCAGAGGTTCAGGGGAGGGCTAGCATGCCGGAGAGGAGAGGGACAAGGCCTTGCTAGACCTTGGGAGGGCCTTGGCCTGCTCGCCTGTAGAATGGGGTGACTCGGCACCTGTGCCTGGTGTGGCGGGGAGCAGCCAGGGAGACGCTGCAAACCGAGGGCCAGTGGGGCTGTGCGGGTGCTCAGCCACAGCCGCAGCGTGAGGGGCAAAGGGGACAGCTCAGGCCTGCACGGCGCTCAGCACGCACCGGGCCTGAGCCCATCCCCGTATACGGTTACCCACACGGCAACCCCGTAGGCAGGCCTGGTCTGCAGGTGGGTTTTGTCATTACCATGTCATGCCCAGGTTCAGGGCAGTGGAATGACGTAGCTGGGGTCACTCCATCTGCTCTCTGGGCTCAGTGATGGGGTCAGGTACTGTCCCCAGCCACCCAGCCCACCCTGACCCAGCCTAATCTCTTACTTTCAAAGAACAGCACTCCTGAATCCCACTGGCCATTCTTGCTGCCCCTCCTGGGCCCCAGGGGCTGGCCATCTCCACGACGCCAGGTGACCGTTGGGGGTGGGCGGCCCGTGGCCCGGCACGTCAGGAAGGCGCTCCTGCCCAGCTCCACGGTAACTTCCTGAGGTAGCTCTGTCACCCGAGGCGCATCTGTAGGGAGGTGGGGCATCTGCAGGGGGTCCCGTGGGCCAGGACCCCAGGGATTGTCACCCACCATCTCTCTTTGCTGGTGCGCCCTCTTCTAGCCGCCTGTGAACCTGGAATCTGGTTCCTGTCCAGGCTCCGTGGCCAGCCTGAGCCTGGTGGGGCCCACCTCTAGTGAGCTATCAGGACAAGGCAGAGGCAGACTCCTGTGGACGGTGGCCACCGGGCGTGCTTTACCACAGCAACATACCTGCTCCTGACTGGGGCTCCTCCCCAGAAGGACACCACCAAGCCCCACTCCAGCCACAGGGACACGTGTGTGGCCGAGTCTGACTGAGATGTGGCCAAGGCAGGGGCTGGTGTGAGCCCTCCTGCCTCCCAGACTCCCCTCTCTACCCGGCCTCCGCCTGGGCCCACGAGGCTCCTCGGGGGGCTCCTGCATGCACCCCCGGTGTGCATAGCTGGCTGTCCTGTGCAGGGGAGGACAAGGCCAGCAATCATGTCCATCTCTGGCATTTCCATGGCCCTATCTGCTCTATGGCACCCCAACTAGCTGCCTTCCGGGGGACCAGAGGTCTCTTATACCCTCCCCTAAGTGTCTCCCCATTTGCTGAACTTGTAAAATGCTACAAAATCAAAACCTATTTATTATAGAAAACATGGCATCGTCTCTGGGTCCAAAGTGGGACACTGGAGGTGAGAGGGGCCCTGGGCACCAGACAACAGGCCTCAGCAGCACTGCCCAGGCCAACGAGCAAACGGCCCGATGGATAGTCACAGGACCAAACACCGCAGCGTCACCTTCCATCAACCAGGAAGGGAGAAAAGAGACGCAGTCCCTTCTGTCCTTCACAGGTGGGGAGCTGGTCCAAGCCCAAGGTCCAGCCCTCCCCAGCGGCCGGGGCGTTGCCTGCTGAGGTCCTAGACCCACCCACCAGGAGGTCCCTGCCTTCATTAGCAGTCGAGTCCAGCGCCAGGGAAGTCTCCACTTCCCCGTCCATCGAATCCCCCTCTGCCCTCGGGGACGAGGCAGGTGCCCAGGACCTCCAAACACCAGGGAAATTCCCGAAGGAGGAAGAGGCGCAGCCAGACCCACCCGCACCCTGGGGCCTGGCGCAGGCCAGCCCCGTCTCCTGGGTCACCGTTTCTACAGGGCCCTGGCCCTGGGTGTGGCTTTGCCACGCCACCAAGCCAGACCTCTCGCTGAGCCCCTGAGGCCAAGTCGAGCTGCCCCTGGACAGTCCTCGGCCTGTCCCAGTCCTGCTCCCTGTCTACCTGTTAGCAGTGATGCCTTCTGCCTCGTCCTGGTCCTGTTCACTTCCACTTTAGCCCCTGGCTGCTCCCCCTCCCCCTCGCACCCATTCCCACCGCGGCAGCAGGAGGGACTTCCCGGGCCTCAAGTGGGAGCCCACCCGCTAGCCCACTGAGCCCTGTCATGCAGATGAGGCTGGGCTACATGAACGTCACCTGAGCAACAGCGGTGCCCTGTGGATACCCAGGAAGAAGAGTCATGTCTTCTGTTTCCACATACACGGAAACTTACACAAAGGATACCTGAGCTCTGGATTATGATTCCCCACCATGCTAATGCACCTGCATAAAATTCTCTGCAATATTCACAGAACTGAGAACTTGGGCTGAGTGAGTCAACCCTCATCTGCTCTGGGCTGAACCCCAAGTTGTTTTGGGCACTGGGGATCGAGCCCAGAACCTGCACCCCTGAATCTTTTTTGTTTTTTATTTGGAGACAGGGTCTTGGTAAATGGCTGAGACTGGCCTCAGAGTTGCCATCCTCCTGCCTCAGCCTCCTGAGTTCCTGGGATCACAGGTGGGAGCCACCACACCTGGCCCGAAGCTCACCTTTTGAAGCTCCTCCCCCAGAGTGATGGCCCTGGAGGTGGGGCCTCTGGGAGGAATCAGGGTTAGGTGAGGCCATGAGGGTGGGAACCCCATAGGAGGTCGGCACCCTTAAAAGAAGACACCCCAGAGACCTCGTTTCCTCTCTCTGCACCAAGGAAAGACCACGTGAGGACACGGTGAACAGGCGGCCAGCTGCCCCAGGACAGGCCCCGCAGAACCAGCCCGAAGCCACTCGAAGCCTCCAGAGCCAGGAGACACAGTGTCCCTGGTTACGCTCCCGTCTGTGGGGCTCTGCTGCAGTAGCAGGGCCTTAGGGAGGCAGGGCAAGTCCAGGCCCGTGACAGGTTCTGGGGGCTGCGGGTCACTGCGGCGGGCTCCCACCCGACTCCTACCAGCCAGCCCTGGGGACCCAGAGGCCTGACCAGCAACAGGCAGCACCATTCCTTCGGGCCTGGCAGAGCCCAAGGGAAGGGAGGGAAGGTGGGAGGAGGAGGCGGGGAGGCTGCCCCAGGAGTGCCTGGCTGCGGTAGAGGCTCGGAGGGAAGGGAGGCCTCTGCAGAGCCAGGCAGTGCACACACCAGGCCAGCAGTCCCCCTCGGCTCCCTTCCCTGGGATTTTCCAGAGAGAAAAGTCCCCAGGATGCTAAGGACCATACTGAGGTGACAGAGATGGAAACCCTCTGCCACCTCATCCCCTCCTTCGGGAGCAAGTGACACTGGCCTGAAGGCCAAGGCCTGGTCAGAGCCCCCATCTGCCTCTGCCCCGGGCACCCTGGACAGAGCCCTTGGCCACTCTGGGCTGTTTCCCCTCTGGAAAGAGGTGACTATTTTCACCCTGGTTCCCGTGCCTGAGGTCCCAGGGCTCGGTCACTGACAAGCACCCCTGCAGGCCTGGCTCGGAGCCTGGGGCAGGACCGTGGGGACAGAGCCAGCTCCAGAGAGCCCAGCCTGACGTGGATTGGCCAGGATGAGGGAGGCACGTCAGGCCCCAGGACCTTGCAGCTGGACACGTGGACCTGGGGAGGCCCAGCCTCAGGCCGGCACTCGGAGGGCACGGTCATGGGCACCTGGCACTGAGGAGGGGAGGGTGCCCCACAGAGACTCGCGCCCCGCCCTCCCGAGGACTCATCCCCCGGAGGCCCTGCAAGGGGGCCTGGAGGCTGCCTGGGGTGACTTTCAGGGTGTCTTCCTTCAAAAGGAGGATTGGGGACCGTTTTCTAACTACGCTGGCACAGAACCACACCCACTCCCGGCTCATCTTTATTCACCATTCCTCATTTTAAATTCTGATTTTTTAAAAAGTTACAATTGGAACGTCGTCGGGGGCCTTTAAACTTAAGGGCACTCGGGACTCTGCACCTGCTGCCTGCTAGAGAGGTGCCCGGGGACCACAGCGCCACAGGGCCCAGCTCTCTTCTCCCTGCCCTCAGGCTGGCCTGGGGCTGGGGGAAGTGCCCCTGGCCCTGATCGCCCACAGGAAGGCTCCAGGTCAGGGCAAGAAGCAGAGACCAAAACAAGAAGACAGGGGACTTGAGGGGAAAGGTAACTTGTCCAGGACCTGACTTGAGGATGGGGTCACCGTGCCATGGGGAGGCCCTCCACCCCCCTGGCCTGGCACTAGAGGCAAGGCTAACTGTGGTTCAGTCCATGACAGCTGGGACAGGCGTGGTACCACTGGCAGATGCCAGGCCCAGAAGATGATGGCTCAGTGGTGGGGTGCTGGCCCAGCATGCACGAGACCCCAGTTCTGTCCCCAGCGTTGCAAAAACAAAAAGTTCTTTGCAGCTGGACGTGGTGGCCCACGCCTGTAATCCCAGTGGCTGGGGAGCTTGAGGCAGGAGGATCGAAAGTTCAAGGCCAACCTCACAGCGAGGCGCTATGCACCCTGTCTCTAAATTAAAAATACAAAATAGGGCTGGGGATGGGGCGCAGTGGTGGAGTGCCGAGTTCAATCCCCAGGAGTCCTTGCAGGCTGCCCCACAGCAGGCACCTGCTGTCAGGGACAGGGGGCTGCCTCCCTCCTGCACCCCAAACGCCATCAGGACGCCCGTTCCCAGCTGGACAGCAGGAAGTGGGCCCAGGGCCCCCTGCTCCCTGCCTGGCAGGAAAGCCAGACCCCAGCTGCCCCGGGAGAGGAGGGGATCTGACTTCCCACCACTGCTGCCAGGCTGGCCCAGCCCGGGGCACAGCTGCAGGGCCACCTCTTCTCCCAGAAGCCCTCCCTGGGCGCCAGCGCCTCCTTCCTCCAACCCAGGGAGCGGCTCCAGGGCCAACAGAAGACAGCAAAGGGCAGGACCAGGCAGGCGCGGACCTGGCGCCCAAAGAAACAAGGTTCTGCTGAGAAGAACAGATGTGGAGCCAGGGCCAGCTGCCCACAGCAGTGCCACGCCCAGCCTCCCGGGCACCGTCACCTGCACCTTCCAGTCCATACAGGGACGGTGGCTTGCTCAGAGCCCCCCATGTCGCAGGCCCCCCTCATCTCTCACTTGCACACCTCAGGGGCATCTGCCAATGAGGGGCCAGAGAGCAGAGGGCTGTCCAAGCTCACCTGCAGGACAGCATGGGACCAAGGTCAAGGGCCCGGCATCTCAGCTCTGCCATTACCAGCCTGTGACCTGGCCAACCCACTCACCCTCTCTGTGAAGGGGAGACAGGAGCCCAACACCAAGGGCGGTGAGGATGAGCCAAGCGGGCACCAGAAATGGCGCAGAGCTGGCAGACACCGGGCAGTGGTGGCTCCCAGGGCTCCACGGCAGCCCCTGGGCCCAGACACACCACAGGGGAGGCCCGGCACATCACTCTCCACCCTGAGCTTCCCCTCCAGGACGATGCCCAGACTCCGAGGCAGCTCCCTGGAGGACCGCTCCCTGCCTGCTCCCTGTGCAGGTGGTTTGTCCCCCGTTGTCCCCTTTTCCTGGGACGCTTCTCCTCTCCTCACCTATCTGGTGGCTTCCAGTTTCAGCTCCGACATCCCCTCCTCCGGGAAGCCCTCCCAGCCCCCCTGCGGGGTCAGCTCCAGTCTCGGGGTTTCCATGGCCCCCTACATCGTCCAGCCTGGCTGCCTGCCTGGGCCCCTGACCAACATCAAGGCAGGGCTGTGTCTCACCTGCCACTGTGTCCCCACACGACAGGGCCCAGCACACAGGCACCTGCCGACCTCGGGTTGGAATGAATGACAAAGGAAGGAGGCCACGGACATGCCCAGCCCTGCCTCCTGGGCAGACCTCCAGACTGGGCTCCTCCAGCCAGGGCCTGGCCCTCCTGGGACCCTTGGTGCCCACCCGCCCGGCCCAGATAAGCACAGCCCCTCTCTGCGCCCCGAGAACTCCCACCCGTCTCTTCTGCCATGGCTGCGGCTGGTCCTCGCGGCCACCTGTCTCAACTCAGTGTGCCCAGGAGCTGTGCCCACGGCTGCCTGTCGAGTCCCAGCGCCCAGAACCAGGCCGGGAACTCAGCCACCACGGGGACCACAGCCAAGGCCACCCACCATCCACGGAGGAATGCAGACTCTCCGTCCACAGGGGGCTCGCGGCCCCCACTCACCCACCCTGTGCTGTTCGGGGGCCGCCCAATGCAGCTGGAGGCCGCCCGCCAGCCCAGGGTGCAGACAGGAAGTCCAAGGCCCTGGGTCTGGGCAGCCCCCAGGACGGCCCAGAGACCCCAGCCTCCTGCTGCTCACGCCCTCGTGGGTCTCTTGCCCAGGGTCGGCCTGAGTGACCACAGGACACGGTGGACATGATGCTTGCACGCTCAAGGCTGGCAGGCCACAGGACTGTGGCTTCCTCTTGGGCTTTCTCTGACCCTCCGTGTCCCTCTTCTCCCAGACTCACTTGCCCTCCAGGAGCCATGTCACAGGGTGCCTCTGGAGAAGGCCATCTGGAGGGGGACAGGGCGGGGCAGAGGGCAGGCGCACTCACGTCCAACCTCCAGCTGGATCTCCGCAGAGGCGCCGCCCAGCTCGTTCACGGCCCGGCAGGTGTAGACGCCAGCGTCCCTCTCCCGAGCCGCGGGGATCCGCAGCCTCCCGGAGCTGGAGGCCTCCGGGGCCAGAATCATCTCCAGACCCCCTGGACCAAGATGGAGGGCGTCAGCAGGGCCCGGGGTCTGGGGCTGGGCCGCTCCCTGACCCTGGCATCTCCACAGGCCGGGAGGGGGCTTCAGATCCCGGGGCCCAGGCCTGCGGGGTCTCGGACCTTCCCTGCGCCCCTCTGTTGACCAGGCCTGGGCTCAGCCAGTCCCCAACAAGGCAGGCCTGTCACCCAAGGGCTCCACGCGGGGGCCTCCCTTCCCTGGGCCTGGGTCCCCACTAAGGTTGAGACCTGCTCTTGGAGGGTCCCAGGGAGCCCTTAGGTGACCATGTCCTTCCATGCCTGCTTCTCTGAGGTCCCCCCAGGAAGGCCTCCTGAGCCACCCGTGTCCCCCAGGGCCTGTGGCCCAATGATCTCCCTGAGACTGACACCCTCTTCTGTTCAACTCTGGGTCCCAGTGTGTAGGACACCCGTGGCCTGAACTGGGCCGTCTTAGCCCTGTTGGGTGTCCGGGTCGGTGGCATGGTGCACGTCCATGCTGCTGTGTGGCCCTCACTCTGCCCAACTTCAGAAACTGTCCCTCTTCCCCAACTGCAGCTCGGCCCCGTTGACACCAGCTCCCCTCCCTGCCCAGCCAGGCCTGATGGGGACTCTGGCTGACATTGAGAAGGAGCTCAGTGCAGTACCCTGTCTAGCAAGTCCCTGCTGGGCATGGGGTGCCATGAAGCCCCCACCCCCGGCTCCCCTGGAGCCCAGAGCAACTATCTGTCCTGTTCCTTAGACCATCACGCGACCGTCACCACTGCTCGGGGCACGAGCACAGCCCGCTGCCTGACCTTGCAACCTAGGGGCCCATCTGAGACTCACAGCTGACCACAGCGGCTCCCCGCTTCCCAGATAAGGAAGCCGAGCCTCAGAGAGGCCCAGCCACTTGCCCAAGGTCATCCAGGGAGCCAGAATCCAAATCTGGGTCCGACCCAGGGGCTCCCCAGTCCTGGGCCAGCACCGTGGACACAGCGGTGGGGACTGCTGGAGACAGCTGGCTCTCCCGGACCCCCGCTGGGACACCCCACCCCCCAGGGCCACTCCCCACCCCACACACCTCGATACCAGATGACTCGGGGTGGGGGGACCCCAGACGCCTTGCACTCCAGCACAGCTTCGTCCCCCACGGCTGCGAGCACCACGGCGTTGACGGCGGAGATGGATGGTGGCTCTGCATGGGCAGACGACAGGGTGGGACCAACCGCACAGGGCCCAGGGCAAGACCTCCCCCACCCGGGGCTCCCTCCCGCCCCACCCCACACCCCGCCTGCTCAGGCACCTCTGTCCTCGGAAGCGCCCTATTTGCCCAGTGGCACTTCCCCTGAGCCTCCCGCCAGAACGTAGGTTCCTCTAGACAAGCGGCTTGGCACACAGCTGGACCCCAGGGCCTGCCACATCACAGAGGCTCAATAAAGGTGGGGACAGGAGGGAGGCAGGGTCCCTCCTGCAGACAGCAGTGGCCCAAGTACCTGTGTAGTAGAGGGTGACCGTCTCCTCGTCTCTGCCAACCTCGTTGGTAGCCTGGCAGCTGTAATTCCCAGCATCCTCAGGGGCTAACCCCCGAATGATCAGGGTCCCCTGGGTGTCCACTTGGATTCTGGAGTCAAGCCATGAAAACATGCTGGTCACATAAGGAGCAACTCCACATCGTTAATAACAAATCAGCCCTGCTGGTGACTGCCATTCTGCACTGGCGACCTTCTCCGGGCCAAGCTGAGGGCCAAGCACTTTACATACATTCTCTTTTTTAATTCATGAGGCTCAGAGAGGGACAGCAAATTGGTCAAGGTCACACAGCCTGAAGGGCAGAGCTGGCCTCTGGAGCCTGAACTCCTAACCACACTGTGGCACTGATACGTCAACAAAGTGGTGGTGTCCCCACGTCTTAGCTGGTCCCAGGAGGAAGGAAGGGCAACGCCACTCCCCACCTTCAGATCAAGGCCCAGGGGGTCCTTGTGCCCCTGCTGCCAGGCTCTGTGTCCCGGGCCCCTCACCTGCCGTCCCCTTGCAGGGCAAGGCCCTCTCGGCTCCAGGAGATGTGGGGTGTGGGGTACCCCGAGGCCGAGCAGCTGATCTTCACCTCCTCGCTCTGGGAGAAGTGCTGGGACCTGGTGTCGATGCTGACCTGTGGGGCCTCTGTGGCCCGGAGCGACAGATGGCGCAAGCCGACAGGGCTGTCCCTGGTGCCCAGCCCCACCCTCCCCAGCCGCAGATGGAAGTGAGACGGAGGAAGCAAAGGCCAAGGGCCCGGATCCCTGGTGGCTGCCGGGGGATGGGGGAGGCCAGGTGGCCGTCCAGCCACAGGCCCTGATGCCCAGCTGGAAACCCCCTGCCTGCGGAGGGTGCCTGATCCGTGTGCCCCGGGAGGCTTCGGGAGAGGTCAGGCAGCGGCCAGGGCTGGGGACGGTCTCGCTCCAGTGACCTCCAGCTGGACCCCGAGGCCTGCCCTAGGATGGCCCCAGGTTCCTTCTGGCGCTCAGGAGTCTCAGCAGACAGACTGTGAGGCGCAGGCGCCCCCAGAGGCTCCCCTGGAAAGGCCAACACAGCCCCCCGCGCCCGCGGCAGGCGTGACAGAGCTGTCCCCGCAGGGCTGAGACAGGGCCTCTGAACCCTGCTCAACACGCTCCAGGCTCCATGCAGGGTCAGGGGCACAGGAAATGCTTGTCAAATAGTCCATTCTTATGCCTGGAGAAACAGCACCCGGGAAGAGGGTCTGCTAAGTCCTGGGGATACACAGGCCACACCCAGGCCGCAAAAACCCAAATGGTGCTCCTTCCGCTGCCCCCTCTGTGCCGTTCAGAGCTGGTCTCTGCGCTTCCACAGGCTCCAGGACATTGGGGCAGAAGGAGGCCGTGGGAAAAGGAAAAGACACAGAGAAACTGGCTGGGTCTATAGCAGCAGACGTTTAGGTTAGATGTTAGAAGGAACTTCCCAACAGCAAGAAGCACTAGGCTTTGGCTAGGCGGCTACAGAATCTTCTTTCCCTAAAGGTTCAGAACACATTGGAAAGCTGCTGCTGCCCACCAGAGACGCTGTGTGGGCAGAGGGGTGGAAAGACGGGCTGTTAGGGTGGACGCCAGGCGGCACGGAGGGCCGACCTTGGGAGAACAGCAGCAGGAGGAGCCTCACCTCGCACCAGGAGCCAGGTGGATGCCCTGGTGACCCCATTGGCGTTGCTGGCTACACACTGGTACCGTCCAGCGTCACTGGGGATGATGCTGCTGACCTCCAGGGACAGGTCGGCCAGCTGGGTCACTCGGTCCCTTGAGGCTGGCAGGACCCGCCAGTCCCGGACCCACGTCAGATTGTAGGGGGCTTTGTCCAGGACTTGGCATGATAGGACGGCGGTCTCTCCGGGGGACACAGTCACGTTGGGGCCAGGGACCAGCTGCGGTGGGGGATCTGCAGCAACAGGAGCACAGGAAGGACGCAGGCTGAGGCGGGGACTCCACCCAGGGAACAAGGCCTGGAGAGCCGCTGGGACCACCCGCCCCACAGCAGGGCTGCTCCCAGGAATGAGACCCCTGCCACAAACGTGGACCACCCGGAGCAAAGGGCACTGGGACAAGACCAGAGACTTCGCAGCACAGGCACCGGGGCCTGACGACCAGCCAAGGGCTGCACCCCAACAGCCACACGCCAAGCACACGCCAAGCACACGCATGCTCTGTGGCCATGAGAAATGACGTCCTAGAAACCAATGGGCGATGGCACTCTGGGAACAAGTGAGGACAGTTGACTGTGGACAACAGCTGAATGGCATTACTGCCAGGTGTGACCTGGAAACTTTGTCACACAGGACCATCCACTGTTGTTAGGGGATGGAAGTGTCCGGGTGCTTATCATTTGGTTTAAAATATCTCAACAAAAAAAGCAAACGCAGCCGAATCGGAGTTAGCGAGGGTCGAGTCTGAGTGACCGGCACAGCAGCTGCACTGTTGTACTTTCCTGTACTGAAACACCCCTGCTGTACCGTGAAGTGGTAAGTGGGATCGTTGCTGGGCACGGTGGCCACGCCTGTCATCCCACCAAATCAGGAGGCTGAGGCAGGAGGATCCCAAGTTCAAGGCCAGCCTCAGCAATCTAATGAGGCCCTAAGCAACTTTGCAAGACCCTGCCCCAAATAAGGGCTGAGGAAGGAGCTCAGGGTAGAGCACCCCTGGGTCTCATCTCCACCACCAAAAGTAGAAGAAGACCTGGGTTGGAAGGCATCTACGTTAAGATGCAAACACAGAACAAGGTTGGAAAGTAAACAGGTGAGGATGCTGCGCCTTGGGGATTCCAGGTGCTCCACCCCAGCCCTGCCCCAGCCCCAGCGGGGCACACCCAGCTCTCCTTAAGACCTGGATGCAGAGCCCCGCAGTCTGGTTTCTTCCCTGCAGAGCCGAGACTGCAATTTTTAAAAATAAAGTCAATTTTATTCTGAGAGGGTTTGTGGCATTTCTGATCATCCGCAGCTCGATGGTGCTGTTCTGGCAGGGCCTGGGGCACTCAAGGATGGGGACTGCAAGACGGACAGTGGCCCCCGAGAGGGCCTGGGGCTGGCCAAGCCCAAATGACAAACCAAGAGGTCAGGGTGGGACGGAGGTGGGCAGGACGGTGACCCGAGCTGGAGTGTCTGACCTTCCTCCCACGGAGACCCCACGCCAGGGCCCGGGGAGAGGCCTGAGGGCAGGCGGCAGGCAGGTGGCCGACAGTCACCACACCACGGGGGAGGGACAGACCCTGTCTGCTGGCGGTCAGTGAGCCACCCATGAATGGAGACCTGCCGGGAGGAATCTCAGAGGGAAGGTCGGGAGAGAGGGGAGGGCGTGGGGTAGGGCGAGGACAGACCTGTGACAATGACCTGGGCCTTGGCCCGCCCGGTGCCAGCCCTGCTGACCGCTGTGCACTCGTAGCTGCCTTCCTCCGCCTTGGAGGCCCGGGGGATCTCCCAGCTGCTGTTTCCCGACTCCCTGCCGAGAACAGACCTCACCATCACGCTGACCTCAGCCAGGCCCCCAACCTTGCCCAGCCTGAGGCCCCTGACCCTGCTTAGAGGACAGACCCCAAATCCTCAGAAAGAATAAGAGGCAGGCAACCAAGAGCATGCGAATTTCTCAATATGCTGTGTGACTCTGAGAAAGGCACTCCCCTCTCTGAATTCTAGGCTCCCATTCACAAGGAGGGGGTCGGGGACACCTGACTCCCATAGCTGGGCCCCCCTGTGGGTCAAGTTTTCCAGGAGCTAAGGAAAGCTACCAATGTTGGGGTGGCAGCTTAGAAGTAGGGGAGCCTCAGGCGTACCCCTCCCCTACCTCAGGGGGTGCCGGAAGTTCTCAGGGGGGTACCCAGGAAGATAATATGACCAAGAACAAGGTCCCTCTCCTGCCACCCACCCCCCTGAGATCTCTCTAGAGCTGCACAGGAGTCCTGTGGCAGGGGACAGTCAGCCAGGTGTCACTCACTGGAAGTGCCTCTCCTCGCCCAGCCTGGCTCCATCACGCTGCAGCTGAAGCCGGAAGGGCAGGGAGCTGTACACAGAGCAGGAGACCAGCAGGGGCTGGTGCAGGTAGCCATGGATCCGGGGTGGCATGCTGACCAGGGGGGCACCTGAGGGTGAGGACCAGGGCTCAGAGATCTCTGGCAGCCCTGAAAGCCTGTCCTCTGCACCCCAGCCACGGAGACCCACAGGGAGGCCCCAGAAGGGGAAGGCCAGTGGGGGCTCAGCCCTGGGCTCCAAGAATCAGTGCTCCCCAGGGGCAGCGTGTCCCCTGCAGTGTGTTTCCACCTCTGCAAAGGTGGGTCACCGTGGCACTGACCACAGGGTGCTGCTTCCACACGGGGCCCCCAAGCACCTCGATGACCGCCGGAGGGGCATCTGGTATCTGAGAAGGCTCCCCAACTCAAGGCCGCAGGGCACAGGACAGGGCACAGGACCAGTTTGCCCTCTGGCACGAGGCCGCCAGGCTGCATGGGGCTCCCCGGGGGCGTGGGAGGGTCCTGCCCCGGTGCCTCTGCCTGGAGGGTCAGCCTGCCCGTATTTGTTGGAGAAACTTTGTTTTTTTTTTCATTTTAAAATAAGTACAGTTGGACCATGGCTGCGAATTCAAAATTCACACGCATTTTTTAGATAAAACAAGACTTCAATAAGTCTCACAGCTTGCAATGAGCCCCTTGGGGCCCCCACCAGACACCACTGCCCCCCTCCCTGACCCTGGTCTTGTGGTGACACATGCGCTTGCCTCAGCTCTTGGAATTCCTTCAGCAGCGAGTCTGCGCGCTCCCCTCCCGCAGCCCAGGGTGCTCCAGCCTCCCGGCCCCTCCCGGCCCCACCAGAAGGGAGAGGAGCCACAGGATGCTCCGAGGGTGAGGCAATGCACCAGACCTCCTCGGAGCGTGAGCGGGTGAGGGGTGGTGGTGACATCATGCTCCAGGCTTCCTGCCGCGTCCCAGGGGACAGGGCTGTTGGGCCGGCAGCCGGCAGCCGCAGCCTCAGGGTGTGCAGCAGCCGTGCTCCCCGCCTGCGGAGCTCTGCAGCCAGCCCCGCTCCCTCTTCCAGGCGCCCACAGGGCCCAGGGGCTCCAGGTCCACCCCGCATCACCAACCCAGAGCTGCCCAGGCGAAGGGCACTTCCGACCCCCCAGACCTGGAGCAGGAGGAAGGAAACACCAGCCCACCCCACCCCTCCCACCCAGGCTGAGATGGAGACCAACGCCCAGAGCCAAGTCCAGACCCTGGTCCAGCTAAAGGAGCAGGGCAAAGTCCTGCCGAAAGTCCTTCCAGAAGATTCTCCTAAAGCCTCCAAAGACCAAGGGAAGAGGCCCGGGAAGCACAGCAAGCAGTGGAGGCTACAAGAGGAGGCCCCCAGGTGCCCACCCAGGTCCTCAAGATCTCTCCACCAGGGGCACCGTGGGCAGCTCAGGAGGACGTCCTCCCTGCCCGCACCCCTTTTGGAGAGGACAGAGGAACTGTTCCTTGAGGGGATCCCCACAAAGACGTGTGTGGATGTCATTGCCGCCCGCCCTGCGAGCTCCCCCAGGCACCTCCAGGGTAGGACAGTGGCACGAGGAAGACAACGAGGCCAGAGAGGGCCCAGTGGCCAGTGATCCCCATCCCGCCCCAGGACAGGGGCAGCTCAGGAAGTTGAAGCCCTTGCTGCCCTTGGGGAGCCCCCCACCTGGGTGATACACCTCAGAGACACAGGGAGCCAGCCCACAGCCTCTGTGGGGTCAACCCAGCAGGCCAAAGCCCAGATGACAGACGCCCCACTCCTGCAGTGACAGGAGGGGAACAGCAGCTGCCACAGGAGGAGAGCCGTGCACAGGCCCACGCCCCGAGGGTGGCCCCTGAGCACCTGAGTGCTGCCCTGGCGAGCCTGTGGAGCCTGGGCCGCCTACTCATCTGCAGACGGGGACACCCAGAGCTCACAGAGGTGGTCCATCCACATCCCAGCACTCCTCTGTGGGGGTCTCGGGCACGTCTCAGAACCTCTGTGAGCAGTGAGCCAGCACAGGGCAGGTGTGTGGCCCAGGACAAGCCCGTGGCAAGTCCTGGAAATGGTGACGAGAAGTAATGTCCCCGTGCTGCTGATCAGACAGTGACTGTGATTATAGAAGAGCCCGCACCCACATCTGCCCTGCCAGGCGGTGCCCACGGCGCCCAGTACCATGGCTGATGCACAGTGGACTCTGCAAATGAAGGTGGATAGCTGGGTGGGTGGCTGGGTGGGCAGATTGGTGGACAGGTAGGTGGGTGGGTGGGTAGATTGGTGGACAGGTAGGTAGGTGAATGGATGGGTGGGTGGGTGGGTAGATGGGTGTATGGAGGGGTGGGTGGATGGATGTGTGGAGGGGTGGGTGGATGATTGTGGAGGGGTGGGTGGATGGATGGATGAGTAGGTGGGTTGAAGGAAGGGTGGATGGATATGCATGGATGGACGAGTGGACAGGTGGACAGATGTCTTTGTTTTAAACCTTTGAGCCGAGGGCTGCGTAGGAGCATCTCAGTATTTAAGCTAATGCCTTGCAGGGGACAGCTGTCCACAGTAGTGTACTGAGCAAAGGTTTCCTACTGTGGCCCAGGTAGGGTGGCATCCAGGAAGAAATGGGGCTCTGAGTAGCCGGGGAGCTGGGGGTCCAGAGAGCCCACCACTCACCTGGGGCCACCCCACTGTAGGAAGCGCCAGAGACTCGGAGCAGGGCATTTCCTTCGTGGTCCTTGCCCTTCACTTTGAGATAGAAGCGCTCCTGGGGCGCGTGGAAGGGCGGCCCGCCCCACAGCTGCTGGGCGGAGCCGTTGGAGAGGGGCCGCGCCGGCAGAGTCAGGAGGGGCCGCCCTGAGTGGTGCGCGAGCTCCACGGAGTCCAGGCGGCCAGGCGGCTGCAGGCCCGTAGAGTTGATCACCAGGGAGATGGGCACCCCTGCAGGGGGAGGGGGAGGAACACGATGCCCGCGTCTGGGTTGGTCTCCACAGTCCTCCTGGGTTGGGGTCCGCCCAGCCTGCTCGGCCCCCTGCGCCTGCTCCCTCACTTCACCACCTACCCCTGGCCAGCTCCTGCTGGGGGTGGGTCAGGGAGAAAGGGGACCTTGGTGCTGTCCGTGGTCCTGAAACACGGCTGTCCCTCCAACCCTTGTCCCCCTGCCCCCTGCAGACGCAGACCTGGTGGGGCTGGGGCAGGACTGGGGAGGGACGTGCCTCTCGCCCAGCCCGTGACCTCTGGTGCTGACCGTCAAGCGTCAGGAAGTAGCCTCAGCTCCGCTTGGCTTTTCTATCTGGACGGAAATGAGGTGCTTTCCCCTCTGTCAGCCCAGGACACGGAGCTGGATGTGAGTTTCATGATTTCCTTAGCTGATCTGGGAGCTTCCGTCAGATGCCTCCCTTTCCCACAGATACCAACATTTTCTCTTCAGAGATCCTCAAGGGCAGCCCTGGAGGTGTGGTCCCTGGAACGCCCACCTTTTTTGAAAGGGCATTTTTGAACCCAGAAGCCCTGACTGCTTTGGAAAGTGAAGCACGCCGGTGCTGACCTCACTGCCCTCCCAACCACCGGCCACCGGAGTGCAGCGCCTGCTCCCCGAGATCCAGGTGTCACCCTACCCCACGCCCCAGTGTCCCCTGCTCTGGGCCCAAGTGCTGATGACTGTTCGGCTTGCGCCTGCCCTGCTGTTTCTCATCTTCCCAAACATGTCTGGCATCCAAGAGGGCCCCGGGCAGCTTCCTTCACCTCCCACTAGGAACTGGCCCTAGGAACAGGTCACTGTCAGTCCCCACTAACGCCCTACCCTTGGAATTTCTCTCCTCTTCTGGCTTTTGAGGAGGGCCGCACTGAGCCTGTGCTCCCTGCTCTGGTTCCGGCAGAGCAGACAGGGAGCTCCCAGCTCCCTTTCTCTCTGAAGGTGGGACTGCTGGCAGGACTGGCACGTGCCACTTGGGTCCCTCCTTACTGGTCCAGAGTGCTCTGACGTGGTCCAGGGCCCTCCCCTTCTGAGCTAATCCCAGCAGCACCCTCTGAATGACCCACGGCAAGGGTTGATGCTTCCCAGACTGTAAGTTGGGACCCCGACCCGCCTCCAGATGGTACTTTCTGGCACAGAGCTCAGGACCGCCTGGGCAGAAGCCCCGCCTGCCCAGGCCCCTCCGGGCATGCCTGTGGAGGCCTCACACATCCTCAGACCCTGGCGGGTGGCTTCCATTCAGGAAAACAAGCCCCCAACTTCAATGTCCCCCACTCCCAGCTAGTGCAGCCTCCACCAGCCTCAGAGGCATCCACAGGTCCCCAGGACCTTCATTCCTTCATCTCGGAAGCAGTTCTCCGATGCTGAGGCCGTGGGACTCTCGACAGACCAGTTTTGGCAGAAAGAAAGAAGAGTAAAAGGGACACTCAGTAGTAAACGGAAAAATGAGTCTCCTGGAGCCTCTGGGGGCTGGGAGGATGTTCTTAAGGAAAATGTCACTATGTCACCTGGGCTGGGGCTGGTGGAGAGGAGCTGGCGCGGAGCCCAGTGTCTATCCCTGTGGTCCCAGCTTCCCCCACTGCAGGGCCCATCCTATGGTCACGCGTGGGCAGCCTGCCGCCAGCCTCCACCACTTCCCGAGTGAGCGCCTGCCGACAGGGGGGACACCGTACCTTGCAAGGGCCACTCGATGGTGTGGTTGAGATCCAGGGAGGGCTGGGTGGAGAAGCCGGCTCGGAAGTTGATGTTGCTGATGCCCGTGATTCTCACAGAATGGCGGCCACTGCTATAGACCTAGCACAGGTCCCGGCCCATGTCACCAGGTGTCTGACCCAGCACCCCAGCACCAGCCAGGAGGCCACCAACTTCACCTGGCCGGGCCCTGTGCCAGCTGTGGCTCTCCTGCCTTTGCACACACGTGGCAACTCTCCACTCCCAGGGGAAGGGGAAGAAGCCCCAGCTCACACCCAACCTCTTTCCAGAAGCGGCTCCGCCCTTCAGCTCTCTCCAACATGGGCCAGCCCTGTCTGCCCCCTTCCCCATCAGCGTTAGAGCTCTGGGCTCAAAGGTGCTCGGAGTGGAAAGGCAGGCGGACAGAGCCACCCTTCACCCAGCACCTACCATAATGCCTGGCACCAAGTAGGTGCTCAATAAATGCCTGTTCAATCAGCAGGAGCTCACACCCTTCCAAGGCAGCAGCTGCTCCATCCCAGGCTGCTCTGTGGAGCTCACCCTAGACCCTGGCTTACAACACCTGGCAGATAACAGTAGGTGCCCTGCAGCCCTGTCCCCCAGCCTCCCCCCAAACTCCCCCTGCCTCTTTCACACATTCTTCAGAGGACAAAGTTCTGAGCCCAGAGCCAGCTCACCCATCCCCCCAACTCTGAAGTTGTTTCCCCAAGCCCTTCTGAGCGTTCCCAAATTCCTGCCAAACCGTTCCACTTCCTGTCATCAGTGCAAAGCAGGGTGCCCCTCCTCCTGATAGACCAAGTCCCTGCCCACGCCCCAGGCTCCCCGGGAGGCAGGAGGGAGGTGGTTGGGCTCAGGGAAGTTGGTCGCCACCCCCCTGCAGCCTCAGCCCTACCTTGATGGACCAGAGCCCAGGGTGCTCAGGCTTGAAGGCCACGACCTTGGCCGAGTCAGGAATGCTGAGGAGGACGTGCAGGCCCTCGTCCTTCTGCAGGATCCTCCCTGTGGAAGCCCCCAGTGCTCAGTCCGCACTCCACCCTGTCTCCAGGAACCCACAGTCCACCAGAACCAGCCTCCGCCTTCCCAGGAACTAACCCCAATGTCCACCTTCAGGTGCCATCAGCCTCTTCCTTCCCTGGCACCAGGGGCACCCTCTCTGATCCACTCGGCACCCATCCCCACTTCTGGACCCCACTCTGTCACAGCCTAGGTTTCCAGCTCAGCTAGGACTGAGGTCCAAAGGGCAGAGCATACCCAGCGGGTCCCGGACTTCGATCTCAGGCCCAGGCCCGCTCAGTGAGACGGTGACCTCCTTCAGGCTGGGGTCAAATGGGATCCTCCACGTGTGCTCGCCCTCCTCCTCGTGGTCTGTGGACAGCAGGTGCACCTTGGAGGTCTGGATGGCCGACTCCACCCACTTCAGCACCTGGGAGGGACAGGTGGAAACGGATGCCACAGGCACCCTTGAATCCGGCCCACCTGAGGCAGTTCCCTAACTGGCTGCAGCTGTGGGCAGAATCTGACCCCCCCCGCCCCCCCCCCCACCATACAAGCCGCCCAGGGGCTCAAGTCCACTGCTAGGCAGCAATCTCACTGCTGTGCCTAGGGACCTGGCCAGGACAGCTGCAGAGGAGGAAACGTTTATTTGAGGGCTCAGGGTTTCAGAGGTCTCAGTCCATAGAAGGCCAGCTCCATTGCTCGGGGCTCAAGGTGAGGCTGAACATCATGGCGGAAGAGTGTGGCAGAGGGAAGCAGCTCCCATGGTGGCCAGGAAGCCGAGAGGGAGTCTCCACTCTCCAGATACAAAATACATACCCCAAAGACATGCCCCCTATGAACCCCGTCCTCCAGCCACACCCCACTTGCCTTCAGTCACCACTCAGTTCATCCAGTTAGGATTAATTCCTGATTCGGTTAAGGCTGTGGCCCAATCATTTCTCCCCCAGGCCTTCTTGCATTGTCTCACACATGAGCTTTTGGGGGACACTTTCCATCCAAACCGTAGAGCCAAACCGTAGAGCCGCCCATTCCCCATTGTCCTCTAGAAGGCCGGGTTCCTGCCCTGTTGCCCTCCTGGCTTCCGTGGGCTCTGAATGGTGACACCTGAGTGGGACCAGAGGGCTCAGCGGGGGTGGGGGGCAGGAGCTGACCCTCAGCAGGGAAGACAGTAGCTTCTTCGGCACCCAACACCTCCTCCAGAAAGTTCTCCCAGGAAAGTTCTCCTGCACCCGGATGAACACTGGAGACCTGGAATCTGCCTGATCCAGGTCGTCCATGATGGAACTCAGGCCGTGCTCCCCCAGTAATCCGGGTCCTCAGGTAAGACCCAGAGGCTCTGCTGGAAAGCCTCAGTCTCTCCCACACCCACGGAAACAGGAGTGAGCGGGCGACGCCACACAGACACCTGGGTGCAGTGATTGCTTATTCATTCTAGAATCTTGCATGTTTTCTGGGCCAGTTGCATTGAAAATCAGATAAGCCTCTGCCTACGATCCCAAGCCACATGGGTACTCTTGGGGAACATCCCCCTGTGTGTGCGCAGACCCACGTTAATAGCACTTCAAATAGCCTAAGATGAACTTCACCCAACACAAAACCATTTAGTCTCTCTAAATCCTGACATGGCCCCCAAGGCCCATGCCCTGCAGCCCGGCCACCTGATGCAAGGTGGCTGAACCCGGCTCTCCCCAGGCCTGCTGTGCTGGACCCACAGGCAGCGCCACCCACTCGTGCCAGTCCCCTAGCTGCCGCCCTCCCTGCTGACCCACGCCCAGGATTCTTCCTCTCTTGGCTTGAGGCAGCCTCTCCAATTCCAAACGGATTCCGTCTCCTCGAATCCATCTGCACCCCAGTCACTCACAGTTGTTGGCCCCATGCTGGCTGCGGTTCCATGTGTCCCCCAGAAGCTCATGAGTTGGAAACTTGGTCCCTGAATCGGTGTGCTCATGGTGTTTGGGAGGGGGCTTTGTGGGTAATTTGGATTAGATGAGGTCACAAAGGTGGAGCCCCATGACAGCTTTAGTGGCTTTAGAGGAAGAGGAAGGCAGACTCCAGCTGGCAGGCTGTGTGGCCCTCCACGCGATGCCGTCCACCATGTCACGAAGCAGCAGGAAGCCCTCGCCAGATGCCGAGCAGATGCTGTGGCACCAGGCTCTCAGACATGCCAGCCTCCAGGACCAGGAGCCAGATCAACTTCTAGTCTTCATAAACCGGCTGGTCACAGGTGCTTTGCTACAGCAGCAGGAAACTCTTAGCCAATGCTCTCTTCACTCTTGATCCGGGAGATCCACAGGGGCAGAGGCCTTCTGCTGTAACGGGGGGATCCGAGCTTCTAGCCCACTAGGTGACACAGAGGGTGCTCAGGAAGCACCTGTGGCCTGTGTCTGAGTCTGGTAGGACTCCTGCCTCCTGAATGGGCCATCAGGTTCAACTCAGGGTCACCTTCCAGACATCCCAGTCCTCTTCCCTCCCCAGCTCACACCTCCTCCTTTGCGATAGTCAGGTTTCCCGGAGTCCAGCAAGGAAATCAGGAAAGAAGAAAGACCTCTCAAGAGTGAGCCAATCACCTCTTTCCAGGCCGATTACCTCCAGAAGTTTCCTGTGGGCACCCTGAAGCTGAAGGAAAAGCCACCAAATGCACTGGAGAGCTCCCTGCCGGGCACCAGCACCACAGAGAGAAGAGCCCAGGTGTCTTCAGAAGCCCCCACCCCGACCCCCAGCCCGTCAGCCAGCTTCCTCAGCAAAGACGGCTGAGGACAAAAGATCTGCAAAGGTGTATCTGGTGGTTTCAAGTTGGCAGAATTATCAGCATCGTGATTTTGAAACTCTGTATCTCGTAGGATAAAGCAAACAAAGTGAAGGTGCTAAAATGTTCCAATCGGGAATTTATTTTATAGCCAAATATAAGACAGCTACAAGCATATAATCAAAGAAGCTAACAAACTCTGCAGTGTGAAACTTGAATTAGAAACAGTATAAACTCAGACGACAGACAGGCAGCGTGGTCCCCAGATCCCAATTTCAATGATCACAAGTAGGGCCAGTTTGGGGCTTCTAGGTGCCGCTGCCCACTGGGGTTCCTTGGAGAATGGCTAATTCCAGGTCTGGGGCAGGTAACTGGCAAGGTAAGCCTGCAAGAATTGGTCACTCCATAAAGCAAAGAAGTTCTCAAAAACAAATGGGGACACAGAATAGCACAGAAAAGGACACGCGAACCAGCTTGCAGGCAGCCCACTGGCTAAATTTGGGACAACTTGAGCCCAAAAAAGAATAACTGAAACATACTGAATTATATAATCCGTGTGCCCCAAAGGTACTGGGAAAAGAGAAAGCAAAATGGAAACAGTAAAACTGTCCTTGCCACCACAGCAAGTGACTTCCTAAAATCACTGCAAGTGATTCCTGCCTTTTCAATGGGGATGTGTGCTTCAGAGTAGCCAGATCACCCCTTCTGAGGAATGCAGGTTCCTCTTGGGAGGACGTCCACTTAATAATGGGGAAGGGACGAAGGAATTAGGAAAACTGTGGCTCTGGAAACCTGTGTAAGAGCATCCGGGCAGGGATCCACAGGCGAGGGCTGCTGGGAGCCAGGCCTCCCCCAGGCCGCAGGAGTCATGGGGGAAAACGGGGCCTTGCGACACCCAGCACCCAGCTTTCGACACCTTAACCCATAATCAAGCTTCTCATCAGCAAGAGCAAGACAGACACGATTTGTCTCTTGATGTGATGTCACCAAAGTACACACAGCACCAACCACAAAGCGTTCCTGCCAAGAATGTCAGCCTTCATCCAACGAGGGCCTCAGACCGGCCCAGCTGAGGCAGGAAATAAGGGAGGGACAAAGGAAAGGTCAGTGACACCATAGGACACAGTCAGATGAGTCCAGAACCAACGCCCCTCAGCAACTTGGTTCATTAGATGGCTCCAGATTTAAGGGGGCTTCACAGACATAACGATGGAATAAAATGGACAGCACTTGATTAAATCCTGTCCCAACCAAAACTGCTATTAAAAAAAAAAAATCCTGAGGAAATTAGATCAATTCAAGCGCAGTCCAGGAACCTGATGATGCTCAGAAAGTAGTATTAATTTTATTTGATAATAGGCTATGGTGGATGATTCTTTTTCTTTAGAAATCTATGCTAGGGGCCTGGGGATGTGGCTCAGTGGTGGAGTGCTCCTGAGTTCAATCCCCAGTACAAAAAAAAAATCTATGCTAGGAGTAGGGAGGTGACCCAGTGGTGGAGCATTTGCAGATCATGTGCAAGGCCCTAAGTTTGATCCCCAAAACTGAAAAACAATATGAGATAAATTATTTGTGAGCACAAAAAGTATAGAGATAAAGCATGTTGAGAAAGAATGTTAACGAAGGTTGGATCTCGTGATAGGTATGAATTTTTCATAGTAATTTTCAAAATAAAAATTCTTTTTAAGTTAATAGTTCACATGACTTGAACCAATACCTGAGCAGGCACAGAGGTACACTGTCACCTACCAATTCCAGTCAACTCGAGTGGCTTCTGGATGCTGTTCAAAAAAATGTTGGGGAGCCACATTCAGTCTCAGTCATGAAAAGTTCTGTTGTAGATTAGCAATGTCTGCCCCAGGTACGGGATCAGACAGTGGTCTCAAGCGTGCGACCTATCAGCCAGGCTGGCTCTGAATCAGTGCTTCAGCCCCACCTACCACGTGATCTTTCGTGGAGGGGAAGGGGAAAAGAAAGGAATTGAAAGAATTGCCGGAGATTTAGAAAATGAGTATGTTCTGTTCAGACTGAGCTAAAACATATGTGGCAAGATTTCAGTTATGACAGCATAAGAATTCAGTGTTCTGAAAACTCATCTGTTTTTATACTTAGAGCTACTTCATTCTTCTATGTCTGCCCAGCTTTCTAAGTAATGTGTCTCTTGAAAAAGTCCCACCTGTCTTGGCCGAGGAGGGGGATGAGGCTCTTCGTCCATGGGGCAGTGACTGTTAGGAGGAGCAGCAGGGTTCCCAGCTGAAGGGGGGCAGAGTCACTCCCCAACAGCATGGAGGCACTCCTGTGACCACTGTCCATCCTCAGGAGGGAACCCTGACTGAGCAGAGCTACTGGACAAGGTGGCGGCAATTACCCAGACAGCCCAGGGCTACCGTGTTGCAAGGCTCTTACAAGCTCCTTCTAGGATGCGCTGGTGGAAGGAAGATGCAGTTTGGGCTACTGAGCCACAGAGAAGGCTGGGACATAGGGTTGCCACCCAGTGACCCCATCATGGGCAGCCCACCTGCACACAAGTGGCCACTTGGGAGTTGGGGAGTCAGACCCAGACCCCCTTGCCCACAGCAAGGCCAGATCCCCTGCAGGGCCCGGCCTGGGAGCGAGACCTCCTGGACCCCATCACGCCCCTGGGGATCCAGAGCAGGAGTCGGGGAGTGCAGCTTTCATTAAGCAACACAGTGTTTACTTGGCAGAGCAATGGCTTCCAGATGTTAGCGGGGCTGGGGGCCGAGGGCCTGCGCTGCCTGCGGCTCGTCTCCTAGTTGCTAATGGGAAGGAACACAAAGATCTGGCTCTGCTGCTCCGGCCAGATGGCTGCCGCTCGGCACTTCGTGGCAGATAAATCATCCCCAGAGGCCCTCCCAGGACCTTGACAGCCAGGGCGGCGGAGGAAATGCACAGGGAACCGGGAGGCCGAGCGGGCCTGGGAGCCGCAGGCAGAAGACTGAGGTCGTGGGCCCGCGTGAGGAGACTGGGCCTGGAGAAGGGCAGAGAGCCCTGGTTGACGGGCTGTGCCCTTTGCCAGACGGGTGCTGTCTTCCTGGGAACCTTTTCTAGAGAGAACGTGATAAACTGGGGGCGTCTTAGAGGCATGGGGTTGTTTGGCCATTGCTAAAGCTTCCCACGGGCCTCCTGGTGCCTGGCCTCCTGATGGGGGGGTCCCAGGCAGTTCCCTTCTGCCCTTCCACCACGCTGTCAGCCCCATTGAGCACCCAGGGAGGCCACAGCCATGGAGCCTGCTCAAGCTTCCTGTAGGTAGGTGGCAGAGCCCCAAGCCAGGCATCCTGGCCAGGCCAGGCCCTCAAGCATTCCCCGCCCCACCCCCCAGGATGAGGTCAGCTCTCTGGGTCCCTCCAGATCCAATAATCAGAACCACCTGGTCAGAATCTCCCCACCCACACTCACCCTTCCTGTCTTAGAAGGCAGGTCACCTCCTCCCTAGCTGATCCCCAGAACCTGGGCAATTTGTGATTTGCATGTGCTACCACTGGGCAAGGGAAGGGCCTAGCCCCAGGGCCCACCCTGAGATCTGGGGCGGGGCCTTGGGGAGTGCTGTGAGACGAGAGGCCCAGTGTCCTCCTGGGAGAAGACAGGAGGGATTCCCAGGCCAGGGCAGGCTGCAGGTGGGTGGGGAACAAGCAGCTCTTCTGCCCCTTCTCCTCCCCCTGGCCCCTCCATGTCACACAGGCCAGTGACAGACAGTACCCTGAGCTGTGTGCTCTAGAGAGCCCGGGAGGACTCACTGGGGCAGGAGAGTTCTTGATGGAAAATACACACCTTCAAGACAGGCCCAGGGACCATGCTGTCCGCCTCCAACACAGTGCCCTGTCCACACAAGGGTGGTCACAGGGCCAAACCCCTGGTGAGGGGAGACCTCCAGCTACCTTTAGACACCCTAGAATTGCCCAGGGGCTCCTGGCCGACTCCACGACTGGGAGGCCAAGTGCCTCCCCCCCACCCCCGTGCATCTGCTGAAGCTGCACCGGCATGCAGCAGGCGAGAGGAGAGCGAGAGTGTGCAGAACACGACACTCCCACCACACGGGACGCACTTTGGAAAGGTCGAAGGGCCAATGACACACACAGGGTTCGGGCTTCTGCAACCTCTGGGGAGGCTCCTCCCATCTGGAGCCCCGCTGTCCCCAGGGAAAGCACCGTTGGCCCCTCCTGGGGGTGACCACAGCCCTGGCTGCCCAGCTGCTTTCCCAGCTTGCCCAGTGTCTGGGAGCACCTGGAAGAAGCCACGTGCCAGGCATGAGGCTAAGGAACAGAGCTCCCTATCCGGGAGCCCAGCCCTGGCCATCAGCAGTCCCACCGAGTCGGACACCTGCTGCCCGCCAGACTCCCAGGGCAGAAGGCCAGGTACCACAGCCCAGAAGCAGTGACTCCCTGGGCCCCTGCCTGCCCAAGAGGACACCTGGGCCAGCCGCCCTCCAGCGGCCTGCCAGGCTCCCTGTATCCCGTTTGCACCAGCAGGAACCCAGTCCCAGGGGGTGGCCCTGAAAGGTCCCCTTAGAAGCAGGGATGGAGCGGTCCCTCCATTCCGCCTCTGCCTGTGCCTGGGGCTCCATGCCAGGGAAGGCTGACGTGTCACCGAGAACCATAAACGCCATCTGTCAGCAGGGAGCTCAGGCACGCTAACCTAAACACGGCCCTGGAGACACTCTCCGCAGTTCCTAAATACACAACTCCCGAAGCCTCTCCCTGAGGGACGGCAGGGCTGGCCCGTCCACCCCCAGCCTGGGGCTCTGCCTCTCACACCTTCTCCTTCCCAGGGCCGCAGGGACCCCATGAGCCCATTCCACAGCCACTTCGCCAGCACCTGCTCCGCGCTGGTGGCCATGCAAAGTACTGGAGATTCTGTAGCAAACAGGACACACGTGGCCAGCCCTCAGGAGCTCACAGCCTAGTGACATTAAATTATCACACGAGCATAAAATGACAATCACATACAGAAGCACAGGGAGCTGGGACACTGTAGAAAGGAGACTGAATCTCGACAGGAAATCCAGAAGGGCCCCCTGAGAGGGTATAACTGGGGAGGAGCTGGAAGAACATGCAGCATGAGCAAAAGCCCTGGGGTAGGAAGACCAGGGACAGTGAAGAGCCAGTCAAGGCCACCAAGGTGCTGAGTGGGGGCAAGGGGAGAATACAGGCAGTGAGGTGAGAAAGGCAGAGGGTCCCCTAAGGTGGACATGCCAGCAGACAACAGGCAGGGACCTATAGGCAGAACTGCTTTAGAGGGGTCCAGGGGCTTACAGGAGCCAGCTCACACAAGCCCAAGAAAGCCAAGTATCAGGCTCAGCGAACCCCAACTCTGTTTTGGTGACTTTGTAAGAGCAGCTCCAACGCAGCCAAAGCTGGAGGATTTACACCGTGGAAATGGGCAGCCTGTTCTTGGCAGAGAGAAGGCTGTTAGCCAGTGCTCACCAGCTCAGCCCTGCTATTGGACAATGGGAGTGGGCTGGAGGGACAGCAGCCTCTGAACAGCCTGCGATGGTGCCAGAGAGGAGGGGCAGGACCTGGCGAGTGCCGGGCTCCGAGGGAATCCAGAGGGTGGCACTCAGGCCACAGGACTGGGCATGTTCCCAACCACACAGCCTAGACCTGGTGGCTCCCGTTCTCCCCACCCACCTCGGCTTCCCAGGCTCTGGGGAGCTCAGGAGGAGCCCCAAACAGCACTTCTGCCAAGTTTCACGGGTCCACCTGCTGGTGGCCCCGCGGTTGCACCCACCCCTGTGCTTCTGAAAGCCTCAGCCTCTCTACCTGCAAAGATTTTGCCTGTGAACCCAAAGGACCTGCCTTGGGCGGGGGGGGGGGGGGTGTCATTGAAATGACGTCACCTGCCCTGAATGCAGAGCCTCCAGGCCCCTCTCGGGTGATGGCTCTGCTGGGCTACAACTGCTAGTCCCCCAGCAGGCAGAGCCACGCAGGGCACAGGGATGGGCAGTGTCCTCCTGACCCTGACAGCAGGCCTCACCTCTGCCACTTGCTGCTTGTCCAGGTGGAACACCTGCCCAGAGCTGGTGGAGGCGATCTCCTCGTAGGCCAGGTAGCCAGGATGCGTGCGGTCACCACAGTCCCCCGTTAGCACGAAGACCACCTGGAAGACCACAGGCACATGCCTGGCTCAGGACCCCCGGCCACCTGCTGCAGGGTAAGTGGCAGGGCCCTCCCCGGCTCTGAGGGGGATCGTGAGCGTGCCCATCTCAGCACGACGAGGAGGAGGGACCACCTCCCGGGGCCACTGGCCCGAAACCTGCCAGGCTCAGTCCCCGGGTTCTCACGGGGTCAGGAGCTGGTGCAGGGCCAGTGCTCACACGGGGCCAGGAGCACAGTGGACGCCTCATACATGGGATGAAGCCCATGTCAAAGGAGGCTCGGAGGTGACCTTGCTGGAGTGCCCCTGGAGGCTGCAGCCAGGGGGACCCTGCGGTGTCCCAGGCAGGAGGGTCACCTGTGACTGCTTCAGCTGCAGGAGCTGCAGCAGCTCCTCCTTCTTGTGGTGGTCCTTGGCGCGGGCATCCGAGAAGACGTAGATGAAGGAGCCGGGGTTGGCGACCTCCACGGCGGCCTTGATGGCCCCCACGCTCATCTCTGGGCAGTCGCCACCTCCCTGCAGGCGGGGGCTTGTCAGCGGCTACTGCCCACCTCCTCCAGAAGGACCCACCCGAGACCTCTCCAGAGCCACGGGGAGGTGCCCTGGTGCCAGAGACACCACATGGCACCAGCCCATGGCAAGCTTAGGGAAGCAGCTTGGCTCATCCACCCTGCGACGGTGACGGCCACCCAGGGGACGTGTGGGCGGCAGACAGTGGGCCACCAAGCCCACACGTGTGTCTCATTACCACGTGATGAGTGCTACAAGTGGGGACAGGGATGGGACATCTAGCAGACAGCCCAGGGGAACCATAGACAGCTGCTCAGACCAGGGCAGGAGGGGCGGAAGAGGACCACCTCCCCCGTCCATCGGCCTACAACCTGCCGGGTTCGGTCCCTGGGTTCGGTCCCCGGGTTCAGCCCACCGAGGTGCACCCTCCTGCCTCCCGCCCAGCGCCCACGGCTCTCTTCCGTGCGGCCGCCCCCTCACCAGTCCACAGCCCCCACAGCTGCAGGACTTTGCCTGGTGACTTCTCAGCAAATGCTTCTTTCCAATTGGGTCTTTCACCCCATGGTGAGTTACTGAGTCCCAGTGTGAGCGGCCTGTTCTGCACCCTGGGAGGCCCTGCAGGAGGCCTGGCAGGGGAGGAAAATGGGGCCCCTGCCCTCAGGCAGCTGGTCTCAGTGGGTGGGACCAAGAACAGATGCTGAACCACCGGTCTGGGGTGGCAGAGGAGCCCAGGTGGCCGTGGGGCATATGACGCAGGCTGCAGCCGGGTTGGGGGTTGGAACGGACCTGCCTCACAATGGCCCTCAGCCACCACACATGCCCTTAACTGGGGACCCCCATGAGCCGCCTCTTTCTATCCTGCAGACTCACTCATTAAAGAATAAGCACCTACTATGTGCTGGGCACAGGGGCTCTGGGAGGTACTTGGTTCACTGAATGAGGGAAGAACCCAAAAGTCAGCTCCCCAGGGCCTCCAAGGTGGGCTGGGAGCCTCCGGCAGAGCTGAGGGGGTCATGGCAGTGGGGCAGGGGGAGAGCTGCTCTCTTGGCTGCTTGGAGGGGCTAAGACCTGGGCCTCTGGGCACTGAGGTGACAAAGGTCAGCAGGCTGGGCAGGGGACAGGGACGGGGGGAGGGGCAGCCCACCTGCACGTAGAGTTCTCTCAGCTCCTTCTGAAACACCACTGGGTCTGCTGTGAGGGTCACCGGGCCAATATCTGTGGGGAAGAAAGGGGGACCCAGAGCTCAGGGAGGCGCAGAGGAGGGTAGAGGGCAAGCCCAGTCCCTGCTCCCAACAGCAGTCCCCAGCCTTTGTGACCAAGACTTCCCTAAGAATGCCCACTCTGCCATCCAGCCCACTCCCACTCCCAGTGGAAAAGGGATTCTGGGAAGACAGAGAGGGAGAAGCAAACAATGACCCTTTCCCTTTCCGGAACCCAAAGCAAGCACCCAACATGGGCCCATCAATGAGAATGGAGCCTTCCAGAAACCCCAACTCTGTGTGGCTTGTTCACATCACACGACTGAACCCGTCAGGGTCATCCAAGACACAGACACAGAAAGTACCTTTTCTTTGGTGGGAGTGACGGCTCCTCAGCCGCAGCTCCCACAGGGGGCCAGGCAGGCAAGAAAGAGCGAGGAGCCGCCCTGAGCCCTCTTGTGGGGGAGAAGCCATTCAATGAGGCCAGGGGTCAGGCTTCAGCTGGTTGAGTCTAGCTTCAGGATGTCCCCTGTCAGCAGATTGACGGACATCTAGGGAGGCCACACCCATCTCATGTGCTGTGTGGGATCACGGGCAGAGCCAGCGAAAAGGCACTTATGTCACCGGCCCAAACAGAGAGGCAGCGTGGGTCCAGCCCACCCTGTGCGCTCAGCGCCCCTGGTTCACACACAGCTGGGGCTGGCTTGCCACACCCCCACACTCGTGGCTCAGGGCTGAGGGCGCTCGGTTCCAAGTGGCAGCTCCCAACACTTGCTCAAGGGCAGCAGTGAGGAAAAGTACACAGGTTGGCTACAGGAGGATTTGGCAGGATGGGGGCAACAGGAACACCCATCCAATGCTTGGGAGCACAAGACGGTCCAGCCCCTGTGGAAGACAACGGAAGCTTCTAAAAAGTCATCCACACATCCACCACATGATCTGGCCATTCCAGCCCCAGGTATTACCCAAGAGAAATGAAAACACATATCCACAGGAAGGATGGTACTCGAATGTTCACGGTGGTTGTGTTTGTAACAGAGCCAAGCTAGAAGCAAGCCAAATGTCCATCAACCAGGGAATAGACAAACTGGTGCATTCATGTACAGTGTTCCCCTTTACCCATGAGAAATACATTCCAGGACCCCAGTAGATCCCTGAAACCAGGCAGTAGCAACCCCTTCATATGACTTTTTCCTGTATGTACATACCTATGATAAAATTTAATATATAAATTAAGTGCAATAATTAGAGATTAATAATAACTAATAATAAAATAGAACAACTGTAACAATATGATAAAATTGCCAGCATCGCTACTCTTGTGCTTTGCTGCCATTATCCAGTAAAATAAGAGTCATTTAAACATAAGCTCTATGATAGCATAACAGTTGGCCTTGGGCAAAAACCAGGTGGATCAATAACAGAGACAGCTACTGGGGGACTGACAGGGAGGTAGCATATACTGCTTGGATACATTGGACAAAGAGATGAGTCACTTTGGTCAGGTTGGGACAGTATAAGATCTCATCACACAACTTGGGATAGTGTGCAGTTTAAAATGCATGAATTGGGCTGGGGCTGGGGCTCAGCGGTAGCGCCCTTGCCTGGCATGTGTGAGGCACTGGGATCGATTCTCAGCACCACATATGAATAAATAAAATAAAGTTCTATCAACAACTAAAAATATATTTTTAAAAATGCATGAATTATGGGCTGGGGCATAGCTCAATGGTAGGGTACTTGCCTAGTATGTGTGAGGCCCTGGGTTTGATTCCTAGCACCACTGTAGAAAAAAATTCAAAAACCTATGCATTGTTTATTTCTGGAATTTTCCATTTAATATTTTTGGATCTTGGCCAGCTATTGGTATCTAAAACTATGGAAAGTGAGCTGCAGATAAGAGGGACCACTATGATCAGGTTCCACTCAACAGTGCGACAGAAGAAATGACCAACACAGGTCCCAGTGGGATGGATCCCCATCCTGTGTGCGTGAGAGAAGACAGACAGCACCTGCTGTGACACAGAGCCAGTTCTAGGAAGCTCTGGGGCAGTAAGAGGAAAGCAAAGACAGAGGCAGCCTGCAGGCTGGAGAGCGCCAAGGGGCACAGGAACCAGCTGAGGGGACGGAAATGCTCCACGTAGTGGTGGGGGTGTGGTTTCCATGGGTGTCATTTGTCACAAGTATACAGAGAAGATTTGTGCATTTCACAAATAAAACACAGAAATGATAAGCCAGGTACGGTGCTGCACACCTGTGATCCTAGCTACTGGGGTGGCTGAGGCAGGAGGACCTCAATACTGAGGCCAGCCTCAGCACCTTTGTGAGACCCCGTCTCAAAATCTAGGAATGATTACCAGTGAGGGCGTGGGGTATAGGGAGGTGCAGGTGAAGCAAGAATAGCAGGAATGTATATATACTTCATTTTATTTATTTTTTTATGTGGTACTGAGGATTGAACCCAGCACCTTGCATGTGCTAGTTTGGTGGGCCACAAAATAGGACTTTTTTTTTTTAAGTTGTTGATAGACCTTTATTTTATTTATTTATATGTGGTGCTGGGAATCGAACCCAGTGCCTCACACATGCCAGGCAAGTGTGATGCCACTGAGCCCCCGCCCCAGCCCAGTAAAACAGGACTTTTTAATATGTACTTGTATGTTACATTTTTGAAGATGCTTCATGACAAGTGCCTGGCAATTCCCTACACTCTTCTACTTACTTTGTTTCTATCTGCAATGTTGCCTTTTAAAATAGCAGTAACGGAGCGCAGGGTGCAGGCACAGGCAGGTCTGGGGGCTGAACACCTGTGTCCTCATTCCTGGCCAACCAAAGCCACCTCTTCCCTTTAGAAAGATGGCGGCACCTGGAAACCCAAAGGTATGCAGGGAGAAGCTCTAGAGGGTTCTACACTGGCCAACAGACACATGCAAATTAAAACAGAACACCATTTCTCACCTATCAAATTAGCATGAAGTCTTGTTAGCACTCTGGAAAGAGAGTGACCTCCTCATGCTGGCAGAAACTCAGGTGCACCTCGGCCTCGTGGCTCATCCACAGGAGGGCAAACCCACACAGGGGTTTTGGAGGCCAATCTGGCAGTCATGATCAAAACTGAAATTGCTCACGTGCTCACACTGAGCTGTCTCATTTAGGGGATCCATCCTGTGGATCCGCTTGCAAATGTGTGTGCTTACTGTAAAGAAACTAAAGCAGCCTATTTTACGCTGGAGAAGGCCGGTGGGATAAATTAAGATAATTCCTCCTGAAGCAGTTATGTCATCATTATTGAGGACGGGGAGCCAGCACATTTCCTGATATAACACAGCACGTGGGAGGGGCGATGCTGCAGTATCATTTTTTTTATTTTTAGTACCAGGGATTGAACCCAGGGGCGCTTAACCACTGAGCCACATCCCCAGCCCTTTTCATTTTTTTTTTTTTATTTTGAGACAGGGTATCCCTAAGTTGCTTAGGGCCTTACTAAATTGCTGAGGCTGGCTTTGAACTTGTGATCCTCCTGCCTCAGCCTCCCAAGCTGCTGATATTACAGGCATTCACCAGGATGCCCAGCTCTATGCACGATAATTTTGAAAATTAAGTATATGAATGTATACAAGTGAACACACACACACACAGCCTAGAAGGACACCAAAATATTTTTTTAAAAAAATGTGTTAGTATCTCTTCTGAGTTGTTTTATCAGATATTTTTTAAACAAGTATAATTTTGTAATTTTTTTTTGTTTTGGGGTGCTAGGGACGGAACCCAGGGCCTCAAGCATGCTAAGCACGTGCTCTCTCAGTGTGCTGCAGCCCTAGCCCCGACTCTGGAGAATCAAAAAAGAGATTATTGACTACAAGAGGTAAGCCTGAGGCCAATACTTGACAAAGAACACAAAGAGCACCACGGACCAGTCCTATCTGATAACTGAAGTCAGACACAGAAGTCCGACGCAAAGAGCTGGCACTGGAGGCCAGCTGCGTATTAAAGAGAAGTCCAGAGTGACCAGGCAGGGCTGGGCGAGGAATACAGAACAGCTTCACATTAAGAAATCACAGTAACAGGTCAACAGGAGAAAGGACCTAGGAACTTCTCAGCAAAAGCCAGAAAGTCACTCACTGAAACTCAGCCCTTGTCCAGGTGGGTGTTTGGCTTTTCTTTCTTTTTTCTTTTTCTTTTCTTTTTTCTTTTTTTTTTTTTTTTGACTTTGGTGGCATTTTGTGTTTTGGTGACAGAATGAAAGCATCATCCTTCACCAATGGCCAAAGCCTCACACCAAAAGCCAACATCAGACCACAGTGTGAAACCGGAACAAGACAAGATTGCCTGCAGCTGCCACAGTATTAGCATTGTTCTGGAAGTTCTCTCTGGGGAGTGATACAGATATTTAAGATAAAGGGGACATTTGATTGGAGGAGACAACATTATAATTTGGACAGGCTGCGGCTGTTAGCCTTGATCCGACTCATGACCCAAAAGATTAGTAAAAAATTGAAAAAAATATACAAAAAGGAATTGCTCTCCAACATGATACCAATGCTCATTTGCAAAAAAAAAAAAAAAAAGTAATGGAAAAATATCCTTAATATAGTAACAAAAGCCAAAATGTTTAGAACTGATCTTTAAAAGAAAAAGAAATGGGTGGAACTTAGAAGGAAAAAAAAACTACGAATCTTTTCTAGAGGAAATAACTAGGGGCTGGGGATGTGGCTCAAGCGGTAGCGTGCTCTCCTGGCATGCGTGCGACCCGGGTTCGATCCTCAGCACCACATACAAACAAAAGATGTTGTGCCCGCCAAAAAAAAATAAATATTTAAAAATTCTCACTCTCTCTTTTAAAAAAAAAAAAAAAAAAAAAAAAGAAATAACTATGGGAACAGAGGAGACGCAGCCTTCGGAGGAACAGGTGAGTTTTTAAAAAAAGACAGAACTTTTCTCCCCAAAGTCGAGATTGAACACGATCCCAAGCAAAATCACAACTGGATTTTTTTTTTTTTTTTTTTTTGGAAATTG